ATGAGAAATTAGACGATTTAATAAGTATTTAAGTACTTCATTTTATATTAGTAAATTATCGATTTTGTGATTTGAAGTGACTGAAGTGATCATTTTTCATTTCGCAAAACACTTTGAACTAAAAAAGTGGAGCAGCTGGAAGGTTCGGAATGGGAGGTTTGACCTCTCGCGCCTCTGTAACGCGATGGGCAATGATTCACAAATATGCAAATCGGCCCCATTGTGTTTGTTTTCAAATTTTACTAGCAGAGACATCCAGCCTCACCACCACCCATCCATGTAACCCGATTTTCTCCTCTGTGATATTCAACATATTGAACAAAGAACCAAAAGAAGATAGAAATTTTTATTAACAGTAGTGAAATGATTTTTATTAATTTGCATTAGTCTATTATTATGTTGTTAAAAAAAATATAAAATTAATTATTAATTTTATTTAAATCATATAAACCAATACTTTTTTTTTATAATTTATATAAAATAAAGTTTTAAATTTTATTATTAATTTAACAAAGCAAAGAAAGCTTTTTGATGAAAATAGCCATGCAGGAATTCAATAATTAAAACAAAATTATAATAAAATCAATATTTGACCACACTTTACATCATCAAGGCTAGTCTTCATTTTAAAGAACATTAGGAGCACTTTCAAAATCACGTCTGTTAATGAATTTTGAGACATATATACAGTTATTTCTTCTAGCATTCGGAAATCGAAATAGATACCAATAGTAAAATAATGAATGCAAAAAAATAATAATAATAAAGTTAAAATGAAAATTTGGGCCAATTTTCAATTCTCATCAATGAAATATGAAATTTTTGTTAACATTTTGCAGCAAGGTAGTGAAATCAACACTGTATTTTTTAAGCAAAGCATTCATAATTACATGTTAGAGTATTTCACTTTTCCATTCAGACAAAAATTCATAATAACAATAATTAAAGTAAGTAAACATTAATTTGCAGTTCACTAATTATTATTTTTTGTTTTATTAGAACAAGAAACTGTTAAACGCGCGAGCCTTTGGAAAAGATTTCATGGCCCACTGAACTAGCAAATGAGCTTTTATTGTGAGATAAACACAGTCGTAAAGCCATTAATTATCGTCTCAATTAGAAGCATTCCCCTGTTTTTACGACGAAAACACATAAAGGAAGAGGAAGTCGTACCTCACCGCGAGTTTCTCGCGCGCCCGAAAATATAGGCGAGATCTTTTTGCGTAAAAAAAAAAACGCAAATAATTGCGGCACCGTTTGGATAATCTGCGTAATTGTACGTAATTGTTTTTATAATAAATTTAAGGACACGCAAGCAAGGTTCACGATCAATGAGCACGGCGGTGCACCTGCCTATTTTAGACAGACGTGTGTGCGTCCCAATGCAGAGAAAGGAAGCAGTGCGAACTCGCAAAGGCTCTTAACGGTAAAACACACACTCACTCACCGCCGCCGCCGCACCGCAAGTACATTCGATATATGCAAAATAATGCTCGGCTTATTCAAAATCCTGCTAGCTTATTCAAATTTACTAATCCCAGCTGGTTTTATTTTGCATAATTAATATATTTTTGTTGAAGAGTCACTTGAAGGGGGGAATCATGAGCTTAATGATGATAAATTAAAAATTCTTATTAATGAAAATCCAGTTAGCATTGACAATAATATGAAACTTAAATTACGTATTTAATAAACATCCTGAATTTGTTTTTTGGTCTTAATCAAATTAAACCATGACTGTAATTAATTTTTTCTCACGATGCGTGAGTGCGTGAGGTCTTGAGTGCTTGAGTGCGTGTATGGTCTTGAGTGCGTGAGTGCGTGAGGTCTTGAGTGCGTGAGTGCGTGTATGGTCTTGAGTGCGTGAGTGCTTGAGTGCTTGAGTGCGTGAGTGCGTATGGTCTTGAGTGCGTGAGTGCGTGAGTGCGTGAGTGCGTATGGTCTTGAGTGCGTGAGTGCTTGAGTGCGTGAGGTCTTGAGTGCGTGAGTGTGTATTGTCTTGAGTGCGTGAGTGCGTGAGTGCTTGAGTGCGTGAGTGCGTGAGTGCGTATGGTCTTGAGTGCGTGAGTGTGTATTGTCTTGAGTGCGTGAGTGCGTGAGTGCGTATGGTCTTGAGTGCTTGAGTGCGTGTATGGTCTTGAGTGCGTGAGTGCGTGAGGTCTTGAGTGCGTGAGTGCGTGTATGGTCTTGAGTGCGTGAGTGCTTGAGTGCGTGAGTGCGTATGGTCTTGAGTGCGTGAGTGCGTGAGTGCTTGAGTGCGTGAGTGCGTGAGTGCGTATGGTCTTGAGTGCGTGAGTGTGTATTGTCTTGAGTGCGTGAGTGCGTGAGTGCGTGAGTGCTTGAGTGCGTGAGTGCGTGAGTGCGTATGGTCTTGAGTGCGTGAGTGTGTATTGTCTTGAGTGCGTGAGTGCGTGAGTGCGTATGGTCTTGAGTGCGTGAGTGTGTATTGTCTTGAGTGCGTGAGTGCGTGAGTGCGTATGGTCTTGAGTGCGTGAGTGCGTGAGTGCTTGAGTGCGTGAGGTCTTGAGTGCGTGAGTGTGTATTGTCTTGAGTGCGTGAGTGCGTGAGTGCGTATGGTCTTGAGTGCTTGAGTGCGTGTATGGTCTTGAGTGCGTGAGTGCGCGAGGTCTTGAGTGCGTGAGTGCTTGAGTGCGTGAGTGCGTATGGTCTTGAGTGCGTGAGTGTGTATTGTCTTGAGTGCGTGAGTGCGTGAGTGCGTGAGTGCGTATGGTCTTGAGTGCGTGAGTGCGTGAGTGCTTGAGTGCTTGAGTGCGTGAGGTCTTGAGTGCGTGAGTGTGTATTGTCTTGAGTGCGTGAGTGCGTGAGTGCGTGAGTGCTTGAGTGCGTGAGTGCGTGAGTGCGTATGGTCTTGAGTGCGTGAGTGCGTATGGTCTTGAGTGCGTGAGTGCGTGAGTGCTTGAGTGCGTGAGGTCTTGAGTGCGTGAGTGTGTATTGTCTTGAGTGCTTGAGTGCGTGAGTGCGTGAGTGCGTATGGTCTTGAGTGCGTGAGTGTGTATTGTCTTGAGTGCGTGAGTGCGTGAGTGCGTGAGGTCTTGAGTGCGTGAGTGCGTATGGTCTTGAGTGCGTGAGTGTGTATTGTCTTGAGTGCGTGAGTGCGTATGGTCTTGAGTGCGTGAGTGTGTATTGTCTTGAGTGCGTGAGTGCGTGAGTGCGTATGGTCTTGAGTGCGTGAGTGTGTATTGTCTTGAGTGCGTGAGTGCGTGAGGTCTTGAGTGCGTGAGTGCGTATGGTCTTGAGTGCGTGAGTGTGTATTGTCTTGAGTGCGTGAGTGCGTGAGAGGCCTTGAGTGCGTGAGTGCGTGTATTTATGAAGGAATCTTCTATTTAAATTAATATGACTATTTTGCTACATCACTCCACTCAGACTACCTTGTAAAATAGCAGCGACTATAATTTTTAATTGAAATTTAAATTATTTAAGTTTTAAATAACTTATAATAAATACCCCAACGGCCCAAATCAAAATTTAGCGCTGAGATCGAGAGAGGAAATTTAAAAGTTTATTCTCAAATTCAATCAATTTTTCTCTTTAAAATGATTTTTAATGTTTTAACATGTTTGAAGATAAATAATTAAAATTATAAAAGTTTGTGAAAACATAGATTTTCGCATGGCCATAGAATTTCGAATGAAAATTGACGTTAAAAGAAAAGGAAGCATGAAACTAATGGAATTAATAAACAATGGTCAGACTTGTTGCCTAATAAACTAAAACTTTTTACCCACATTATAATTATCAGCTTCCCGCCCTTATATTGTTTGCTTGATAAAATCAAATGCTAGAAGCTGTTTTGGGGTACAAAGGAATCCGAGACCTATATTTCCGAAGAAGACCTTGGTTCATCTCGCTTGGAATGCGTCGTGCGTGGCATTTTGTGGAACAATAATGTCATGTCATGTATGATAATGAACCCTTTGAGCCCACCCTGCTGCGAGACGTTATTATCCTCAAACGACAAAAGAATACATAACTTCCAAAACATATTCCGTTTTTCTGATTTAAAAAAAAAACGGGATAAACAGAAATATAGGGAACGCATTTTAACATTTCTAACCAAGTCCTGAGTGACAAGGAGTTCAGAGATATTCAATTTTATTATTTTGAGTAATACCTTTGAGTGCAAACTTTAAAACGGTAGTAAAAAACCTATACAAAAAGGAACTTACAATTTTAAAAGGTTTTTAAATTAGGTAAAATATTTTAAAGTTTCAATATATAAATTTAACAAAGATTTTTGACATAAAAATCATTTTTTGAGATTAAATCTATTTCATTAGAATTAATATTAATAAAAACATATTATTCTGTTATTTCTCGGGCCTATTTTAAGAACATTTTATGAAAGTATCTGTTCTTCTATTAAAATGAGTGCATGCCGTCATAAATTGCTAAAGAATATTAATTTTAAAATATATTTTACCTTTCATTACTTTAGTTTACTTCTGGAAAACTTGTTCAAAAAAAGAGCTTTTGTCAATATTTCTTGGCTTTAAACGACTCAATATGGGACTTTTTCGTTTAAGATCTAAACTTGACATTTATGCTACTTTTTCAAAATAATTTACACCTCATGAATCGCCGCTGCAACCTACAGCAGGAAACATGTAGGCTTTTTTCTATAAAAATGCGAAAATCAAACTACAATTATAAATAAAAACCAACTTTTTTTCTGAAAATGAAAATAAATAAATTTATATTAAATCTGGCTTGCACAGAAACCCTGAAACACCGTGCAAATAAAACCTGGAAAGAAGAACCGTGCTCGACAATTAAGGGAATTAAGGCAATTAAGGTTCGATTAGGCGAAGAGTCGGGTTTGACGTCAGGTCGGTTGGGCAGGCAGGGAGGGATTTTAATAAAGCTCTTGGTGTATAATCGGAGGCAATGCCATGCGAGTTGAGAGCGGCGGCAAAATAATAATAATAATAATACAGGTGGGGACGGAGGCGGTTTTGGGTCAGTGAGTAGAAGTTTGTGGTGCTGCGAAGAGGCGAGCGCTCAGTCTCAGTAGTGCTCAGACTGCATCCAGAGCAACGGTGAATCTCTCGTGCTCGAGTGGCGCGCGGATGCCGCGGCGTCAGACCTACCTTTCGCAACGCGCCTTTCGCGGCTTCTTCGCTCCTCCGACACTTGGCCCTTTCCAGCCGCGAGGAATGAAATTCAGCACAAAAAACTCCGGCGCGGCTAACGAGGTATGCAAACGACACACAAATATTATTCGGACGAATTTCTTTTCATTTCTGTTGCGCGGCGTTTTGTTGCGGGAGTTCAAGTCTCCCGACCCACATGCGTCGAATTTTTGCACTCTCGCGTTTTTTGGGTTAATTATTGCACGACGTGGAAATTGCGTTTGAATAAATGAGGTTGTGAAGTTTGATGAAGAGAAAAATTTAATTTGGAAAAAATTTAAATAGCAGAAAAGGGCCAGAAATGAAAGAAAAATTTACAAGTTATTTTACTTCAATCCACGCTATAAAATTTAATTTATCTGTTTTCAAATTGCTTCTACTTTGAAATGTGGATCATGGAGATCATAGTATATAATTATACTTTTTATTTTATCTTTCAAATTAGCGTTTTCTACGTTCAGCAGTAAAAATATGATTTGAAGCGCAAAAATTAAATGCATTAATTTTATATCCTGTATTATTTGATGGATACAAAAAAAATTAAAAATTTGTTGCTTGCGAGCCACAAATTTTCATGACTGACCAGAAATTTTTCAATATGGATGATTTTATTTCAAAAATTGAATATTGGAAAAATTCAAAATTTAAAAAGAATAAATAATAATTTGAAATAACATTATTTTAATTTATTTTAAGTAAAATTGTTTTTTTTTTTAAATTAAAATTGTGGCAAAATTAATTTTTTTTAATTTAAAATTTCCCAGGCGGTAAAAATAGTTAAAATTATGTTAACTTGTATTAATTATTTACAAATTTTAAAAAAGTATAGAAAATTTTAACTAATTTTAAAGGTTTAAAATGATTAAATTTTGGAGAATTGGTTTTCCAGCGCAGGTCATCAACGGGAAATTTCTTTTTTGATTGCATTTGTGTCAATTATTTCTAACATATCATTTGTTATGTTTTGTGGAATCTTTTGAAGGATCAAAAATCAGATTAAAAACTTGTTCATTGAGAAATATTATAATAATTAGATCTGCTTTATTTGGATCATGATAATTAGTTTCCAGCAATTTTTCCTGCAAATTGTCCAAATAGACGCCCTCGCTAATTATCATCCTCATTATACATGTACCCAATTAAAAATTAAGAGAACATCTTCATTCCCACGGGTATGTGTCACTACTATTAGGAAACATTTCTAAACGCGTGTGTCCTCCAATCTCTCGATTCATACGCAATTTACAAAATAAAAACACAAGAAGAGAAATTAGCCGCGCATCGTCGCTCTCCTCCGCGTTGCAGCAAAAGTCGTGCTCCACATGCAAATTAGCCTACATATGAATGCTTACGAAATTCTTTTCGTTTCCTCTCCCGTGCAACACTTTGTTCTCCATTCGTTATTTTTCTCTTTCACAGAGACGCAAAATGAAGAAGACAAATTAACACACGCAAGCAATTAAAGTCGCGCGTCGTTTTTGGCGCAGAATATTCACCTGCGATTTGGAGCACTTTCGAGCGAGAGAGGAACTGGATCACTCGGAATGAATTGTCAAAAGCCGTCTTTGGTCGAGTTTCAAATTTATTACGATAATTCGGTGCGATTTCTTAGCGGGACTCTCTCGATTTCCTTCATTAATTTTTTCCTTCTCGCTCCTCGCCAAAAGAGGAGCCGAGAATTGAGAGATGCTATCTTAATGACTGGCTTGCTAATTAATTGGTTCTTCCGTTTAAAAAAGAGGCGGCTTGTTCAATACTTTCAAAGTGGTCTGAATTTTTAAAAAATATTTCCATAGGCACGTGTTATCATACAAAATGTTACGAAGGAATAATCATCCTTTCACGTTTCGTGGTTAAATTGCCAATTATACATTGTAAAGCTGATGAGGAAAATAAGGAAATGACTAGAGGGAAAATTGACTCAAAACCATAAATATTTGGAATTTTTTTAGCAATCAAAGGAATTAGAAAATTGATTAATACATGAAGTTTTATCTGCTTGAAAATATTTTCTGATATAGGAAATTAACAAAATGTTTGAATTTAATATTAATTTGAGTGGATCGAGTTTGGATTTATTCGTTGTTTTATTATTTTTGCTAAGCAGCACCAAAGCTCCAAAGTCACCTCAGTTTTCTTTACAGTTGGAGGAGCCCTTGTGGCAGAAAAATAATAAAATAAAAACAGTGCAAGCGGAAAACCAGTTTGCGTGGACAGGAGGAGTTTTTGTCTCTCTTGAAGAACAATCCTGTCCGCCGCGCATTATTTACTGTGTGTGTAATAAAGACCCGAGACCCACAACGGCCCATCAGCTGCTTTATACATTTCAGCGCGTTTTATATCATTTGCGTCTGTTTGTTTTTCTATCTGTTAGCATGTGTACATATTTTCCGTTCGCTTCTCCCACTCATCCGTGCAAAAAGTAGCGGTGCTGCTCTCGATATTATATTTTTCTTTGCCACTTATACGAACGTAGATAGATTTATAAAAAATATAATTCTCTCTCGTTGTTCTTTTATGCAGCACGATCGCAAAACGCTTTAAACTGGATACTTATCGATGCATGCGTGTACACACAGTTTTTATTTCGTATTTTAATTAACAGTAATTCACTCGCGCAAATAAGCGTAAAGTATAATAAAAGTGTATGTTGACGTTAAAAGTAAATTGCTACTAATTTAAAAATTAAAATTATTTAATTTAACTTTATATAAATTTTTTCTATTAAACTTTTTTGGTGTTTTTATAATAATTCAAAATTATATAATAAAATTAATTTGTTGCAATTTATTAAAAAATAATTTATGCTGCAAATACTGGTTATTGAATTATGTGGAAAAAGAATTTAATTTAAATGATTCTGCCTCAACCTGAACACTTATGGCTTTTTCTATTAGATTATGAAATCAATTTTGCTTCATCCACTTCTATGGTATCATATAATTATAGATATTCACACGTAAAAAAATTAATAAAAAATAAATTATAGCAGCACTGGATAAATGTGCTTGGCTCATGGTTTGGCTTTTGGCTGGCAATTTCTTTCAAATACATTATCTTGATTAAAAAAAAAGAAAAAATTGCGAAGGATAAATACAAAAGCAATAATAGATATATTATCCGTATTTTCAATAATTATATTGAAATGCAGAAAATATGATAATTAATCCTGGACGGAAATTAGACGGAAATAATCAATATTAATGTCTTTGTGGTCAAATTTATGTAAATTATTTTAAGAGCATCAAACTGGATAATAATTATTTATTTTACACTCACTAAATATTATATCGTTAAAAATTGCAAGAACATGCCGGAATCGATAATGGCAGTATAATTTTTAAAACTTAGATCTAAGTCCACTTATCATAAACTGGCATAAATTTATATTGAAATTAACATAATATAATATGAGAGATAATTAATGAAATAAATCAAGTAGACTGGTGAAGAGTATTTTTATAAGTGAAAAGTGCAAGATTATTATTATAAAGATTAAATTTTTGTTGTATAGAAAATCATAAAATTTATAAAATGTTAATTTTATTGGTAATCAGAATATTTAAATTTATTTCAATTATATTTTGAAATGTTCAAATTGATTCAAGTGAATTTTGGACGAAATAAAAATAATCATTCAATATAGTCAATAGAATCATACACTAGTGATTATTTTTTCCTTTAAGAAAGTTTGTTTTCTTTCGTTTCACTCTTAAATTGTAAATTCAGTCCTACTTTCTTTTAAGTGTACTGAAATTGCAGAAAATGTCACGGGAGAATAAAATCATTTGATAAAAGTTGGTACGCGGAATAAAATTACGATCTGCTCTTTCTTTCTTTTTCTCTCTCTCTCGCGCCGAGTCTCTCCCATTTCTACTTTTTGGACCGAAAAGATGGCATCGGTCATGCACTTTGAGCAAAGCCCAGTTCAAACTCACTCTCTGACGTGGAATGAGAAAAGCAAATAATATAATTCGCCGCAATCATCATCGCTTGATTCTGTAACTTGCCTTTCGTGACATGAATCTAGGACTTCTCTCCTCCAATGAGACTAAATTTAGGCGACTATTATGAAACTCTAAGGGATATAAATGTATGAAAATTCGTTGTGTGCAACGTGGAGTGAAATGTGTCAGACGCATCACGTGCTTTCGTTGAATTAAAATTTACATTTTTTTAGCATCTCATCACTTAATTCGTTCGAGTTCAATGCTAATTTTAATGTCGAGCTGTTTCATAATTTTATTTTGCAAACATAATTCCGGTGATTAAAAGATGATTTGAAGAAATTTTCATGAATTTAGTGTGGCAGATTTTTAGCAACATTTGTTTTTTACGGTAAATTAATATAATTTTTTTGTTACGAAGGAATTAATCTATTTGATTTATTTTTGGCATGGTCACAAGGAAATGATGCAACGCTTGTAAACGTGCATTTTAGGCAAATCTTTACCGTCGCTAAAACGAGAGCACACATAAAATTTTATTGCAAAGTAACGTTTTTCTGTAAAGAAAAGAGTGTTGCCAAGTAAAAAAATCTTTATAAAAAAGGCAAATCTTTCTTTCTCTTGTTTAATTTATAATCCTTAGTCAAACGCAAACATTTTTATGCATATTTGCAGATGCTTAGTGCAAATTATTTCTGCTAAAAGCGTCGATGACTTTTTTTTGCTCGCTCCATCAGCTGAGACGCGAGGGATCACGACCGTTTGCTCGCCAACCTGCCGACCTAGTTAGTCCCTCGCGCATTAGGCACCTGCTAAAAGCTCACTCACTCCAACACACAGAGATCACAAACAACATCACATCCTTCTTTCTGCAATCACGTTGCCACCTTCTGCCCACGCCTGCAATTCAATACGAAAGGAAATTTGAATATAAAATTCCGCCATTTCCTCATTTTGCCGATTTTCATTTACAAACAAGACGAATAATAAAAGAAAATGCAATATATTCATAGTTGTGGACATTTTGGAGAACTGTTTAAATTAAAAAAATTACAGTTTAATTCTAAAAAATATTTAAGAAAAATCGAAAAATCAATAAAAAGCCTGTTTTTTTAACCTTTTACCACATTTTGAGAACATTGCAATGTCTTCATTTCATTACAAAATTTTTTCTCTGTGGCTCAAATCTTGACAAACCTAAAAATTCAAATAAATCATAATGTAAAGAGTAAACTGAAATAATTATAAATTACAGAGAAAAAGAGATAAATTACTGGAAAAAAGTTGACTAACAATAAGTCAAAATTTCTGCTTGATGTAAAGATATTTTTGTTCAATTTTGACTTTTCCAAAGAAATCACATAAAAAAAAACGTGATTTACAAAATATTTGACATATTTATTTTAATAAATAATCATATTTTTCTCAAATTAAAGACAAATATTGTGCGCTCATAAAATTTGGTTGAAAATTTTAAGCCAATTTGTTTTCAATCGTTTGTAATCATTTTTCTGAAATATTTAACTAAAATGTTTCAGATCATTTACTTCAAGAACCTCAATTTAAGCAAAATTAAATTAAATTTGACACAATTAAATTAAAACTATAATAAAAAATAACTAATTATAATAAAATTACATCAAGATTTCTTTGTTTGAAAGTGAATAAATAAACATTTTTTTTTTTTTTTTTTTTTGTATATTTTTAGCAGTGCCTGCCGTGTTTGGCGATATGAGCCTGCCAGGTTTGGGGCAGCAAGGGGTGCTTTTCGTGCTTGTGGCTCTCGCGTCACTGGTGTCCGCCGCCGCCGCAGGGTCGAGCATCTTCTCGTCATCTTCAACGTCATCCTCCAGCCCGAGCAGCTCGTCCGTGTCCAGTGAGTAAACAGCTTAATGATCATAATTCGCTTGCTTCTGATAAAATACACATACACCTGTCCTTCTTAACATAACTGTGCTGCTCAAATGAGCACGCGTCGCTCCTCGACCGGCCGCCGGCTTTCGTCGCCGCCGCCGCCGAAATTATTTTAATCGTCATTATTTTTTTTTCCTTGTGCCGGAGACACCGCGAGTTTCTCTCATGCTATAATAATTCTTTGTGGTGCGATGTGAAAAGAACAAGTGTCGGTCGGTTGGATTGTGCAGCTTGAACGTGGGGCGACGTGTAATGATAATAACGGACAAGTTTTGTCTGCACTGACCCGTGAAGCCGCGAGATGCACCGGCAAGTCCAGCTGTCGTAGTTTAGAAAGGCGATAATGCGTTAAACGTGCTGTAAATACGTATGCAAATTAATCACAGACTCAGTTAATCTCTTCCTTAAATGGCACGAATTGAATATAATGATTTTAAAGGAAGTCAATTGTAATTTTATTATTCAATTAAATTCAAAATAAAATTTGAAATTAATTTTTTAACATATTAATGTAAATTGTGAATTTATAAATTGTTTTAAATAACCAATTAATTTTCACTTATTGAATTTAAGTATTCGAATTTCACAAAGGAGTTTGGGACATTGTAAGCAATTTTCCAAGGCTTTTCTGTTTAAATTTATAAAGTAGGCAACCTGCTGGTCATTTAATGAAATATTTAAACTTAAAATTTCATGGTTGAGGATTTTATGTAAATTAAAATAAATTAATCTTATTTTAGATTTTCTTTGATATATTTAGAAATGATTTTAATTTCTTTAATCTTTTCAAGAAATTAAAACCTCAAATTCAATTAAATGTTGTTTCATGATGGTATTAAGCGCGAACTTTGTTTAACAAGTTATAAGGATGTGCTTTTAGGCTCTCACTTATGACCCCGGAAATTGAGCAGACTCATATTTTCGGAAAGCTCGCATCTATTCGATATTTACAGAGTTAAGTCATGCAAAAAAAAACTCATTTTAGCACTGTGTGAGCAAAGTATAATAAAAATTAAAAAATTTGCTTTCCTTTTGTTTTATCACAAAAGGTTGCCTCTCAAAAAAATGTTATTTTAATGAGTTTGACGAAAACAGGTGTGAACACATTTTCTTTGGGGCTTCAGTTCAGAGAACTCGTAAAAATAATTCTGTTAGTTTGAGCTGTGAGAACCAGAGAAAAACTGTAATTTTTCTAATTTTTAATGCATGATTTAACTGTGACTGCTCGGTATCAAGAAAATACAGTTTGCGATTTTGTTGATTTCGATAATTTCCACTTTTCTTGAAATTCTGATTCCTCTACATTGGGTTTCTCACCAATTGGTCTCGCGTGTGATTTATGGTTGGCTGAACGCATCACCAAACGCACCAGAAAATCTAGATAAAGTCTTTTGGAGACGGATTAGGAAATTGAAACCGTTATTCACTGGCATCGACAACGATCAAAAACAAGAATTCCGACAATACTCCTGCCGTGATGAGCGCAAAAACGCTTGTTTTTGGGGGGAAAAGCCACCGCTGTGTTCGCTCCCAAAAAACAATTTCAATAAAAAAAAAAATACACAGAAGTTCTTGAATAATTAAATTGAGGTGGAATTCATGTTTTTCAAAAAGTGTCATTGAAAATTCATCTAATATTTACCTGCCAAAATCAATGGAAATAGAATAGAGGATTAATTTCTTTTAATTTTAACGGTAAAAAACGCAAGCTTTATATTTTAAAGATATTTTTTAAAAAAATTGGTACTATTTTTATCAAATTAACTAAATCCTGCAGAACAAGTAATTGTAAATATTTTTAATTGTAAAATTCAATAGAAAATTCAATTAAACACCCCTGGATGAAAAGCGGAGTTTAAAATCAACAAACATAAAAAAGTTTTAACTCTCTTCTTGTTGTTTTCCAGACGAGCATTTAACAAATTTGGCGCCCACCATAATAATCAATTGCGATAAAAGTGATTACAAATGACGATCGGAGCCTCCGTTTTTTTTTCTTCTTTTCGGCGTTGATGCGCGCCGAGGCGGCGTTCGATCTTTTTTTTATTTTCGGTGAAAACGAGGCAATGACCTTGAATCGGCTGCAAAAACGCGAGAGCGCCGACCGTCCGTGCATCCTTCATCGCGCGGCATAAAAAAAAAAAAAATGAGATTTTGATACAGCCGTGAGCAATGGAAAGTTTTATTATGTACCGTAATTTCGGTTTTTACGCTCACACACACACACACTCTCTGTCAGCGCGGCTCACACAAGACATCAAACCGCATCGCTTTTGTCATTTTCGGATCATTATTGAAAATTATCGAGGAAATTAGAACAAGCTCTTTTTGCCGCGTGCATTATTTTTGCCTGCTTATTAGGTCAATTGCTTCAGATAACGTTGATGTTTGTGATATTCTGACATAAACACCATTTTAATTAATGCAACCACTTTTTTTTAAATAATATTTTTAACTTTATTAATCATTTTATAACTTACTTGATTGAATTTTTTTTTAAATTGATTTATATTTAATATTTATCATTTATACATTTAATTTTTTGAATACAACTCTGTGCAGCAAATTGCTCATTAAATAATATAAATATCAAGTTTTTCAATTTACATTATGATTAAATTTGTAGGTAACCTTGATTTAATCAATGATTAATATAATCTCAATAGTTATTGTATCGTGGCCATTGATAACATAACGCTATATTTATTATTTAAATTGATCATGATAAAATTAGTAAAAGTGTAGAATATTTTGCACTTTGTTGTGAATAAATAGATGATAAAATTGATAAATTAAATAACAAATGTTTTCATGCTACCCTTAAAATTCATAGCAGGGATTTCAGAAAAAAAGTTTATAGTGCGACAATTTTTTTTTTGCAATCTATTGCTGACAGGAGATGTGCGCCAAAATTTATAAAAATAAACTTTCACATATTTTTTTAATAACAAAATTTTGTTGTTTTTATTCCGAATTTTATTGACGTGTTCTTCAAACAAAAAAACTTGTTATTGAATGAAACAAAAAACTAATGTTATAATTAAATTTTTTTTACAAACAATCCAAACTTAAGATAAGGTTCAAATTCATTGACCATAGAATCAATTATTTAGGGCTTTCGCAATCAAAATATGTAAATTACAGTAATGTTGAAAAAAGAGCACGTCTTCTTAAATTAAATTAAAATGCAAGGAATAGCGCGCACTACTGGGTTAAGTTCCGGCTGGCCCTCTCGATATATTGGGCAACAAGACCTAAATTCGTACGTCTCCCTCCTAATGGGCAGCCTACACAGCAATTGCAGCATGTAAAACATCGAGACGCGCTGCTATAAATCCAACGGTCCAGCCGAAAGATAAAGCGAAAGAAAGAGAGAGAGAGAGGAGCTGAGAGAGAAAGATGCAGTGCTACGATTACAAAATAATGAGCCGCGCGAGAGGAGAGAAGAGGAAAATGGGCTCATCTGTTATTTTTTGTCAGGGCTGAATTCGCCACAGTCGGATGTGGCACAAAAGCCAGCCTTAGGCAAGGTCGGCCCTCCTCTCCTTGCGATCACGAAGTTCAAAGCCACGTGAAGGACGATAAAAATAAGGCCTCTCCGGCGAGAGAGTCTCGAGCGCAACAATGGACCCCGAAGAAATATAAATAAAAAGAAAGAAAGCGCCTCTCTTTTGCCGCGAAAAACTACAGTTCCTCCTCGTGAGCTCATCTCTCGTTCTTGGTGCTACCGCGCTTGCTTTTACCGTACCTGCTAAGACACTGAGCTATGATTGATAGGCGCGCGGAGGAGTAACTAACACTCATCCTTAAGGCCTAGCCTCATTTCAATCAAATGAAATTCCGTGATCGGAATTTCGCTAGGAAAAGAAAGAGGTTTTGTTTAGTATTGAAACAGAGTAAGTTTATTTTTTCCTAATTCAATTTCGGCTCTTGAAATTCAAAATTCAATTATTGTCATCAGACCTTATTGTTAGTGGAACCGTGGAACGTGCAAATCTTTTAAATTTCAGAATTTTCTTTCAGGACATTTTTTTTATGCACTTCAGGGTTATGAGACTTCTGAAATACCTTATTTTATAGGACTAATTCTGTTATCATATTTTAGGACATTTTCAGACATTTTGAGGCACAACCTTTTTTATTTTTTACTTAAAAATATAGCTTATTTTCTTCTTAACAACCACCATGAAATCTCAAATTTTTCTTTATAGTTGCACTGCATAATTGAAACTAATTAATTACTAATTTGAATAACTATTTTGGGTCAGTTTGGCATAAAATTAATATAACGTAAAACATTAACATTACTGTAGGACACCGTTCTTCAGTAAAAAAAACTTAAATCTTTTGTAATTATCTATCATATATTTTGTAATAAAATAATCTCCAAATGAAGCCACAAAATCGTTGAAAATTACTTTACAGTTAAATTGCACAGACTCCCTATGATTTAAAAAATCTCCTATGTACCTATTGTTTTTTTAGATTAATTAAAATCTTTTCTCTCTTTTCTTTTTCAATTTATTACAATTATATAAAATTTTACTCACAATCTAGAATTAGACCGATTTGATTATAATTTATAAATATTTTTTTATATCAAAATCTCATCATCAAATTCAAGCTTTTTTTCACTTTAAAAAATCGCCTAATTTTCTCCAGTGTTATAATTATAATGTATTGTCAAAAACTGTGACCACTCGTGCAATCAGCGGGCGATCCCCTGCGATGAAATTCTGAGACGTGCAAATCGTTCCATCTTCGCGCAGCAGGTGTTTTTTCCCTTTTCACTCGGTCCGCACTTCCAACTTATACGGACTTCTTATTTTACAACCGCTTTATTATCACCGATAATTTTACTACTTCTCGAAAATTGGAGACGAGTTTTTATGCGGTGTGCGCGGCTATAAAAATTAGCATTATCGTCGTAAACGTCTCTTTCTCTCTCTTGCGCCGTGTGCCGTTTTTCCTAAATTTGGGCCACCAACAATAAACGCGTGAATCATCTTACAAATCGGCACACACAGGGCATCTGATTGCGTTCTTGGAAAAGAAATCGAGATAGAAATTATTAGCGTAAACGCAATCATCTCTGGGCACTCGTCATAAAAAAAAAACGTTCATAGTCGATCATTGATCCTGTTGACCTTGAAAAATATATATTAAATTAATTGACAATAGAGAAAACTAAAATGAAGAAGTGTTAATTTGAAAATAAAATAAATAAAAAATCCATTTATTTTACGATAAAGGGATTTAAGATTTTATTATGATTTAAAAATGATAAAATACTCCGGCCATGTGAAAATTTCAAGATTTGACAATTTAAAAGTTCCAGTTAGAAAGTTCTTCAAACATGAGACTTCCAATTTGAATAAGGTGGACAAATTTTATGATTTACTATTCATAATACAGAAAATTTAATTTATTCATTTATTTAATAAATTTTAATTTTTTTTTTGCAACTGTTATCATTAATCATCGATTGCCTTGTCATTGTTAAAATCAAATTTCCTACATTAATTGTAGTGAACAAATAAGGTCAATACACATTGAAAAATTTTGATATCAGAAAAACTAAAAAAGAAATAATATGATAACTTAAAGATTTTTATTCAATTGAACATTAACTTTTCTTTCAATTGAAAATAATACTTATTTCTTTTGTTCACTGAACTTCCTTGAGCTAATAATTTATTTATCAATCAATATGTTTGAACTGTTCAGGTGGTCGCGTGCTGGTGTCCTTGCTGGGATATCCGAGCTCGTGCGTCTACAACGGAGGTTTGCACGCGTGCACCTTCAGCCTCGCGTGCTGGCTGGTTGGCGGCCAGTTCCAGCGGGGGTGCGGAGGCCCCGGCTGGCTGGTCACTTGCTGTGTCCCGGCGCGCATTTCCGTCCGCACTGACGTGCCAGGCCCGCCCGTCTACAATGAGGTCGCCCTCAGGAACAACCCTTACCGCAGAGAGCACGACGAGTCCAACGAACTCACGCCCATTCGGAAAATCGGTGAGTGAAAAAAAAGAGTGTTCACCAGGATTTATAACTCGGAAAACAAATTTAAAGTTGCGCGTCTCAATTGCTGTTATGCAGTTTGAAACTAAAGGAGCGAAATTTCATGTGGGCATTCATGTCACGTTGAATAATTATTTCTAGTTAAAAAAAAATCAATTTTAAGTTGGATCCTCAGGCTGAGTAGAAAAAAATCACTACTAAGCGATCGTTCAGTGATAATTATAATATAAATCGTATTTATAGAAAAAACAATTAAGTTTTTTATAAAGTAAATGAAATTCTAAAACCAAAGTTTTGATATTTGTTTATAATCCTCAATGTTATCAATTATAAATATATTTATTATAAAATTATTATTATTAAATATTATTTATAAAAATAATATAAAACATCAACAGAAATGTAATAATATTAATTAATATTTTAATAATGGAATTGCATTTAATTTATGTGTTTTAAAGATTTATTTAATGATAAGCTATTTTTTTTATATATTTTGATTCGCTTACAAACATTGGTTTCAGGTTTCATATTTCCAATCTCATGTAATATGTTTCCTTTTTAATTTTTAAACAATTTTAAAATGAAAACTTATGATGAATTATAAATTTAAAACAAAAAACGTCCAATCTGTGCAAGTTAATTAAAAGCGTCAAAAGTAACTATAATAGATTAGATAAAATATTTTTCTAAATAACTGAAAATTTAAATTTTATTGATTCTAGAATGTGGCGTTCCGCAAATCCAAGAGTTCCGCAAAAGAATAATCGGCGGCGACGAAGCCTATTTTGGCGAGTTTCCGTGGCAGGCGCACATAAGGATATCTGGCTACCAATGCGGCGGCGTTTTAGTCAGCAGACAATTCATCGCCACGGCTGCTCACTGCATTCACAGGTATTATTAATTTCACGATCAGTTTGAAATTTATTTAATTTTTATTACTCTCCAATTTTTTTCAATTTAGTGGTGTCTTTTGTACAAAAATTATTAATAATTTATATTAATTTTTGTTTTTATCAGGGCCCGTTTAAAAGACATTACAATTTACCTGGGCGAATATGACACCCAGGACACTGGCAGGTATGAGGAGCCTCTGCCGTCAGAGTTGCACAAGGTTGCACAGAAAATTGTGCACCCCAAGTTCCAATACAGGGTGGCCCAACCGGACAGGTAAAAATTACTTAAATTTCACTATTTCAAATATTGACTGATTTATAAATAACATTACTTAATTTTTTGGTCAGGTACGACTTGGCTCTGCTGAGGTTGGCGCGACCTGTTTACTTTAAGGAAAACATTCTGCCCATCTGCCTGCCCAGAGAGGAAACTTCCTTCCAGGGGCAGACGGGGGTTGTTGCAGGGTGGGGGAAAACGGACACTTCCTATGGTAAATTTTTATATTTTATTTAATACAAAAAAAATTTATTAAAAACATCAAACAGGGAAAACTGGTACAAATATTCTTCAAAAAGCGACCGTTCCAATTCTTCGGGATGATGAATGTCTGATGTGGCACAAACAAAAAAACATCAGACTGGAGCTTTTCTCAGAAATGTTCTGCGCTGGACACAGAGATGGACACATGGACGCCTGCTTGGTTAGTAAAAAAATTTAATAACTTGAAGAAATTTAAATTTGAATCGGTCAATTATTTTTAAAGATCGAAGAATAAACAAATTAATCTTAATTTGTTAATGTTTCCAGGGAGATTCTGGTGGACCTTTGATTGTGAACTACAATGGTCGATGGACCTTGGCTGGCATCACATCTGCAGGGTTTGGCTGTGCAGTGGACCACCAGCCCGGAATCTACCACAAAGTTGCTGTTACGTCCCGCTGGATTGTAAAGACAATTGCGAACTTCTCGAGACTTGCCGAATATCAGCGCGACTAGAATTGCATTTACTTAATTTTTTCTGATTCGAAAGATTCTGAGAGAGAAAAATACCATGTCAGTGCCATTGACTTTTAGAGAGAAGAACAAAAACTTGGACAAGTACCATCGTTTCGACTTTACCACCCTTTGCCATAGTTTAGTATGAAATATTTGTTTTCCTTTTATATCAAACGCCAATTTCTCCACTTATTCGTGTAATTTAAAATTGACCGACAGAATTAATTAAGAAGTTGTGTAAACTAAAAATTGACTCACGGAAAATTCATGCACAAAATCAAAAAGATCGATGATATTATTTTTAAGAATAATTTGTGTACAGTTTGAGAAATTCATTTAATTATTAGGATATGTGTAACGAAAAGTTCTGCATCAAGACAATAATTTATTTTTAACTTAGATAAAATCATAGATCTCATGATTCAGTAAAAATCTTTGTAATGTTATTGCGGAAAGTACTAGAGAGACCATTGATTTTTATGCATTTCATCGTAAAATTTTATTTATATTGTGGAACTACATCACTAATGTTGTTAATAAATTAGACAGAAATCATAAATTTTCAACGCGCAGACTTTCAATTATTCCTGTATTAGGTACACCCGCCATGCAGCCGTGCTGCGCAGGTTGCAGAACTAGAAAGGCTGTAAAACCAAATCTTCAACAAGACATTAATATTAGAAAAATTGAAACATTGCCCAGCTAAATTTTATTATCATACCTTTTTTATGTTATATTGGCTGAAAGAGGAAAAGATAATGTAGACAAAACTTTTTCTTCTGTGAAATAAGAAAATTCATAATTTTTATTTAGTTTAAACTTTCAATGCAAATAAAAAATCCAATGCTTTATTGCTCCTCCTTGAAAAAGAACCTTACTAGTAGGAATTCCTATTGTTCATTATTTGGTATGTTGTGAAACAGATTGCTATTATTTCTTAATATTTTTAGGTCTATGTTCCACAAATTAGAAAAATGATCATATTTTAAATATTTACAGTACAAAGATGATCAGTTTGATTCACATGGAGCTGATAAAGAATAACAATCGATAAAATTTATGATAAAAAACAAAAACAAATTATGCCTCAAATAATTGATCTCAAAACTCAATAAAATATGCATCTCATTTACTTAAATTTTGCACTTAATTGATCATTAAACGTTTTTAAATCATACAAATTTTTATTCAGGACAAATACAAAATTTCAACCTCCTCCCTGGTAAAAAGTTACACAAATTATCTTTAATTTAATGTAAAAAATCTGTTTCTTTCCCATTCTTTTCCTAGATGGACTTACTCAAAATTCGCAAAGGGCCAGCGTTTTTGGTGTCCCCTTCCGCCTCTTCATCAGACACAGTGCTCTTGTGGTCTTCAACTAAAATTATTCATTATTAAAATATTATCATGTGTAAATAAAGAAAAATCTATTACATATTCAATTTTTGACACACAAAATCCCTCTTAAAGAAAATAGCTAAAATTAAAAAATATAATAATTACCAGTGAAAGATTCAGCATTGGAGTGATCAGCCAGATTTTGCTCAAAAATTTGGAACGCGCCAGAAACGTTTTGAAAATTAGTGCTGCTTCCAGACTCGAAACCGACACTTTCATCAGAGGTGATTTGGTATTGCGACTCGCCAGCTTCGCCCGTGGTTGTATCAGTAGAGTTGGAGGCAGCACTACCCTCTCCTGAATTTAAAAATAAAAAAAAAAAATCGATCAACCACTTCATGTCTCATTGTATACATGGTTTTGAGAAAAAACAAAAATGTATGATTATGGCGCTTTTCAGATGTCAAACACAAAAAATGTAGATACGTCTCTTATTTTATTTGATACAAAAATTATTTTGCTTGCTTAATACGGTTTTTTAAGTTCTGTTACGGAAATAGAATGCAATATTATTTAAACTTAAAACTAAATCATCATTTTTACCTATGACACTATCAAAGTCGGACAAGATTAGCTCCATTGTGCTGGTGGACGTAACAACCTCCGACATATCGTCAAGATTTTCTAATGAGAAAAATAAAACTTGATGTAATTTACATCACGAGTTGGGAAAAAAATATTTTTAATAAAAAACAATTTATCTCTTCAATTTGCCTTTTTAGAAAATTGTAATTGATAAAATATATGTTTTTTAAATTAGTTTCATTGAGAGATATTTAAAAAATTGATGAATGATTATTTCAATATTCAGCAGGCTTGATGTATTTTTAAAATTGGTACCGATTGTGAATAGAATTTGAATGGTGCAAGAGGTAAATTGTCAACATCAGCAATTTGATTTAAATATTAAATTAAATCTACCTCCTCCTTTGGCAGTTTCCTGAATCAATTTTTCCTCAACAACTGCACCAGCCTCCTCGTCCACAGCATGGATGTTCTCAACTGGTCCAGCATTCATGGGGGTTGTTGTATCAGTATTATTTTGTATTTTCTCGAGCTGCAGAGGAGCAAGACTTGCCGCTGGATCAGCAATTTGAGCTTTCCTGGCCATGCTTTTTGGCACCTTCACCGACTGCAAGGGGCCGGCAAAGATGAGGGGAATAAGCCGGGCCATGCTTCGAGTTATCATCGTTCTCGGAGGCTGCGTCAAGAAAGTAAAATTAATACAACAATTTATAGCTGAATTCAATTATTTGCTTGTTCGTCAGAATTTGAGAACTGAATTTAGTGTCAAATAATTTATTTGTTAGTCAAGGTTTTTCTTGGTGATCGAATTAAAAAACAATTAAGTATTATTGCTATTGATGTTTATTTGTACAAATTAATGCTTTAAATAAACGCCAATAATTATAAAGGTTATCTTTTTCAATTTAAAATACAGTAGACAAAAGTCAAAGGAATTCTTCTTCCAATTTAATTTTTAATTTTTTTTTTCTTATTTTCCGATTATCAATTCAAAAACTAACATTACATGTTATTTTAAAAAGCTAATAATTTTACAGATCCCAAATGAATATTCAAAATCTTTCTAGCGAATGGTGAAAAATTGTATAGCAAAATAAACAAGAAAAATACAAATATTATGAGTTGGTGAGAATTTTAATCTTTTAGGGCTTCGCGAAAATATTGTTGATTTAATTTTTTTTATCAAGAACTCCTTGAATAGGTTTCTAATGTGTTGAGCTCTTGAATATAATTTTTTTATTTTTGTGTGAAATCATAAAGTTAGCCGTGACGAATTCTAAGATGAAGCGGCTGTTGGCGAATTTACAGCGAGGTTGGGATTCTTGAGGCGTTTGGGTAGTGCAAGACTAAGAATTCTCTGCAGAATCGGAGCAAAAATTCGTCAGAAAGTCATTTTTACCACTACATAAAGTCACTTTATCGCTATATTTGACTGAGGATAGCGCAGGATCGGCGCGAATTGCTGCTGCTTGAACAATGAATAAAAACAAAATAGTTGCAGAGAATTTCGTCTGTGAATTCAGCGGCAAGAAAAAACATTCGTAAATGTGAAATAAATTTAATTACTTTTCTGTAAATTTAAACAAATTTTGGTAAAATTCGGATTTCTCTCTTATACCATAACGGTTAAATTGTATGTTGACGAAAGTTTTATGTAGTTACACTAAATAATATTTAGAGGTAAAAGAATATTATTTTACGTACCCTTTCGATGACTTTTTTCACTTTGTTTGATTTCCTGGGAGGCCTGTCTGATCCTCTTGGTGGAGGGCCGCTGATTTTTGTCATCTTCAAGCGTGCGTGTGATTAATTTACCCCTTGCAAAGACTGAGTGAGATGCGTGGTGCGTGGTGCACGCTGAGATTCAAAGAAAGAGAACACAACTTTACTGCTCTTGTGCGGTGCTGCTATCAGCACCTTTTTCAATTCGGGCTACGGCCAATCGCGCGCTCCATTCAAAAAATGTATTTTGTTATACGAAAAATATTAGCCATGATTGAATAGTTTTTGTGTACTTATAATTTTTTTTAAATCTTCAACAATTTTTTTATTATATTGTTTTTATTATTTATTACTAAATTAGTAATTTAATTTGATATTTTATAAAAAAAATAAATAAAAAATATTTATTAAATTACATTTTTTATAAAATTATTTGTTTATTACAATTTGGAAAACTACTGATTCTTGTCTAATATTGAATGTATATTTGCTAATAGAATTATTTCAATTATTGTATATTATATTACATTACGATCTTCATCTGGTAATATTTGCATTCATTTGCAAAACGATCACGTTAATCTCTTTTCAGTATGTATTTTCATTGTGAGACTTCTATGAATTTTTATTGCATTTATTTGTAATTGAAAAAATTTTGAAACAAACCTCAATGGTAATCAAATTAAGTATGTACAACAATTATATTGTATAGTTTTGTGCATAAAAAATCTCTGACTATCGTTAAATAACTCGATTAATGCTCAATCAAAGCACAATTTTACTTATTTACCATAATTAATTATTTAAAAAGATCAAAACAATGAAATTTTTCAATATGAGCTTGGTTCGAAGAAATACAACAATGAGTATTTATACCTGAAATATAATGTTTTTTTTTTAATTTTCTTATTCCCTTAATAAAAAAACACACACTAATTATCCAATTTGGTAACTAATTTCGGTATCATATTATTTAAAAAATAAATCAAATAACAACAGCACATTGAAAAACTCAATGCCGCCTATGCGGCCTATGGTTATTTATTTTCTCCTTCATAGATCTCGCCAGTGCACGAAACTTCTTATTTGACAAACGACTTCATAGCTTATAAATTTTATGGGCGCTTTTCTAAAACCGAGAGTGACACTGCCAATGGCAGAGGAGAAATCGAAATTTTGTGTGTGCCCAGTGGTCGTTTACACTTTCATCGGAAGGTCAAGGCCAGGTCGGGTACAGACACAAGAAAGAAGATGAGGAATGAAGAAGAAAAGTGTGTCGCGGTTCCGTTATGCTGCAAGCATTCAAACTTTGCATGCGTAATTGTTCAACACTTCAGTAGTCATTTACTTTCCCTGATTCATATTGAGTATATCGCATATATCTGCACAAATTTATAAAAAATAATCTATATCAAGAAACCAAGACTCTACCGAGAACACTTTGCTGTTAGTTAGAAGATCATTCATAATTAATTGCAAATCTTCTAAATATTTAAAATATAAAAGTACCTCACTGTCAAAAAAACAAAATCAAAATTACACAGAAAATGTAAAGAAAATATTTTTTATGAATAAATAAGTTAAATTAACGAAATAAATTGTTAATAAAAATAAATGAATAAAATGTTTTAAAAAATACAATAAAAAAACTGCACCAAAAATACAAACATGTAAAATTTTTTAAACTGTTTAACAAATATCAATTACCTATTTTATTTTTATTGAAGATAATAATTATACATTTTCATTCATTCATCATCGCTTTGGAACAACAAGGTAAGGAAATGTTAGCTTATAAACGTAATTGAAAGTTAAATAATATATTTTCTCACACATTCTCTGGTCGTATAAGATTTTTTAGAAAAGAAAACATCTTAAAGACTTTTCGTTGCACAAAATATCATATTGTTTTCATTGCTGAAATTTATCGCAAACTTTTTGTGGAAAAAATCATTCAGTTTTCATTCTCTTCATAAAAATATTGAGATTGCTACATTTCTATTTTTACTTTTCTAGGGTTTTAATATGAATGTGTTTCCAGTATGGAGCGAAGTTGAACGAAATAAACATTAATAATTTGCAACTTATAAAAAAATTATTCCCATTCATTTCAAACAATCAATGAAACAAATTTAAAAAATAAATTCATGCAAAAAAATCCAATTTGAAACAAAAACGATCGAGTCGACAAGAATCATGGATATTAATTTCTAATTAGGACAAGTAAACAGCACTCAATCTAGTTGTGTACATCTTAGGCATTCGCATGTATGCGCCAAAATACAACGTAGTAGAAAAAAACAAGTGAGAAAATTGGCATGCAGCGCGAGTCGTCAGCTGATTGCGATTACTTTTATTAGTCGCGGGCACGCATGGCTGGTTTTCTCTTTCGTCGTCCGTATCGGCGGCGCGGCACCTACTTTGCAGCACCAACGCGAGAGAGAAAGAAGTAGGAGGGTGCGAGAGCAATCCTGAGGAGGCTGACCATTCATCGGCAATGGTTAGGTAGTCAGTAGTGTTCGCCGATCGCTCCTCTAGTCAACATCCATCAGTGCGAAAAATCGGCCGGAAATTTGCACAATTCCCCCTCCAGTGACCATCCCTCTCGCTCAGGTGAGTTGCGCACGTTTTCGTCTGAATACAATTAGCAATTATTACCATTAACAACTCTCAATTATGATCTATATAAATCGAACAGAGGTAAATCGTGCGAGTCTTTTATTTCTTTCACTGAACGGTTTTCAGAGAGAGAAAGAAAGAAAGTGAAAAATTCCTGCACAGCGTTTTTCATTTTTTGCCTTGAATTGCTTTTAAATGAGCTGCGAAAATTCTCAGATGAAAGTTTTGAGAGAAAATTCAATTGAAAAGCTGTGGTTAAGAAGAGTAGGTAAATTGCCTTGGCATTGAATTTGATTTGACACAGTAGTGTGGTTTTACAATACAATTTTCATTGAGTGAGAGAAGCGAAAATCAAGAACGACAAGACCCAGATTTCTTATTTTTGGAAAATTTATTAAGTATAGGATCAAAATTAAGATTCATTAAATTTAGAAAGAAATCAAAATTTTATTTATCTTCTCGTTGAACTGAATTCAAGACAAAAATGAAGAGAATAAAACGTGCTATGTCATTGTTTATTGAATAAATTTTACTCTCAATTGTAATGATAAATTGAAATTAATACTACATCTTACATCAGGGCATAAAAATTTTTTTAAAAGTAGCATTTTTACTACCAATTTTCCTTAGGAGATAATTTTTGGGAATTATTTTACAATATTATTTGCAAGTCAGCTTATATTGCACCTTAAGTAATTTATCTCCAGTCGATTATTATGTACAATGCGGAGATGGCGGGTTTTCGCCTCATAATGACAGTGTGTCGTGTGTTCCCTCCGTATTATGGATTATTATGCCGAGCGCATTTATCTTTCATCAGCGCGAATTCGACGCACGCTTGTGTATATATTCGAAAGGAGAGAAAGAGCTGGCAAAAAGAATGACATAATTAATAAAGACCAAGAAGTCCCCTCCAGAGGTTCGGTTCAAAAACTTTCATGCTCTAAATAGGCCTCGAGCGCGGCGCGCGACTCTGTGTATTCGAAAGAAAGTCACTTTGGCATTTTCCTAAAGATAACTCTTGAGAGTTATTGTTCGACGTGAACAATATAAATAGTTAACTCCTGATTGCAATCACGAAAAGAAAAACTGAATTAAATTAAAAATACAAAATCTATCGAAAATTAAAACGAAAAGAAAGCTCTCCGAGGATTAATAAAGATCTTTCATTAAGTCAGGCGGCGCCGATTCGGCAATTATCGAAAATTGTGTTGCATTGAGAATCAATTTGTGGAAGTGACCGTGAACTTGAAGATTACTCTCAGTCAGTCGGCCAGTCAATCTCTGCTTCTTCTTCTTTCTCCACTTGAGGGCCCGTGGGAAAGAAAGTAGGCCGGCCTGGATGGAGGTCACCTGCGCCGCCTCAAATGCATTCAATATATACACATGCCGCTCTTTCAATGCTAACTACTCGCTTGTTTAACTACTCTTCTCTTTTGCGCCTCGTCCGTCGCGCAAACATTATTCCACGTTCGCGCGGTCACTTTCTCCAGCGCTAGCCAGCTGATCAAATTTAATCAAGATGAAATTTTAATGAGCGAGTCTGTTTTGATGAAGCGCCAACGCACCTGCCTGCGTTACATAACATTGTGAATTAATTTGCTTGCAAGCCAATTTAAAATCATGTTTACGTTTATGTATTTTTACAAATCTATAATTTAAGCATAAAGTTTTAAACAGAAAATTTTGTTTGAAAATTGCTTTCTTTTTAAATTTACGTAAGTTGCATAAGTGATTATAATTCTAGTAAATTGAAATTGTTTAATTTAAAAAACATTGTAGTGATTCAAATTTAGGATGAATGCAATGAATATATTTTAAATTTGTTTCTGCTTTAAAATAATTAAATATTAGATGTAATTCTTTATTTCACTCTTTGGAATAAAGCCAAAAGTAAATAATTTAATTTAATTTGTTACTTTTTATTAACTTAAGAACATTAAATTAAAAACCAATTCAATAATTTTCTTTAAAAATTTTGAAAGGAAAAGAAACCTCTTCTTGGTAAATATAAGAATCACTTCTTCCGTCACGATTGTCCACACTTTCCTCGGCTGTACGTTTGCCGAAGCGGTGCTCGCGGCTGGTTCAATAGACAAGGCCGGTACTGCCTTGACTTTGAACTCTGTCCGGCCCGAGTGAAAGGGTTGTGTCAATCACCGTTCGGCGTTTGCACAACCCATCCGCTTGGGAGAGAGAACAAGACAATGAGCCGCCGACTCTCTCCAAACATTGTTGGCGTGCGAACGTCCTGGAAATTAAATTAAATTTTTTCGTTCATCTATATAGCTCGGCGGGGTTATTTTCAATGTATCTCTCGGTACTGCAAAACGCAGCATTTCCCATATCGCTCTTCTTATTATTTTGACCCAGAATTTATACAAACGCAAAAAAAAAACGCGCATGATCTTTGTGAGACTATTTTCTTACCCTAGTTACAATGTATCCAGTATACAATAATAATATTTAGCTTGAAAATATGTAAAGAGTAAAGAATTTCTTCTTAGAAAGATCATTAACTTCCCAGATGAATAGAAAAAAAATTGAAAATTTGTCACTAGTACTTTGCAAAAAGTGGCAGTTTAAAATACGAAATCATTTTGAATTTAATTTATAATCCCTTACAATTTATTACAGACAAATTTTTTTGTTTTAAATTAAATATATTGTACTGTAATATTTTATGTTAAATTAATTTTTATGAATTTCCTTTAAATTAGATGGAAAATGAAGTTACCAAAAAGGACTGGAACTTTGGTCCTCTTCCGAGGATCTTCCTCGTCATGTTGGTGCTGTGCCAAATCTCAGGGAGCTTTTCGGCTGCGGCCGTGGGTGAATCAGCCAGAGACTTTGACGCCCAAGAGATTCTCAACGGTGAGATAAAACTAATTAATTTTTATTTTTTCGGTGTTATATCTTCTTTGCGCTCTCTGTGATAAGCATCTCGCAAACGAAAGTGTTATTATTTTCACTCTCACGCATGTAAATCGAGCGATGTAAGACAATTATGTTATTATAATCGCACGCTTTTTAGAGAAAGCATTTTGAATTTGACGAGTGGATAGTTTGCAACAATGCAAAAAACAAACGCTTTTATTCTTGCGCGGGGGCAAGCAACCGCAAAAACAGCTTTATGCGAAATTTTGCTCACTTACACGCACAAATCACGTTCATCGCATTCACTCTCACTGAATTAACATTCTCAAAACGGACTCTTATTTCCCTCCCAATTATTTCATTTGGCCCAAAAAATAGCAAAGTGTTTTTGTACTCAATTTTGTTTTTATTTAAATTTTAAGTTATTTCGACTAAAATTATTTGACTCTGTTAAATTTTCATTAACCTTTACACAAAAATTTCATATTAAGTATACCAAAAAAAATTTCAATAAAAACAATCAATTAAATTCAATCTTGTTTTATTTGACAATTTATAAGGGAGAAATTTCAATTCCTAGGTGCTTGAGTGGTAAAACTGCATATCCGTGTATTGGGAAATGTCTCGCATGCAAACACGTGTTATATTTTTTACACCTGCTGTTAATTTTTCTACAAATTTGCCCAACTGCAATTTCCGTTCTGAATGTTTGAAGGAGTCGCATCTGTGCTCTCATTGTCTTTGCTCTCTTGCATTGTTTTGCAATGCACGCGTGCGTGCTTTTTATAACAAACCATATTTTCGCTAATTTCGCAGCTGCCGCGCTGAGCATCATGGGAAGTGTCAACAATAATTCCCTCGAAACTTCCTCATCCGCCAGTGGATACAACGTTTCCAGGTTCATCGACGACTTTTGTAAGTACAACACCTGCTTTTTTTGTAATCTAACACATTAGGTTGCAACACGTTGCACTTTTACCCGTGCCTGATGCTAATTAAAAGTTGTGATTTGATGATTCATTAAAAACAGTCATAAATTTAAATTTATTAAAATCTAAAAAAAAAACGTTATTCTCCTCAAAATTTTACCTATTAAATATATTTATTCGTTTTTTATAGGACACTTTGCTTTTTTCTATTAGAAAATTAGAAAACATTTAGGATTAAAAACGTGTTGACAAAAAATAAGCGATGCAAATAGTGAAGTCTCATTCATCGGTTTTTTCCGTGATGAGTAGCCAGAGTGAACGCGTCGTGTATATTGACATTCTAATTTCACTGAAGGAAAGCTGCTAGAGAGGAGCTATTTCGAGAGTGACTTGCTCGATTATAAAAGTGTGATTGATTTCTAATGCAATGTATTTTAATTCACTGCTTAACCCAATTACGCGTCGTCTACGATTTTACTCGGCGCGGAAATACAAAAACAAAGAGCACCGATGCGATTAATTTTTGCTTTTTCAACCGCACAAAAAACAACAGTGCAATTTCAAGGATGCGCGGTTTCCAATTGCCCCTCAATTTCATCACAATTGCGCCCAATAGCAATATAAATAAATAAATAACATTATATTGGAATGAAATAATAATACAAAACTGTGGTTAAAGGAACGTGGAAGCTATAAATTAATACCAAGTCTCGGTATTAAGCCGAAATGGGCATGAAATTTACTACTTGTTCTGACAACAACGTGTCTCTCTTGCCAACTGCAGAGGAAAAACAAAAATTCCAAAGAAGACCAGAACTGGCAGTGCAGGTCGAGTCTATTTATATATCCTTTTCCTGAAGCTGCTATAAATCAATAAACTCGATCTCACGGCGTTTAGCTTTAATTAGAGTTGCAGCCACTCTCGCGACGAGAATCGATGTCTAATGTGTAATTTATCACGTATTTAATAATAATAATTAAGTTTCACGTTTATGCACAAGTGCATCTCGCTCTATGACGAGGGAAGATGCGATCGTGATTAATTTTTTAGATCACTAGGCCAGGTGACTTTTGCATTCAAACAAACGATGCACCAACGCATCTTTTCAACAATAAAATCGACGGCACGCTCTCCGAATATTTCAGAGTCGGAACAAAGCAAAGCGTCTGCATAATTATTTAACATAATCAGGAGACGTTGCTTGTTGTGAGAAAATATTTGTTCGTTTTTAGAATACAAATTATATATTACAAGCAGATCTAGGAATTCTAAACAATACCTTTTTGCGGTTATACTTCAGAAAATTAAAAAAAAAATTGGGTTTTTATATATAATATTGATGATTAATTAATTTATAATTCATTACAACTCAATTTTTATTGATGTGAAATATCAAGCGTTTATTTGTAATTTTGTATTTATATTTTTAATAGGAATTTTATTGTTTATAACTAAATAAAAATTAAATGTTATTGTATGAATTAAAATTTTATTTAACGTAAATAAACTTAACTAAACATTAAATAAAACTTATTTAAAAGTTTTATTAAATTAAATTTTGTACTTTATTTTTTTTTAGATTTTATTTTTACTAAATCTATGGTTAAATTATTATATCGAACTAAAAAATTATCCAATAGTAATTTTAATTTTTAAATCAAAATCTTTTATTCATCTTGCTATTTGCTATAATGTCCTCATAATTTATTATAATCATTATAGTTTATATTGAAAGGATTCATACTAAAACATCAGACAAGTTCAACGACACTTTATCAATTCACAAAATCTAGTTTGTCTTCCTCGAGCTGATTCACAACAATAATTAACACCTGCTGGAAAAATTGCAACGAAAAAACGCATCTGCCTTGATATTTATGACCAAGTGTATGATTCACGGCCAATGCCAAGCTAGCCCATGTGCAGCATTGTTCCGCCGCAATTACCATAAGGACAACTTTCCCTGACTATGCGCGGCGGTGTATTTCATTAGAGCGCAAGCAAGGGAAACCCCTTCTACACGCACGCACCAGAGCGATGAAACCAAAATCAAGTGGGGAAAGGAAGAAAGAAAGACTCGGCGGCGATTGCAGACATTTCTCCTCGAGGTGCACGCCGATCATGTCGTGGCGCGAGTGACTTCTGCAGTTCATACCATGGCCTCCTCCGTCCGACTGCTGCTGCTGTGTGCCATACTCACGTGTGCCCTAAGTGTCCGCTTCCCCGAGCGCCGGGACGCGATCGACGACGAGTTGGCCGAAAAGCCTGAGTCGGACGACGACAGTGTCCGGGACGCGCGCCACCTCGGTCCTGGCGGCTTCAGTGGTGGTCTCTTGGACACGGCCGTGTCTGCCGAAGACGCCGACCCGTACAGACACCGAGGCCGCGGTCGACGACCCTTCCCGCAGGACCAGCCCTTCCAGCAGTACCACCGGCCGTCCAGGGATTACGAGCTGCTCGTCAACCTTCTGGTCAGAAACTCGAGCAGTTGGGACAACATCAATGTCGACGGCGACCCCAGGAGATTTCAAGACCGGCTGGCCGCAATGCTTAACGACAGTAAGAGAGATTTCTTCTGACGGAAATGATTGGGGCTAATTTTTTAACTAAAAGGGGCCAGGGAAAAGTTTTCATGTTTAGAAAAACTTGCGAATTTTAAAATTAAAATATATATTAACTACGTAAGTAGTTTTTCTGACAATTATAGCGTGAAACAAGCATTAAAAACTCGTGACAAAATCTATAAAGGCCGCGCGTCTTTCATGAGATGAGCACGTTGGTTTTCGTCACAGAAGAATAATTGGAACGTTCGTATTTTATATAAACAAGCAAAGTTGAAACTTTTAGGTTAAAAAGAATAGTTTTTTAAAGAGAGCGAGCACTCACAAAATATTTTATTTTTTGGCTACAAGCACTTTTATTGGGTTTAGTAAAAGAAAATTTCTTAATTAAATGAAATTTCACAATGACAACTGAAACGCATGGAAAATTGTTGTGAATCACAACCGCAGTGAAAGCCGGCGCACTTTATTTAAAGCGGCAACAATTATAGTTAGTATAGAGTGATAAGGGGCCACCTCCAGCTATTTGAGAAAATGAAAGTGTGCTCAGGGTTCAAATAAATAAGCATCCTGAAAGCCAAGAGCGCACCTCTCAAAGGAGACACTCTTTCAAAAGGCAGCCGCCTGGGAAACCCCATTCACTTTCACTGATCCTTCTAATAATGTAATCGCGCCCATAATTGAGAGACGCGACTGTTCAGGTAGACAACAGGTCCATTGACCAGAAGAGTCCTCGACGACCGTGACTCATCTTTCGATTGCAAATTTTGCAATGGCGAAGAGAAAACTTTTAAATGCTGACAAACAAGTTACAGTGGAACAGGATCAGGAAATAGAAAAATGACAGCGATTATTCAATTATATTTAACGTCACTTAAGAAAATACACAAATATTTCGCAACCAGTGTTTCACTTCTTAAAATAATTATATTCTGGTTATCATAAAAAAAAAATGAAATGAAAATAAAAATTCTTTTTTAAAAAAAAAGATAAAATTAATAAAAATGATTAAATTCTCTAAATTTTCATTTCAGTGATACCCCAATCATGCTGGTATCGTGGAGAGAAGTTCGAGTGCGGCCTGAGTTTGAGTTGCGTTCTGAGCAACAGCAAACCTTTGGACCTTTGCAGCGGCGGCATGATTTGGAGTTGCTGCGTCCCTCACCAAAAACTGTCCTCCAGCAACGAGGTTTCAACCCCCGCAGTCGCTGCCCTTGAAAATGCCAGTAAGTTTCCAACCATTGACTTTTAAAATCATCAAATCTATTAATAATTAGCCAAACTAATTTATCACTTTTTTATAACACTCACAATCACCAAACTTTTTAATTATTTTGACCATTTTTGGATAAACTTTTTTCAAGAGGGTGTTTTTTTTCTATTTGAATATGGCCATGTATGATTAATTTTGCGTATCAGCTCTCGATTTTCTACTGAACCGTCCGCCGTCCACCAATAACTTTGACAATAACTTCAACGACCGGCCCTTCTTTGGGCCCAGTGGTGGTGAATCGCGGCCTCCGCCGTACAGGCCGCAGCCCGTCAACAACGTTCCGGACATCTTCAAACCAGGAGGCTTCAACGACCGGCCGCCGTATCGGCCGCAGCCCCAACAACCAGACTTCCCGCCACTCGACGACTTCAACCGTCCCAGTGGGCCGGCGCAGCTCAACTACAGGGGTACATTTTGCAGTCACACACTCTACACATGCAAAACTTCTCAAAAATAATTTATTACACACAATGACGCTATTTGCACACTGGGATAAAAATTGCTATTATTTAGGCATAAAAACTTTGCTTTGCTGACTATTATGATTTATTTCTTTTATCTATATATTGTTCTAAATTATTCTAAATGCTTTAAGTTACATTTAAATTTTATTTTAACACTTCAACTATTGAAAATTTTTAAAGAATCTAAATAATTATGGCAAAATTCTTGTTAAATTTAACTACGTTTGTTAATTTTTACAATATAATTTGACCTTTACCAACTTCATTAACAACTAAAAAAAATTCTAAAAATTTTCTGATTTTTTATACATCAAATCAATTAATTAAGGTAGCAAAAAATTCCTTCATATTTATTTCATGGCTACTTGTGGTTTTTGCTCTTGCTAAGACTGTTTGTAATATTTTTTTTAGCGTTCCGCCAGCTTTTGCTTAATCCAGATAACTTACAAATACACATTTTTAACACTGACTGACAGACTACAGGACAGCAACTTGGACATGTAATCGACCAAGGACCTCTACTAAAACCAACCTCAAGCCAGACGCGACCGTTTGATTTCGGCTGATTTTTAGCACAACTTCTTTTTTTAGCTTTGTTTCTCTTGGCTGCAAATTTTTCCGCTTATCTTTTCTATATCAATGGAAATCAATAATTTTGGATAAAAATTATTGAATTGCAAAATCTATATTTCGGTGAGCCTCACCCACAAAAGCTTGCACGTCTCTCGAAAAGGCGCGGACACCTCTGTCGTTCAGCAGCACTAAACACACAAAGCACTTTCTGCTTTGTTTACAAAGAATGATACACAGACCGCGTTGCATCCCATTGTTAACTCACTGTTGCCATTACAATAAGCAAACAATATCCTGTGTGTTCGCCAAAACTTTTCATTTCTCGGCCTTTTTGCACATGTGGAGCAAAAGAAAGTGAGTTTAATGAGCGAGCTTAAGTCGTCGGCGCTTCTTTACGATGCCGCGCCTGTATGATTTTCGAGAGACACGAAGAGCGCGACGACCTCTTTCCTATTGTATGACATTATTATTTCTCTCTCGTTGTGACATAGTTTGTTTGTGATCTTTTATATGTTCTGACTGACGATTGCCTCCTCTTATCACACGTGCGACTCTCGACTGAGAAAATTATCAGATCCCATTTAATTTATCCGCCCGACTTACGCTCCAAATGCTATTTCATTTTAGGCTGCGGTGAGCTCTACTCGCGCAGCAACCGCATCGTTGGAGGCCACAGCACGTCCTTTGGCAGCCACCCTTGGCAGGTAAATAATCAACAATAATTTTTTTATTAAATTAGATATTTTTCCTGAATTTTTTTATGTTATTTTTTTTTATCTTCATTGATTAGTTATTTAATTGATTTAATTATTTTAAACTTTTGTAAATCATTTTTTGCCTGATTTTATCCGTCTTTTTCAGGCTGCCATCATCAAATCTAGCTTCCTGTCCAAGAAGCTCTCTTGCGGAGGCGCGCTGCTCAACAACCGGTGGGTGGTGACTGCGGCGCACTGTGTAGCCACGTAAGTGCCAACTTTCTCCATTTCTCTTTCCCCCATTAATATGCCAAAGATCCTGTTTAAGCTCAGCACAGCTTTTATATCGCTTAATGAATTAAAATGAAAAAAAAAATGCTGCTTTTTAATTAGCTTATGCCCTAAAAATTTTGCAGAACTTCAAACAGTAACTTGAGAGTCAGACTTGGCGAATATGATGTGAGGGAGCAATCCGAGCGCCTAACACACGAGGAATACGCCATTGAAAGAAAAGAGGTAAAGCTGGGATATTAAAATTAAATTTTTTTTTATTGATAAAATGTTTGTCAGTCTTGGTTTGGAAAAGTTTTTTATCATTAAAAGCAAAGATAAATTTTTAATTTTTTTTGTCAAATTATTTAACAAAAACGTAATTTAAAAGCTTTCAAAATAGTACAAGTCCTATTTCATCAAAAAAGACATCCTTTTTTATGAAAAAAGTCATACTTTTTCATTAAAAAAGATGTCCTTTTTCATAAAAAAATATACAAAAAGTTTTTTACATTTATTAAGTTTCATTATATTATCTGAACCAATCTGAACAAACACATTTTCTTATAAAATAAAAATAACATCATTTTTAATAACACATTTTATTTGCATCAGAAAAACATAATACGCCGCGCAAAGATACATTGCTGAAAATAAATTTTGGATTGGAATTGAAATAAAAAATTAAAAGAATTTTCACCTTTATTTTGTCTATAATCGATCAGCATATCATGAAATTGAAAAAATAATTTAATTACAACTACTGTCGCACTTCAGGTACACCCTCAGTACAATCCGACCGACTTCAGAAACGACGTCGCGCTGCTGCGTTTGGAGCGCGAGGTGACATTCAAACAGCACATCATTCCCGTGTGTCTACCCAATTCAAGAGTGAAACTCGTAGGCAAGCAGGCAACGGTTGCTGGATGGGGCCGCACCAGACACGGTACAACATTTCTACTGTTTTTAAAAAAAGAAAGAGACTTGAGAGGTAATTTTGACAAACAGGGGTGTCCTCGGTGCCGAGTGTGCTGCAAGAGGTGGACGTGGAGGTTCTCACCAACGACAGGTGTCAAAGGTGGTTCAGGGCGGCTGGCAGAAGGGAAACGATTCACGACGTCTTCCTTTGCGCCGGGTACAAAGAAGGAGGACGTGACAGTTGTCAGGTAAATAAAAATTATATTAATTATTAATATAACACATAAGTGGTTTTCTAATTAGAAAACCATATATTCCAGATAAAAAATGAAATAAATTTTAAAAAAATGTTAATGTTAAAATAATATGAACATAATTTAATGGAAAATTGTAATTTTATTCAGGGCGATTCTGGAGGACCACTGACTACGACGTTGGACGGTCGTCGAGTTTTAATTGGTCTTGTCTCGTGGGGTATCGGCTGCGGCAGGGAACATTTGCCAGGAGTGTACACCAACATCCAGAAGTTTGTTGGGTGGATTGAAAGAATTGTCGGCTGACGAGTGTAGAGCGAGTTGCTAAACCGTCTGTGATGTATTTATACCTGACACAGTTCATAGGAAGTCGTGATCGAGGTGTTAAAATTTGTGCCTAAAACGAGACCAAGTGACTTTTTACCTCTCGTGTACCAGTTCATTACACGCCTAGATGATTGTAAATGAAATTATACCAATAGCAAAAATAATCGCATTTCTTGAAAATTAACAATAGATACGTAATAATGATCCACTTGTCTGTATTCAAGTGGAGAAAAATACCAGATTTTACTGTTTTAACAAATAAGCTTTGAGCAAAATCTACATGTATTTATTGACTTGTAATATTTATTTTACAAAATCGGATTTTCAGATGAAAATTTTTGGTTAATATTTGGTTGTATTTTGTGCAAAGACCTGCATTGTCAAAAAAGGTAATTATTTTTTAATAAAATTTGTACATACGATTTGTTTTGTTTCTGATCATCTTATTGAATCAAATTAATGCATACAAACGATAAATTAATACAGTTGGAAGCAAATATATAAAAGTATCAAACAAAAACACTGTATGGGTTAAATCAGCCGGTTTCGGCCAATTATTTCTTACTTGTAAAAAGAAGCAAAAACATTTTTCTGACAGTGTGAAGGAGAAGGGGTCAAAAAATAGGACCTAGCAGACTAATTTGTTAAATTCAACCTTGCAGGATTTTACGAGTCAAATATTTAAATGGGAAGTTAGAATATCAATTCTAATAGAGTTTACACATTAGCACTTTTAAAGGCACCTATCAGGGTGAAGAGCTTGACTATCAAGAAGTACATCGTGACAGAAAATATTAAATAAATCCCAACATAAAATGCAAAACACAGCATCGAGTGAGATGAATATTGACTCAAAATCTCTCACTTCAGCATTTAAAAATACAGAGCATTTAATCCGTAATTGCGCGTTGAACATTTTCCACAATTACAGAATCGCCAGAAGTGAATCTTAGAACTCCTCTGTCATTGCCTTCAACACTGCTGGGCCTGATGATCATAAGAGGAGCAAGGTTAGGTGCCTTGCTGGAAGACATTCGTCGAACGGATATGGGTGTTTCAGGTGGTTTATTTTCAACATGCCGTACATCAAACAACTCTGCTGTTGAATCGACGTGGACCAATTCTTGTGCAGGTGTGGTGACCACCTCTTGCATTTGGGTGGACGAATCAACAACAGCAATGACTTCAGCTGAAAATGATAAAACTCGAAATAAAAATTGAAAATCGAGAGAATAAAATTTTACTTCTGCTCAGCTGCCTAGTGACAGAGCAATCTCTGTGGGCGAGTAAGAGATCTTTGGCGTTTGCAGCTTCTGCTCTGTAGAACATCATTTGGTTTGTAATGCGTCTGTTCTCGTTCTGCAGGTCCTTAACTTTGTCCTCCAGCTCTTGCACCCTGTGCAGCAAAGCGCCCTCCAAGTGTTTTTTCTTCTTTCGAAATCTTGCAGCAGCAGCTCTGGATTGAATTAAAAAATAAATACATGAAAAATGTATTATGGTTTCAAAATGAAAAATCCTTACCTATTTCTCTCCAGTTTTTTTGACGCTTTGTCGTCTACATTTTTCTTTGAGATCTGAGATTTGTTCATTTTAACTGGTTTTGATGGTTGCTAAAATAAATTATATGAAGGCATATCTGGCAAATATGAATTTTCATTGGTACTTACTGAATTAGATTCATCATTCAAAACAATAGAAGGTACAGCTACTCGTTTCCGACTCACTTTTTCTTTCAATTTCTGCAATTATAAATACAAATTAACCAAAATATCAAAATATTGGATTGACAAAGTACTTCCTTAGCCAAAGAGAGTTTAGGTGGTGGTGCAGGGGCGACAGGCTTGGGCAAAATGTGGATATTCGACGGACCGGCAACTGGCTCAGCCAGAATGTGGTTCGCAGAGACAGGTACTAAGTTTTCAGCTACCATAGCTCCAGCCTGCTAAAATTTAGTTTAAATATTAAATGCAACATATGTAGGACGTTTAAACCCACATCGACTGGTGTAGTGGTGTAGCTGCATTGGATGACCACAGTGGGCATTGTCGTGGGTTCAACGGGCTCTCCGTTCATTGTTACAAACCTGCCGTTTGGCAGCTGGATTATGGGCAGATACTTTTTAGAATCCACTGTCGCAGGGGTTTCCTCGAGAACCATATGAGCAGGAGCCGGCTCGACCAAAGGCTCTGCAGATTTCTGCACCTCCGACTCCAATAGGATGGTAGATTTAGGCAGCATTTCTATTTCTCTGTGACTCGTTTCGAGCTCTTTTTCCGGAGTCGACATAATATCGATGTGGCGAATTGGGAACACCTGAGGAGTATGGAGCGCGTCGTCGATTGGACCTGCCATCGGCTCTGGCTGAAATTAATTAAATTTAAATTGAGGAACAAGATCAAGGCTACGTGAAAGACCTGCAACGGTGCTTCTCCCATTTTGACCGCCTCGGCCGCCTTTTTGAACTGCTCCTCAAAAGGGTTAACATTCTGTAGGTCTTGAAACAGACCGACCTCTTCCCCGTATCTAATGAACCGTGTAGGCGTAGGTGTCTGGTCAGCTGCCGAAAAACATACACAAAGTTGTAATAATTTATTTAGCAGAAAAACGAGCAAATTTACCGATGAAGCTGTTTTTGCCTGCAATTGACAGGCACATGTCGTGCTTCTTCTTGTGGACTGTAAGATGATCTTCGTTGGTAAAGCTCTGCAAGGAAATTCATTGTAATTAAAGTGTGTCGGCGTTAACCTTTCACTTTATTTTACATACCATCCCACAGCCCTGCTCAGTGCAGACAAAGGGCTTTTCCGGGTCGCACATCTTGCTTTCTACGACATTCCACACGCCCTTGGCAGAAATCTTGTTCTCGGCATTTTCAGAGTCGAGGTGCTCAAACCTGCAGCCACGGAATTGTTTCCGAACACCTTCAGCTTTGTTATGAAATTTCAGACTTGTGCAGTTTCCAAAAGGTTACCAATCTACCAATGTTACGCAGTTTTGCCAACGTGCGAAATTTGACACACGCTGTGGTTCAGGTGGTTGCAGTGCTTTGGTGCTCGACGGACCAATCACAACGCGGATTACGACTGAAGCCGACCAATGAGGGCCGGATCCCTGGGCATTTACAGCAAGTTCAGACTTCGCCGGCAGGTGGCTCAAGGGTCGCCAAATTGGAATGCGGGCCGAGAGGGGTGGGGATGCACGGCTGCTGCAAGAAAAATAACTGAAAGAAGACAAAGGTGGTCGCGAGCAGCAGCAGCGATTTGTTGTTGATGGTCGCAGGTAAACTCTGATCTGACGGGCTTTGCGATTCGTATTCGCGTACAATTCAATGTGGAAGGACTACAATGACGCTTTAGCCAGCAAAAAGATGAACACCTCGGACACTTTCAACATCTCAGGTGAGCATCTAACGAGTTTCCGTGACGAAAACAATCTCGGTCGCGGAACAGTTATCGCCGCGAATATGTTCATCCCGCCCAGGAATTATCTCACTCGCCCGAGGAGGAAGAAATTCGTCCGAATTTGGCGAGGGGCAACGCCAATTTGAAATATTAATAATTTCGGACATTCGGGCAGGGCATTGATTCGAGGAAGTGGCGGTCAGCGACTGCTGCCCCTGCGTTTGCTGATTAGCATTCAATTGCCATCTCAATTTTCTGCCTCTCTTTCATTGCACCAACACACGCATGCAAATCAGTCGTGTCCTGTGTACGCACTCGAGTGTCCGATCCTCGATCCGTTTGGATTATTTTGTAAGGCTTGAGGACGAGTAAAGAGACTCGCTTGCCCAAACCTGTTGTGAGTTAATTAATTACACAACGCGTTCGATCCATTGCAGAAGTCCGTCGGGTACTCTTGGGTGTTGTTTTTTTTTTAATACTGCGTGCGTGAGCGGCGAATCGTTCGCCTAACTGTTAAAAATCCGCCGAAAGAATTTTATTAAGTGGTCCGTCTCGCGAATTAAGTTTTGCTTCGCGTGCGACCTCTAAAAGTCTCAATCTTTGCATTCGCGCAGTTTTCGCATCCTCAGTGTCACTCGCTTTAAACAAAAATTATTGTTATTAAAAAAAGTTGATAATAATTTCAATGATATATAATTGGTTCTTCATTTTGGGTGATTTGCAATCACCTTAATTATTAATATACAATTTTTTCTATTAAAAGTTCTAAATTTGTAATTTAGGAATAAATTATCATTTTTTAAATGAACTCGTCATTTTAATTGAATGAAACAAGCAAACCCATTTAACATCTTACAATTTGCTTACTAAAACTGGCTTGCATTAATTTTATTCATCTTGATGTTGCTATTTGTATCGTTATTTTTTTTTTTTTTTTAGAAAATTACATTTAATATGTTGCCAAAAGTTCACATTTTACATTGAAATATAAATTTTTCTTTTATTCAACCTAAAAACTGATTAAATCAGATTCTTTCTTGAGAACCAATTTCATAATAATTCTCTTTTTACATAAATTTTACATTTTTAGAACTACAAAATTTTCAGAATTTTCAGGAATGAAAATAAATTATTCTTTTAATTGTTCCCAAATTATATAATGTCCAACATTTTATTATTTTAGTCTTTAACATGGATTTTTCAATTAAATATTTACAATTAATTCGCCTTTTTTAATTATATTTAATGTTAACAAATAACAGCAAATTTTGTTCGAGTGCAAAAATTTTAAAACTATGAGGATGTGACACCATTCTGACACAAATCTTGCAACCGAAGAGTTCTGGACGTTTTCTTAACCAATCATCCGGATGTGGAATTTCAAAACTTTAAATTTTTTCCTTCATTTTATCTTTAATCTAATTTAAAAGCAATCTTTTTTCAACTTGCAAAATACCGAAATTCCTTCTGTTTCTCTTCGGCTTATTAATTAAATTAATTAATAAGCAAATCATGGATTAAAACTTCAGTATTATTGAAATTTTTGAGCGCAGAGATTCCTTTTTATTTCTCCACTAGAATTGAATATTAAATTACTCAACAAAAAAGTAATTTAATATTCTGTTCGCGTCGTCTCAGCGTCAAAACAAAATCGCAGCGAGATAAACGTTTTCGGAGAAGCAAATTAGGATCGACGGCCCAAATGAGGCACAGGGAAGCGGAATTGACAGAGAACAGTCGGCGTCTTCTTTAATTTTCTTGTCCAAATTTGATGGAAGTGCGTCGCCTATTTGCCCAGGGCGTGACGTCACGGTTTCTGCGAAGTGACAATTTGAGTAAATAATACTCTCGGCAGGGATACGGTTATGAAAATAATAAGCGCTTCATCGGCGCCCATCCCCGAAAAATAGAAATCCTCACAAATGTTGACAGAATAATATCGCCCTGTCTCATCACAACAAAGACGAGCCCTCAGGTGAAACTTTCTTGACAACTTTGAAACTTTTGAGGGGGAAATTTAATCCCAAATTACACAGTTCGCACGTGTGTTGATTGTGACTCACGCCCGCAGTGATAAAATCGTTTTATTCCCAGCGTGCTTGTTTTTTTTTTTTTCGTTTTTTGACCTGCTGGCAATTTGTAATTAAAATGAGTCATGATTCACGACAGAGCAGGATGTTGGAAAATGTAATTGCGTGAAGCTTTATCATAAAAACTGCACGGACATTTGAGAAATATTTATATGAATAATACGATGGTAATTTTGTCTCTTTGCAATTTATAAAATGCTCAAATTTTTCTTTATTTTGCTCCCAAACTCATTCTGACATTGTTTCTTTCTTATTTAAATAAAACCTTTTGAGACTTTTTTTAGATTTTTTTGCTTTCTTGGATATTTTTTAATTGAGTCATATTTTTTCTAGGCTTTTTATGTAAACTTCTGTTGCTGATTGACACTTTTTGAATGCTTCAAGCAGATTATTATTTAAATAATTTGAAGAAAAATTTCCATTTGAAATTCAGAGTGATCGTAAATTTTAAGGATTAAATAAAATTATGTTATCAAATTATTAATATTCATTTTACTATAATATTATTAAGGAAATTTATACTTAAAAGAACTTTTTTCTTACTAAAATTTTAACCTTTAATTAAATTATTCTATTTATTGTAAAAAAAAAACTTTTGGAGTGCAGCGATTTTTAGATTTGCTAATAACTTCTTAATTACATTTCGATTATATTGATGGCAAATAAAATACCTTTAATTTACAACTTTTTATTTATGCAGAAGGAATTTAATAAATTCCTATGGAAATAAGTTCAATTTACTTCCACACAACCCCCCTGAATTCCTTCTCTCTCATTACTTCTTAATTTGCCCTGATGTCGCACGGCCCCGTCTGACTTAATCACTTAATACGCCCGACGAGCATTAAGGGTGTCTGCAGCTTTTCGCTTAATTGCCAGATGCAGACCGATTGCAGGCGCTAAATTAGCTCTGGTTACTCGGAACGCCGGTTGGCGAACACCCTTCTTCTCTTGTTTGCAGCTGGAACTAAAATTAGAAAAATTGCTCTGCATCAAAATTCACCAGGCCGTGTCGGAAACAACGGCTGTTTGTTGTGTGCTTTAATGGTAATGATGAATGGCCGTTTTTCATCGCCGGCCGATAACGCAAATTGTTGCGTAGTAATTTTATCTTGAGAGTTTTATATTGATTAACTAGAAATTTAATCTCTCGTATTACAGGAAATTTCCAGATTTCATTGAAAATTATTTAATTGCAAATTATTCAAAAATTGATTTATGTTTAAATCGTTTAAATTAAAATCTTTTTCTTAAATATATTAATTATTAATTAATTTTTTAAATAAAAAGAAATATCATGAAATATTTACTGCTTAATAAGCGAAAAGTAATCTTTATTAATTATATCCAAAATATTTTTTATTTTTATCACATTTTTTGCTGATTTTTCCTAAAAAAGAGTTTTTCCTAACAAAAAAAATTATTATCAATCTGTACACAATTACCCGCAATTACCGCATAAATTTATAGATAATCAAAGGGGAGAGCGTACGAAGAAAGTGAAATTGTGTAATTACAATTCAATTGTGCTCTGCTTTCTTGCCAAGCAAGAACATGCCCCATTTCGGCCGCCGTAATCTCGCATCAAAATGATAGTGACGCACTGACTCGTTGTTTAGCCTCGGAGGAGATAAACGCGCAGAGGCTGATTCATGCTGAGCGCGTTTATTTATTTTTTGCGACAATCATGCGGAGGAAGCTAATGAAATGCAACGAGATTGTGTGAATGTCACTGCGAAAGGAAACGGAATTGATACGCGCGCTCGTTGTTATCGCGCGCGTTTTCCTCTCTGAGAGTTTTTTTCCTCGTGGATCAAATGAAAGAAAGAAAGGTCGTCTGAAACGTCTCATTCACTTTTCCATGAGGGGATTAGTCAGTTGGCAGGGTCTGTCCTTCTGCTGCTGGGAAAATACAGACCGCCACTTCCGATCCATATTCGTTTCACTCTCAATGTGCCTCGCCACGGTCGAGTTCGTTCCCATCATTTTTCGAGTGAATGACACGACGGTGTGCCATGGAATTTGTTCAAATATTTGACCATCACCGTTCGTTCAACTTTCTAAGCGGACAAATTACACCACATTGATGAGATTAAAATTGTTTTGGATTGAAACACTTTTACGAATTCTCTAAAACATAAGATTGTATATTTTATTAAGAAAAATTACTTTAAAAGAAACGTTTTTTATAATTATTTCGATTGAACAAATTATTAGTGTAATAAAAAATATATTAATAAATGTATTTTAAAGCTGAAGTTTTTTTTAAATAGTTTTTAAATTTTGAAAATTAATTTGCACAATCATCAAATATTATTAAAATTTAATGTGTAACATTATACGTTAATTACTTTTTACAACCACCTTTGTTTTGAAAAACCTTAAGGAGTCATGGATATAAAATTATAATTATTATTTTCAATTAATTTTAATTCAATAAAAAAATTGATAGAATTTAGGGATGACTGAAAATGTTGTATTATTGCCTTGATTTATATCTTGAATTAAATTAAATGTGTCTATTAATTAAAAACTAGATCGACAGTTTTGTAACTTCAATTTTTTGTAAAATTATTTATGTTATCTCACTTTTCTTTAACAACCGTTGTTTATTGTTAGCCTAGATCAAAGAGGCTTTTGTCGTTCCAACTACGAATGCGCAGCTGCGTGCGAGAGATTAGAGATAAGCCATTGGGTGTTTGGGCGAAAACTGCTCTGGCTTTCACGCACTTTACATTTTAGTAAACGCGTCTGCATATTGAAGACGGCGTAGAAAGAAAGGGTTGGGGAAAGAGGACGTGCGAACCGCAGCCTTACGCGCGCATCTTATTGTTCAGATTTGTAAGACTCGAAGCCGCAATGATTGCCACGCTAATTGTGCAATGTTTTGTTGTTGCAGACCTCAGCGACGAGCAGCAAAAGATGTTGCTGGAGATTCGCAAGCGCAAAATGGAGCTCATGCTTGAGATCCAGGTAAGGTATTCATTGCATAGCCCGTGATTGTCCAAAGCGGGGACCCATCACTTGTCCGAAAAGAGAGAATCTATACATTTAATTAAACAAGGATTGAGCCAAAACTTCTTCCTTTGATTACAGTTAGACTTTTATTATTAATGAAAGTTGAATAATAGCAACGCTTTATTTTTTTTCTTTTTCTTTTGTAAAAAGATTACCATGTTTATCTGATCAAAGGAAAAAGATATATTTTTTGAGAATTCAAAACCCAAAGAAATCACTTGAAAAGGGAAATAATTAGATTATTAACTTTTGACTTATCGCCTTTTACGTGTTTCAATCATGGCTCCTGAGTTTTGGAAATTTCAATTTACAAGCAAAGAATTATTTGAATGAAACTTTCGGACAATTGACGGTGGACCCGCCTAAGCGTAGTGCCCAGGGTGATGTGGTCACTTTTTAGTTAATTCATATTTCACGTCCCTCGACACTCACCGGACTCAGGCATCGAGTTTTTTTTTATATTATACAATAATATATTTTTGTTAATTTTCGTTTCTGACACTCGCCTCCTCCTCCTCCTCTTGGTTATTAGTAATTGGTTTTAATTTTTATTGGTTGGTGGCTTTCTCATCACTGACTGTGTCTCATCTTGAGCATGGGGACTGACCCGCCCGACCTGAATTAGTATTTAATACAAACGAAAGCAACAGAACGAGAGAGAGAAAAAAAAACTCTGTGACTGCAGTCGGCCAGAAATTGGCGGTGTGCTTTCAAAGGGTGTAGTGCTTGAGCGCGCTTGTGCGGGTGGCCTCCTCATGAGCTGGTTCAATTCCCTGCGGAGGGATCGCAAGAAGCGCCGGCCGCCCCTGCAGGGAAGCATTCGAGAGGACAGCACCGCCGAGCCCGCACCCGACGACCGCCCCGGGCACCACCATGTGCCGCGCTGGTTGCGCACCCTGCAATTCTCCCGCACCCATCACTCCACCCTGGATGTCTCGGTACACAGTCATGCACCTCAAGCCCACGTCCTCCCTCTATCGCTTCCCGCGTGCGTGCAAAACCGACCCACTCCAGCCAGCTTCAAACTAATCACCCTTGCAACCTTTTTTTAGTAATTTTTTATTTTTAAAGTTTTGATAAAATTTGTAGATACGGCCGAGAAAATTTTCCAATAAAAAACCACAATTCTTTTTTATACGTTTTACAAAATTGTAACTTAATCAAGCTTGTGGTTGATATTTTAAATTGAACAAATTATTTTTAACAAAATCAATAGGAATTTATTTCTAACGTAGCTGATTTAAAACTTTATTTAACTTTGAAGTGAGCAAGTTTGATAGCTGATTGGCTTGTGTTGAGATACAAAAATTTATACACCCAAACAAGGATGACCTCCCATCTTAATTCCAACTCTCCAAATTTGCTGGATTTTTTTTTAATTTTTGGTACTTCTGTTTCTTTTTGATTGGAAATTATTTGTCTGATTTTCTGTGTGTTTTCCTGCACATATTTGTACTTAATAAAAATTTAAAAGTTATTATTTTTGAACAAAAAGTGTAAAAATATTTATGTTTTAGCGTAATTTTGTTGGTTGATGGGAATGACGATTGTAACGCACTCCAGTTCACTCCTATTCCTTTGGTGATTGATGCCACCCACTCTTAAAATTATAGTTGAGAGCTCATCACAATCTCAGTAGTTTGTTTTTCATCTTTTTACTTTCTCAAGCACTAATCCTCGTGTTTTTTCCAATAAATTTATTGTTCTTTTTTTCCTTTTGGGCCAATCACTCTAAACGCATGCACTAACTTAGCTTAAGTTTCGATATTTTTATTTTCTGCACTGTCAACTTTGATTTGGCATCTTTTCAGCAACTCAAAGATGAGCTCGGCGAGGTGGTCTCCGAGATGGAGCAGATGGAATCGGCGGACGAGAGGTATATTTTTCAGTATTTTCACCGGAATCCAATTTCATGTCCTTGCTTCCAGCAAAAATAACACGTACAACAAGCAAATGTCCATGGGCAGAAAGAAGTTCAACATGGACCCAAAGAAGGGACTCGAGTTCCTAATTCAACACGGCCTGGTTCAGGGAACTGCAGAGAGCGTCGCCCAATTCCTGTACAAAGGCGAAGGCCTCAACAAGACTGCCATTGGAGATTACCTGGGAGAGCGCAGTGAATTCAACGAAGCCGTTCTCCGTGCATTTGTGGCTCTGCACGATTTTTCTGATCTTATCCTTGTGCAGGCGCTAAGGTATGATGCTTGTAAAAAAGTAAAAGCCCGTCAGATATTTATTTTCTCCATCTTTGATAGGCAATTTTTGTGGAGTTTCCGTCTTCCTGGAGAAGCTCAAAAGATTGACCGCATGATGGAGTGTTTTGCGCAGCATTATTGTAAACATAATCCTGACATTTTTACGAATACAGGTAATGTCAGTTGTTCTGATTAAAAATAATGTAGTTATAAATTTTCTTCAACAGATACATGTTATGTTCTTTCGTTTGCTATCATCATGCTCAATACAAGTCTTCACAACCCCAGTGTCAAAGAAAAACCCTCAGTAGAGCAGTTTATTAATATGAATAGGGGAATCAACAATGGTGGCGATCTACCTCGTGAACTTTTAGAGGTTTGTTTTCCTAGATTTCATATTATTTGTTGCGATCAATCAATTCGCATTGTTTTCAGAGTCTTTATGAGAGTATCAAAACTGAACCATTCAAAATTCCTGAGGACGACGGTAACGACTTGATGCACACCTTCTTCAACCCTGACAAAGAGGGCTGGCTCTGGAAGCAGGGTGGCCGCATCAAGAGCTGGAAGAGGCGTTGGTTCATCCTCAATGACAACTGCCTCTACTACTTTGAATACACGACAGACAAGGAACCAAGGGGAATCATTCCCTTGGAGAACATTCAAGTTCGAGAGGCGCAGGACCGTCAGAAGCCGCACTGTTTTGAGCTGCACGCCTCGGGCACTGAATTTATCAAGGCCTGCAAAACAGATTCAGAGGGAAAAGTCGTTGAAGGTATTTTGAAGACCCGTCATTTAAATTTAGATTTTTTATTTTATTTCATCAGGCAAGCACACTGTTTACCGTATGTCTGCCGCAACTGAAGAGGAAAAAGACGATTGGATCAAATGCGTTAGGTACGTTTGTTGGAGATTTGTCTTGGAAAAGTTGAAAGAACCATTTTTGTTTTATTTATATAGGCAAAGCATCAGCCATAATCCGTTCTACGACATGCTAGCCCAAAGGAAAAAGAAAGCTCAGAAAACCAACTCGCATCACGGAAAGAGTTAAAAGAGTGGACCGCTAGCAACTCCGTCCCGGCTGGCTGCAGAGATGGTGCTTACACGCGTGTTTTATCATTTTTGTGATAGAAGACTGACAAGGACTGTCAAACAAATTTGCAAGCATGTTGGTCTGCATCTTTGATAGATGCGTCATTTATATTATTTATAAAATATCTGGTCATGCATAGATGTATTATTTTTTTGTTATTAATTGATACACTGATCTAACTTTAGTGCCCCAGGTACAGTTTTACTGACTGACTGTTCGATTTTAATTTTGTATTCTTTACGCGCCCTCCCCTGGGCTCGAGGCAGAATAATTTTTCTCATCTGTAATCTGATGATTGGGCCTTGCCTCAAGCTGCACAAAATTTAATAAGTAAGAAGTGTAAATATAGATTATACAAACAATAAAACATGAAGAAAATTGTAATGTGCATTGGTTTTTGTTTATAAATCACAAGACGGTGCTTTTATTCAGATACAATATTTCAATTTATTGTTTTTCTCCTCAAAACAAGTTATTTTTCACTTATTGTATAGCAGGCAGTGCCCTGACAAAGTACAATTCCAGTTGGGCGGCCTTTAGAATAACTCAGGTCCCTGCTGGCAAACATGATCCTGTCATGCTGGCTAATTTACAATTCTTGTTGCATTATTGCGAGACCTTGTGGAGCTAAGAGAAGCATTGATTCTTAAATCATCTATGCTTACCACTTGCAGTTTGAAAGAGCGTGATTAACATACATTTGCGTTTAAGGCTTGGTTAACAACAACACATTAAAATGAATTAAATGGCAAAAAAAATAATAAGTTTTGAGTCAAGGATAAGTTGCAATAACTCCCGATAAAAAATTTGAGTGATAAAAACAACGGAAATTAACAGTGATAGCAGCTGCTTTAGTTCATCTAAAAATTCCAACAGGCAAATTGAAAATAAAAAATCTATTTAAATACAGAATGCATAATTCAACAATAATACTAATAGATTGGTGCATCTCCTCTAGGACTGGAGGCGCGAGGAGTTTTCTTTTATAAGTTTTATAATTAGTACGAGGGATCATCAAATGAAGGCCTGATGTTGTTTGCCATTTTCTCAATTACTCCGTTGACATACACAGCCACATCGACGTTAGATGCATCGCTCTGCCGGAGGAAAGGATGCTCTAGGAGTTTATTGTATTTCGGTCTTTGAGTTTCGTCCTTAATGAGACTGAAAGATAAAAACCAATTATAAATAAAATTCAATCATGAATATACTGATTATAATACCAAGTGTTAACAAACGAAACAAATTCATCCGAGAAGGAGTTTCCATTTTCGTTGGCGGATAGCTTAGGAGCGTCTCCTTGGACAACCTGTTGTAACTGTTCAAAAACTGTGTTCCACTTGGGATAGGGGAAGCGTCCTGTTGCCACCTCCATCAAAGTTATTCCTAATGACCAGACGTCCGACCTTACGTCATAGCCCCTTGCCCTCTGAGGGTCAATTCTTTCTGGCTGTAGGGGACAGAAGGTCAATAATAGCTTAATAATATTTCAAAATTCACTCACAGCCATGTACGGCCTGCAGCCAGCATCCCTCGTTCTTGCGATTGAGTCAACAAGCTGACCAGATATTCCAAAGTCACACAACTTGATGTTTCCCCGCCTGTCGAGAAGAATGTTGCTCGGTTTGACATCACGGTGGATGATTTTCAGCTCTTCTTTTAAGTAATTGAGCGCATTCACAGTCTGCAGAGAAAAATAAGATTAAATTTCGCAGGTAAAACGCATTTTAAACTTACAGCAACCGTTATTTTTCCTAAAATTTCCTCAGGAATTTGCTGATTGAGCCTCTCAAAAATGAATTTGTAAAACTTGTCCAACGACGCATCCATCAGTTCCATACAAATCCAGCAATCACCCTGTAACATTGAAAGGTTTCAGAAAAAATTACAAAAAAAAAGAGAAAAATCTCACCTCTTTAAAAAGTGCACCGTAAAACTGCACAATGTACGGACACCTCGTCTTCATGACAACGTCCAAGTCCATCAGCAACTGCTTCTGGTCCTTCTCGTCAACAGTGGAGCGGATTCTTTTCACAGCCATGACTGTGTTACTTTTAAGGTGCACCATCTTATTGACTGTTCCGAAAGCACCTCGGCCAATTTCACCCATGTCTTGCAAGTCATCAGATGTGAAATCGTACACCTGAGACCAATTTGACTTAGTATATAATTGAAAAATAAAAATAAATAACTGAGAATATTTCAGAAATGTAAAATTCTCAATGGTTAATTACAAGATCAGGGGAAAGCTGCAAAGTGCCGGTTGAGTGGATGCTCTGGCAAATCCGGAATCTCTCCCTGGAAAAGATGTAAATTTTAAGAATTCCACGGACAATATATTTAAATCAAAAAATCTAAACGTGCAACACAGAAAAACAGAGGTGTTGAGAATGCCAATACACACCGTGGTGCAGCCTCGGGAAATTCAAAGAGGAGCATTAAATTTTTAGGGGATGCAGGAAAAAAAAGAGCAGTCTGTGCGAGAGAGCGGGCAAAGCTAGCGTGCTTGAAACTCACCGAGCCTTTTCAGGTACGAATTCAGTCTGGTGGAAGGGCCTTGCTCTCTGCCTTGCTTTGACAGCTCTGCCCTCCTCTGGGGACTTAAGTAAGGGAAGGTTTGGTCTAGCAGCAGCAGCCGACGATGCCCTGCCTTCCCTGTGCATACAGAGAGACAAACAACCACGCTTAACAGAAAAAGCCCCAAATTCGAGACTACGTGTTCGCAACAAGCACTACAGCGCCGAGACAATTAATAAATAAGTGGCTCGCCCAACACCGTCACTGGCATGCTTAGAATGGATTTTTTTTTTTTAAATAATAGCCAATAATTATATAAATGAGATAATGTAATAAAAAGGATGTGCTCTGCTGGTGCAAATAAATTATTGAATGGCCACGTCACAAAGAAACAATAATATCGATTTGGTTGAAAAGAGAGAGAGAGAGAGAGGTGATAAACTGATGATAAATCAGGCACAACTTCTTACATGATAGGCTGCGGTATTGTGGTTATCTGCGGAGCAATTTGGATGGTTTGGCCAGGAGGAGTGCTATTAGCTTGGAAGTCGAAAGACAATCTCAGCCTGCCGCGGTCCACTGGAAGAAATAAAAACAGTCAGTCTTATTTCGCTAATACCGTGGTGCTGTCATCGAGGAAAAAGCGAATTTAAATAAAAACATGACCAGGAAAACACGACCAAAATTAATTGTTTACGAATCGCTAGCTGGAGTTCAGCAAACATTTCACGCGGAGAATTTGATGTTAATACTTTATAAAATTGTAGACGTTTAAAGAAAAGTTGTTGAAGATCCCCCTTGAATGGATCTTGCATGGAAAATTATCAAAATATTTACCCTGACTGATGTGATTGCTGGACGAATTTCCATGGTGATCGGCCATTTTGGAATTTTTGGAACTCAGCCCTCAAAAACGTTCAATTTTCTTCCCTAAAGATGAGATCGCAAAAGTGTGAGTCAAACTGAGCCGAGCCGCTTCGTTGCCAGGACTCATCGAGCTGTCACGGAGCACCGAACATGCGAAAACACAGCGACGGAACCTGCGGGATAGCGACCGACTCTTATCAATCAGATGTCTTTGAGTTTTCTCGTAAATTAACTCCCAGTGACGTCAACATGACACGCCCACCTGGAATTCGACAAAACATAACACCGGCTTCTGATTGGTACATGCGAGCGATTTAAATTGAGAGCGCCAAATTCGAATTTATCAACTGATCGGCATTGTTTCTACTTGACTGACACGCTGTGGCGAAATTTGACTGTTTTAAGCATAAAATTCGTTCAGTTGCTGTGTAATTTCAATCTAATTTGACAAACTAAATCTTTTTCTTCAAGCTCTTGCTCGAACGATGTAAAAGTAAGTAGTTGAAGTCTAGATAAACTTAATTTTGTTACTGCCTCTTTGCGACACATGAAAAACGCGCACCGCAGCCACATTATCTTGTTTCCTCCACTAAATATAGTTTTTATTTTAGCTGACAAAACGAAAACTTTTAGGATGACTACCGCAGAAGCAGGAACAAGCAGCAAACTGCACGTTTGTCTGCGCATCAAACCGTGCAACAAAGCAGAAGCCAGTGCTGTATGTTTTAAACTTTTACACTCTTACAACATTTACTCATTTTTTTGTTGTTAAGGCATACTTGGTCGAGGATGATATGAAGCTTAAAGTCACAAGCAATACCCGAGGCCCAGAGATCTTTAGATTTTCAAAAATTTTCAGTGATAAATGCAGTCAGTCGGAAATTTTTGAGAACACGGCTAAAGGCTTGGTTGACCAATTCTTGAATGGAAAAGACTGCTTGATGTTTGCTTATGGCACTACAAACGCAGGCAAAACATACTCAGTCAAAGGTACATAAAAGTCTTAAAAATAATATGCGTTTCGTAAAAAAAAATCACATTTTAGGTACAACTCGTGAGCCTGGCCTTGTTCCACGAGCCATGTCTCACATCTTCGACAGCATTGGGTCTGCAATCGATGACAACCCAAGAATTTGCCCTATCAATTTCAAGCAAGCTCAGATCAGGAATGCACAAGAGAGATTGCAAAGTGATAGTATCAAGGCGAACATTCTGCTCAGCGCAAGCCCCATCACAGTATGTTATAAAAATAAGGTGTTGAAGTTTGGTTGATTATAAATAATAATTACAATTTTTAGCACATTCCTCCATCCACTGATAAATTCTCAATTTCATTTGCTCCTGCGTTGAGCTCTACGTTTTGTGAAGCACCAGGATCATTGGGTAAAAATTTTCACATTTTTTTAGTACGTCTCCGGCATATTTCTTTTTTCGGCATAGGATCAAGCCCAGCTGGTCAGCTGCCACAGGTTTTTAAAACTGACTCAAGGTGTTCTCTTTGGATTTCAATGCTTGAGGTGTATAATGAACATGTGTACGACTTGTTGGCTCCTTTGAAACAAAGTACTAAGACATTTGTGAAGCTGACAATGGATGGTGCTGGAAACTTTTGCCCCCAAGGTGTGTTTGATAACCTTTCAAGACAAAATAAATTTAGATTTTATTTTAACAAAGCTGTGCATTACTATAAATCTTTCGTTGCAGACAACATCGAAGTCCATGTCACTTCTCTTGAGGAGGCAAATGCAGTGCTGAAGTTCGGAGACAGTCAGCGCACCACAATGGCCACTTTGCTCAACATCTCCAGCAGTCGCTCACACTGCATTCTTCGAGTTCGGCTGTTACGTGTTGATCGATCAGCAGCGCCTACTCCAGCTGGCTGTTTGTCACCGGCTGCAGACGTTGAGGACTTCCACGTTTCCACATTCTTCTTCGTAGATCTTGCAGGTTCCGAGCGTGTTGATAAGGCAGGAACTTTGAAAGCAAACTCCAGGGCCAGGGAAACTGGCAACATCAACTCTTCCCTCCTGGTCCTCGGAAGATGTATGGAGATGCTGAAACTCAAGGGCCAGAGTGATTTGGGAAGCTCAAAGATACCAGTAATAATTTAAAAAATAATCTACAGCTGTATACTAAATTGTTTTTTGCAGATTGTGCCATATAGAGAAAGCAAGTTGACCATGATCCTTCAGCCTTTACTCAGTGTTTCTGGACCAAAAAGCTTATTAGTCAACATCGATACCTCTCCAGATCTGTTTGAAGAGACTCACAATGTTCTTAAGTTTTCTTGTGTGGCCCGAATTGTTCTGTTCAAAGAACCGCCGAAGCCCTTGCCAGTGCTGAAGAAATTGCCAGTGAACCCTAGTGTTGCAGAAGCCAGTGTTATGATAGCCTCAATTTCTGATAGTGATGGCGATTCTTCCAACAAATCTGTATGTTTATGCTGCTTGTTTTTTTCTTTTGCATGAATTAAATTTTTTATTTTGCAGCTGGTAACTCAGGAGCAGCTAGACGAGGAAAGGAAACTTAAGGAGGAGCTCCAATCAAAATTAGTTTCTGCTTTGGAGGAAAACAAAAAGCTTCGAGAGTCTCTGTCTTTGTTAAAATCCGAGCAAAACGTTAGAGAGAGAGACATTAGACATGACCTGCAGGCCGGATTTGACGAAATGATGCAGGAAATGAAAGCGTCGCACCAAAAAGCTCTGGAAAATAAAGAAAACCAGTTAATTGATCTGATGGAGAAAAGGATGGATTTGCAAGAGGGACACTACAATGGTCTGCTTGCAGACGCCAAGGTAGTATTAATTAATATTTTAATCCCATAATTATTTTCACAAATGGTTCTATTTTTTTCAGAGAAAGCTGGAAGACTTTGCGAATCAAGGTAATTTTTCTAAAAATTTATTAATTATTTCAATTGTTAAATTTGTTTAATTTTAGTTGTGCCAAAAGAAGATTTTGAGTCTCTATCATCTAACTTGGCTATGAAGAATGAAGAGATTGAAAGACTGCAAGAAAAAATACAAGACAATTCTTCAGGTATATGTGCATAATTTATATATGTACATAAAATGTAAATCTTTCTTTTTTCATTTTAGAAATTTCAAGCCTTAAGGGTGTAATTGCTCAATTGGAACAAGCAGAGAGTGTTCACCATGTTACGCTTGAATCCAACCGTTTGGCTGAAGTGAATTATCAAACCGAAGTGCTAGCTCTTCAAAGCGGTAAAATTTATAATTACAAGTGAATACAAAAACTTTTCTTTGTGATTAATTTAAAGAGGTCAAGAACCTGCTCAAGCAAATAAAGGAACTGTCACATCAAAAGGTCGTTACCGATGAGAGACTGATAAAGAGCAGGGATAACAGGTTGAAACTCGAAGAGAAATTACGTAAACTGCAGCACGACTGTGACAAATATAAACAACTGACCAATTTCATTGTAAACGAATATCACCCTTCAGCCAGGTATTAAAAAAAGGTTCCTTGGCTGTTTTCAAATATCAAGACTGTTACTTTTCAGAGATAGCCTTGCAAGCCACAATGAAGAGGAGCTTTGGAATTTCATTGAGAAAGAATTCCAATTGATGCCGACCAAGTGCAGAGAGCTGGAGAAGGAAAACACCCTTTTGAAGAAACAGCTGGAGTTGTCGATTGAAGACTTTAAGAAGCTGGAGGAAAGGAGAAATCAACATGTAGCCAAGTGTGAAGAAGATCTGCGAATCAAAAACCAACAACTGGACGTGGAACGACGAGAAGTGCAAGCCTTGCAAAAGCAGCTGATGGGAATGACTCCCAAGAAGTTTGAGAACATCACACCACAGAGAGTAAGACTGCTGGGAATTTTTAATTCTGGCATTGTAATTTAAATTAATTGTTCCAGGAATTTAAGACACCCATGGTCTCGTTGAGCAACTCTGTTCGTTCTTTAACTTTGTCATGTTCCTCTGAAAACAAGGTATAATTATAGTTTTATTTTAATTAATTTATTGATTTAAATTTTCCATTAATTTTCAGATGGAAAGTTCGAGTGTTTCTAAGGAAGTCAGGAGCAAGAGCACTGGCAGGAAGAAGAAACCAACTCTGGATGATGTCGAGAAAGAAAACTCTCCTCTGCCAACTGAAAATGCTACCAAGTCTGCTAAACGGAGGGGTGTTTCTAGGCGCAAGCTGTGCAAGACTTTTGATGATGACGTAAAAATCTGAGTAAAATCGTTTTCTTGTAATTAATTTGATTATTCTGTCAAAGGTGGACGAACAAGTTGACTTCAAGATTCCTGAGGCAAATGAAATGCAGATGACAAGACGCCGCTTGCGATCAACGTACAAATAGCTTCAAAAAATTTTACCCTTCTATCTTTTCTACGAGTCCTGTTTTGATTTGATTTCAATTCCACTGCCTTGTTCTTCGCAACCCTGTCCTGATTTTTGCAGTATATAAAGGTCATAAATTTAAAATATAACCATTGGAGACTAAATTTATTAAAATGTTAATGACAAAATTCCCAGTCGAGTTGAGATCAGATATTTTATTGTATTACAAAATATTATATTAATAAAGCTCAATATATCTAGAATCGCTTTATTAAATTGTATTCGGATGTATTGTTGCATAAATTATTTATCATTTTATTGTGGCAGAAAATCACAAACAAAAAGAGATTCCGCATTGCTGTCTTAAATGTTGTAATACTGCGGTGGGGTCGATAGTGCATGCCTTTGAACACTGTTGTAAGTGATTTATTTTGTTTTTTGAGCATGAAAAACTTGCTTGCCCTATAAAGGCAGGCACAAAGCATACTAGCATAATGCCTTGGAAATGTATTAAAAATCTTAAGTATTTTAAAAATATAAAAACTATTTTATTACGTTAATTCTCCACCAATTTTTTAATTCTGTGAAGCTAAAAATTAATTACATTATCTACGTTAAAAAAATCCAAAATGAACAGAACCGATGAAAATTTCTAGGAATAATATTATTTTATTGGTAAAAAACATTTTACCGCGTCTGAGAGCTGCTTCCGATTGTCTCTTGTTTTAAATCATTCTCGCGGGAATAAAAACTTGAGCCAGCTGTTGAAGGCAAAAGCATTGTCCGGTTTTTGAGAAATATTCTCCTGGCCTGTGTCGGCCGCGACAAATTAACTTCGCTTTCTGCAGGAGCATTGCATTTCCACAAATAAAGAGCAATGCAGTAGTAACAAATTGTGCAAAGTAATCATGGTGTTCCAAAAAGCTGTGAACACCGGCAAATTTCGCGCCGACCCGCTGAAGTTCCGCAGCGAAAACAACCAGCAGTAAAATTTTTGTTTTTATCAATTGCAAGTGCTTTATATGTATTATTTCCATTATTTCATAGGAACAACGAGAATCAAGTGAAAAGACTGATCAACGATGATCTGGTCGACAAAAAGTATGGCTTCGAGAGGTATGAAGTGGTTGGAGAAAGGACTGGATTCCTCATCAACATGCGAGTGGTAAATAATATTGAATAATACATAATTTGATTTGCATATTAAAATTTTTTAATTTATCTCCTTAGGCGACTATTGTCAATGCTGAGGGAGCACTGGTTAGTGCCATGGACTTCTACTTCATTGAGGAGGACGGAGCTCGATTTAAAGCGTCCCTCCCTTATCAGCCCTATTTTCTTGTCTTGGCGGATAGAGAAAAGCTGGACGGGGTTGGAACATATTTGACCAAGAGATTTGTAGGATTGATTGCTTCGGTAGAGAAAGTTGTCAAGGAAGATCTGGATCTGGTAAATTTATTTACTTTTTGCAAAAATATTTTAATCGAAGGAATTATGTTTTTTCTAGCCAAACCACTTGGTCGGCCTGAAGCAAAAGTTTCTGAAATTAAATTTCATGACGACAAATGACTTGGTCAAAGTGCGAAAGGAGCTGGACAAAATTGTGCAGCTGAACAAGGAGAGGGAGAAGCACGACACTTACTACATGAGTCTGCTGACATCAAACTTGTCCAGGGAGGAGCACAGCGAGAAGGACATGTTGGCAGGTGGGAGCAACTTGGATGCTCCTGGATCAAAAACCATTGGGGAATATCTTGACTACATTAGGGACATCAAGTATGATTTTCAATAGATTTATTTGCAGAATAAAAAATTTAACATACAAAAAATTACAGGGAATATGACGTTGCATATTCTGTCCGAGTGTCGATTGACAACGAAATTTTTGCCGGCCGTTGGTACACAGTCAAAAGTCAAGGTTCTGTTGTACCACCCCAGATCGTACACAGACCTGACCTAATTGAATGGCCTGAGCCAATCGTGCTAGCCTTTGATATCGAGACCACCAAGCTGCCTTTGCGCTTTCCCGAGTCCAGCACCGATCAAATCATGATGATCTCTTACATGATCGATGGCCAGGTTTGTTAAGAACGTTTCAAAAATTAGTATTGAGTTTTATTGCTCTTAATAGATCTTGTTAATAAATTTAAAAATGGATTACAGGGATTCCTGATCACTAATCGAGAAATTGTGTCTGCTGATATTGAAGACTTTGAGTACTCGCCTCGTCCAGACCTGGAAGGCATGTTTGCCATTTGGAATGCTCCCAACGAAAAGGCTTTGATCGAGCGCTTCTTTTCGCACATTTTGGAAGTCAGGCCCCATGTCTTTGTAACTTACAATGGAGACTTCTTCGATTGGCCATTTGTGGAGGCCAGGGCTAAACACCACGGACTAGATATGCAGCAGGAAATCGGCTTTGCAAAGGGAAATGATGGCGTTTATTCATGTCGTGCAGCAAGCCATCTAGATTGTCTCTGGTGAGTTGTTTGAAAATGAAAATAATCTTTTCAATTCATTATTTTTACATTCCAAAAGTTGGGTGAAGCGAGACTCTTATCTGCCGATGGGCTCACAAGGCTTGAAGGCAGTGGCAAAAGCAAAACTGCGATACGACCCTGTTGAACTTGACCCTGAGGAAATGTGCCCAATGGCAATCAACAATCCAAGTGTTCTTGCCAGCTATTCCGTTTCAGACGCCGTCGCCACCTACTACCTGTACATGAAATACGTCCACCCATTTATCTTTGCTCTCTGCACCATTATTCCTCGTGATCCTGACGAGGTAAAAACAAAATATGAATTTAAAAATACTTAAATTATAAAAAATAATGTTGAATCAAGGTATTGAGAAAAGGATCTGGAACTTTGTGCGAGTCGCTGCTCATGGTTGAAGCTTACCGAGCAAATGTAGTGTTTCCAAATAAACAACAGGAAACTCTTAACAAACTTACACCGGATGGCAGACTCTTGGATTCTGAAACATATGTTGGTGGCCACGTTGAAGCTCTTGAGAGTGGAGTCTTTAGGTCGGATTTGCCGTGCAGATTTAGACTGGTAAATATTTGTGAATTAAAAAAATAGTGCGTGATGTTAATCACCAAAAAAAGGAACCAGACGCTTTGCAAATGTTGATCGACGGTGTGCAAAGGGCATTGGAGCATACTCTGATTGAAGAAGAGAAAATTGCCCTTAGTGAAGTCACAAACCTTCAAGAGGTGCACGATGAAATTGTCGGCATGCTGGCTGAACTGAGGGACAAACCCAATCGAATTGAGAACCCTATGATTTACCATCTTGACGTTGGTCAGTGTAATTTGCATTTAATAATATTCAGATTGTAAATTATATGATTTTAGCTGCTATGTACCCTAACATCATTTTGACAAACCGTCTGCAACCTTCGGCAATGGTTGATGAAATGATCTGTGCCGCTTGCGATTTCAACAGGCCCAATGCCAAGTGTCAGAGGAGAATGGTCTGGACTTGGCGCGGAGAACATTGTAAATTTTCTTACCGAAGCCCTGTTTGTTGATAATTAATTTATTTTTAAATCTTATTCCTTCAGTGCCAGCAAGTTTAAATGAGTTGCAGAGGATTCGCGCCCAGCTTGAGACAGAGCGCTTTCCTTCAGTATTTCCAGGTGGGCGCCCTCGAGCGCTGCACGAACTGTCTCCTGAGGAGCGAGCAGCTCTTGAGAAAAAGCGTCTGAGTGAGTACTGCCGCACGGCCTACAAGAAAACCAAGGTTACGCGAATTGAGGAGCGCTGCACCACCATTTGCCAGAGGGAAAACAGTTTTTACGTTGACACGGTGCGCGCTTTTCGTGACCGGCGCTACGAGTACAAGGGCCTGAACAAATTGGCCAAGAAGCAGGTGGCCCAGGCCATTGCCAGTGGGGACATTGCAGAGATCAAGTCGGCCAAGAACAGGGAAGTCCTCTACGACTCGCTCCAACTGGCGCACAAGTGCATCCTCAACTCCTTCTACGGTTATGTAATGAGAAGGGGCGCCAGGTGGTACAGCATGGAGATGGCAGGCATTGTGTGTCACACAGGCGCCAACATCATCCGACAGGCCAGAGAAATCATTGAGCAGGTAAAAAGGATTCTTTTCTGTTGTTAAAGATCAAATCAAAATTGAATTACAATTTAATTCCACCCTTAACTAACACAATTTCTTGAAATGTTCAGGTTGGAAGACCTCTTGAACTGGACACGGACGGTATTTGGTGTGTTCTTCCAGCAACATTCCCCGAAAACTTTGAGATCAAAACAACTAACCCAAAAAAGTCAAAGATTGTTGTCTCTTACCCAAATGCAGTGCTCAATCTCATGGTTCGAGAAAACTATACCAACGACCAATATCAAACCCTGGTCGACCCTGAAACTCTGAAGTATGAGATGAAGAGTGAGAACTCCATCTTCTTTGAAGTTGACGGGCCGTACAGGGCCATGGTTTTGCCAGCCTCGAAGGAGGAAGGCAAAAAACTGAAGAAGCGGTATGCTGTGTTCAATGACGACGGTTCGCTGGCCGAGCTGAAAGGTTTTGAAGTCAAGCGACGAGGGGAGCTACGCCTGATCAAGGTCTTCCAGAGTGCGGTCTTCGAAGCCTTCCTCAAGGGTGATAGTCTGGACGATTGTTACGCAAATGTGGCCAAAGTGGCCGACTATTGGCTGGACGTTTTGTACACCAAAGCAAGCAACCTGTCTGATACTGAGCTGATGGAGTTGGTGTCCGAGAACAGGAGCATGTCCCGCAAACTGGAAGACTACGGCCAACAAAAGTCAACCTCCATCAGCACAGCCAAGCGACTTGCCGAGTTCCTCGGAGACCAGATGGTCAAGGACGCTGGATTGGCGTGTAGGTTTATTGTTTCAAGGCAGCCTGAGGGGTCACCTGTCACTGAAAGAGCCGTTCCAGTGGCCATCTTCCAAGCAGAGGAGAGCGTCAAGCGACACTATCTGTGTCGATGGCTGAAGGACTCGACTTTGGAAGACTTTGACATTCGCTCAGTTCTGGACTGGGGCTACTACATTGAAAGACTTGGAGGCTCCATTCAGAAGATCATCACCATTCCAGCTGCAATGCAAGGAGTGGCAAACCCAGTGCCGAGAGTGCGCCATCCAGATTGGTTGCACCGAAAGATGGCTGAAAAGGGTGACTCACGGAAGCAGCGGAAAATCGACTCCATGTTCCAGAAGCTGCCTCCAACAGTGGCAAACTTCACTAATGAGGCATGCAAAGTTTACTAATTCTAAAGCCGAGCGGAAAACTTTATAGTTCATAATCTTTAAGTTTTTTTTTCAATCCTTAATTGTTTTATTCCTCAGAATGATGAGAACACGAATGATGTGGTTGATGTTGAGGACTTGGATCGGCCTCAAGGAAATGGCCAGGCACCTATTGTTGCTACTTGCACAAAGAGAAAAATAGGAACTACGGATTCTACAGGGGGCGCAAAAGACTGGAGAAGTTCTTTAGGAAATCCTCCACGGCCTGGTTCCTCAAGTGTATGAGATTGGCATAAGGCTAAAGACATTTCAATTAATGTAAAATATTTTAGGATGATATCCAAGTCTGGCTTGAGTATCACAAGAAGAAGTGGAAAATCATGGCTGAGGAGAGACGTCAAATGAAATTAAGAGCAAAACTCTCAGCAACTCGAGGCAATCAAAGTGCAGCAGGAAAAAATGTTGGAAACAAAATCTCAAATTCTAAAAGCGCCACAAACACCATTGGTGGATTTTTGAGACGAGCCCAACACACACTCCTGACTTCCACCTGGCAAATCATTCAAGTTGCCCAAACCAATGAACCAGGCGTGTTCAAACTTTGGGCTCTTGTCGGCTCTGAACTTCACCAGGTTTGTTACAATAAAATTAAATTGGACTATTTATTAATTTGAAACAAATTTTTTTAGATTCGACTTGTAGTCCCTAGAATATTTTATGTGAACCAAAGGTCTCCAATGCCTGAGGAAAGAGCCCATGAAGAAGGCACACTTTGGCGTTCTGTCAACAGGAGTCTTCCTCGGGGCCACCCTGTCAGCCACTTGTATCGATACACAGTACCTGAGGAGCAGTTCCAAAAATACAGCGAGTAATTATTATTCTGTTCTTATCTATTCTGCCGTTACAAATTTTGATACTTCAGCAACTTAATTGGAAACCTCTCAATGCCTGACATCATCGGTGTTTACGAAACGCAAGTTCCGCTTGAGTTCCGAGCGCTGGTGCAGCTGGGCTGCGTCTGTGGCGTTTCCCGAGGCTTTGAAGGTTTTGACTCTCAGGCTGGAGAGAATACTTTCACCCTGGAGCAGCTGTCGTCAAAGGGCCAAGAACTGGGACAAGGGCCGTACCTTTCTCCTGGGTCGGTGCACTCCCTATGCATGTGTGTATTCAGGGCGCCAGCACCAAGTCCTCGGGCATTGATTTGCATTATCATGCCTCCACTGAAGAAGGCAGTTTTTGTTGCTGTCGATTCTGTGCGCACCAACCAGATGCCAAACATCAGTGCCTTGTACACTGCAGAGAGAAATGCCAGGCAAGTGAAACAATTCAGGAAAAATTACTTTTCAATAATTCACCAGCAATATAAACCTGTATTTAATAAATTATTCTGTCTTTACTTAGACTGAATGATGGCACCAACGAGAAAATTTTGCCACCTCCTGAGCTCACTTACGAAGTCAGAGTGGAGACTGACTTGAGATTTGCATTCCGTAGTATCCAAAGAGCTCTCCAGGGATTCAAAGAAGAGAAAAAAGGCCCAGCCATGATTGCTCTTCAATCCACATTAAGTAAAAATTTTGTTTTTCAAACGGACCACCATTTTTAAACCGTGAAATTAGGTCTCTCGGACGTTTTGTCCTTGATGCCTGGCCTGGACGAGTTTCCAGTTGTCCAACTGCAGACGCAGCCTCCAGGCACCAACTATGCAGACTCTGATGAAATGCTTTCTCGCTTGGACTGGCAGCGTCTCGGCACCCGAGCTATGCTCAAGCGATATCTCGACATGCCATTGGCCCTCGAGGTGCGGACCAGGCAGTGTCGATATCTGCACTTACCGCTCGGAAACTTACCTCCCATTGACAGTGACGCAGCTCTGTTTGCAACTGATCTCATGTACGCACGGCATTTGCTGAGAAACAACTTCATCCTTTGGTGCTCCAATTACGAAACTCCTGATCTAGGTGGCAAGGAAGCCGACGATTACTCGTAATAATATTCATTTGAAGTCTGATAGTTTTTAAGTAATTTCTGAATTGTAGATTGATGGCAGATACTGAAGATGGAATGTCTGTAACAGTGAACAATCCAGGTTGCTACTCAACCATCTGCATGGACCTGACAATCCAGTCAATTACAATTGGAGCTGTTGTACAGTCTGAGCACATCAATGATATTGAAGGTGAACTTTTACAAATAAATTTTGATTAATTAATTATATCTTTTCCAAATTCAATAGGCACAAGTTCCAGTGTTGCTTTCGACAGAGCCCAGCCAGTGTCTGTGAGCTCTTTGGCAGGCGCGAGTTCAGCGATCGGACCCTCATCGACCGTTTCTAGTGAGACCTCTACTTCCAGCGGTGCCCTGAGGGTCATGAAAAACATGGTTGCTGGCTGGTTGAGAGACTGCATTGTCCACAAGAACGTCTACTCTGATGTCCAACTTGTCCACTTTTACCAGTAAGATTATATTTTTTTTTAGGTTTTAAGTTTACCAAATAAAAATTTTAGCTGGCTCTGCTCACCACACACTTTGCTCTACGATCCAGCTCTGCGTCAAGCAATTCAGCTGCTCTCAAAGAAGCTTTTCCTTCAAGTAATAAATTTGTAATTATTTAATTGAGAATTTTAACAACGTTTTAAACTCTCAGCTGATTGCTGAGTTTAGGCGAATGGGCAGCTCTGTCGTCTTTGCAAATCTGAACCGTATCATCATTAGTACCAAAAAGACGAGCATTGAGGATGCCGTCACTTACACCAATTTTGCTGTGGACAGCATTTCCAATAAAGAACTTTTCCACTGCATCGACGTCAAATTCAAGGACTGCTGGCAGTACCTCATGTGGCTGGGACCAGTGAGTTTCTTTTTTTTCTTTGCAATTACATTAATTAATACATTTTATTCCAGACCAACTATGCTGGTGTGAAAGGAAAAATATCTGATACGATGATGGAAGAACAAAGCTCCACTTTGAAGTCACCTGCGAAGAGCCAGATAGGCATGGATGAAATCGAAGACAGAGACGAGGACGAAGAAGACCGCGAAAGTGAAGGGGAGGAAGACGAACCAGAAATCGAGATGGAGTGGAGTTTGGCCATGGGTCTGCCAAAAGAAGCTGGTTGTCGGGAGAACTTCAACGCCCTCGTGGCTGGCTACGTCAGCGCCACTTTCACAAAACTCCTTGAGGCGCAGGAGCTGCGACTTGGCAAGGAAGACACCCCAGTGCGAAAGAGGACCATGTCGCAAGTAGCACCCCTTGGATCAGTGCAGCAATCGGCTGCCGATTATTCCAAAAGCCTCATCGCAGGCGATTTAGGGCAAAAACTATTTCAGTGAGTCTTATTTTCTTTTTATAGCTTTAACAATTAATTAATTATTTTAATTTTTTTAGCATCATTGACCAGCTCAATAGAAAATTGCCAGGAAACCTAGGACGTGTTAAAGGCAAAGATGGGGATTACATGGCAAAGTTGAGTGGTGACATCGGCCCTCCTGCTCTGGAATTCACAAAAGCTATTTGCAAAGTTTTAGAGCTTGACAGCACTGTCCAATTAGAAGTAGGAATTTATTATTTTTCTTATGTAATACATTTCAAAAAAATCTTTTCTTTTAATAGGTTGGCGCTTTAAGAAGAAACATGTTGCGGTTGATTGGCGTCAGTGAATTCAGTGATCAAGCAGACTGGAAGGACCCTTGCGAGTCTGTGGTGTTGCCTGACGTGCTTTGTCAAAACTGCAGTCTCTGCTTTGACCTGGATTTGGTTAAACATTGCCAATGGCAGGACCTTGAAGATCCAGATGATAGAACGTGAGCAGACTTTTTTTAGGTTTTTGTTTTGAATGCTAATTTTTTTGGTTAGGTTACCATGGGAGTGTCCAGGCTGCAAAAGAGGCATCACCCCAACAGAAGTCGAATTCCTGCTTTTGGAGAATTTCAACAAGCGCATGCTTTCGTACAATCTGCAAGACTTGCAGTGCTCAAGGTGTCAGCAGATTAAAATGGAAAATATGCCTCTGCGGTGCGAGTGTGCCGCCTCATTCATCACTACTCAAGATCCGAAGCAGTTCAAGAAGTATCTCAAGAATCTATCTATCTTGTCGGAAACTTTTAAAATGCCCATTCTTAATGAGACTGTGGACTGGGCTACAACTACAGCTTGAATATATTTTTAGTGCTTTTGATAAAAACAATGAAATAAAACATTTTTGCACTTTTTGCAGTAACAAAAATATTTATATATATATTTTTTTTTTAAATTTCATTGTTGGCTTATATTTCATCACAAATAATAGTTATGTAAGGCAACCGATTTTAAAAATTTCATTGTTGACTGCAAAGTCTTAACGTTAATTGTCGCAAAGTTCAAATGCAGCCAACTCCATCAGTCATGGCGAGTCAAGAACGCAGGAAAACCGTCTTTGAACCTAAGCCGCCTAGTGCAGCAGACACAATTTATCGAAAGTTCAGCTCTTTTGTGAGACGGGGATCCAAGGATGAAATCGACAAAACGCTGTTCAGAACCAATTGGTACCTGGAGAGAATCATCGCCATCACCTATGCCAACCATCATGGTGCAGTTGCTCTCTTGGCCGTTGCGGCCTTTTGCTGTGTTCATGTAAAAGTTCGCTTCAGTCAAAAGTAGTAAAAACAATGACATTTGCCTTCTAATTAGATTTACCAAGTGAACATTCCACTTTTTGCCCTGGCCGTGGCTGCAATTTTTTGCAACAAAAAAGTCCAGCATTTGCTTCTTAAGATCATAGGACTCTTCATGGCCGCCACCATGATTTTTCTTGAGATCAAACCCATCGTCTTCCCTGAGATGCCCAGCAACAATGAAACTGTAAAAACTATTTTTGAATAAAGAATTTTCTTCTTTAAGCTGTAAAATTTTCAGATTGACATTCAACTAGCTCTATCTAAGCAGCAGGACCCGGAAGGCCAAGATTGGGCTTCAAAAGAGGCCAGGCAGATTTTAAACTCTATAGGTTTTAAATTCTCAATTTTTTAAAAAAAAAATTAATTTTACTCAATTTTTCAGTCACTTTGATGTTGATCTTTATGAGCTGTGCTATGCATGAGTTGGCCGTACTCGACGGCAAAAGAATGTGCGTCCTTTTCCCTCAAATACGGCGCTCGGACGCTGACCATGGTTGCTGGCAGTTTTTCAAGTTTGCCTACAATTTCTGCTTCTACAAATTTGGCGTTTCGGTAAATATTCCACTCATATAATTTTATTACAACAAAAGGAGAGATTAAAATTTTAACTTCACAGATTTGCTGGTTTTCCATCGCGATGCAGTTGTGCGTCGGAATCAACGCCCTGGACGTCGGCCTCTGCGCCATGCTCTGGCTGACGCTCCTCTCAAGAACTTCATTGCAGAAATATTGGCCTTTTGTGCGTGTCCAGGTTGGCATGTACCTGGCTTTCAAATACATAATGGAAGCCAGCGTCAAACCCATTCACTCGACGACCAAGCAGACATTTTCGTTGATGGATGATATGCTGAAAGGCTCACTGCCCGGATCGCTTCATATTCAGATACTTGAGAAGTACATCAAGGGCTTTGACATGCTTTGTAGGCCATTTTTATATACACCAAAACTTAATATCCAAATTATTAAATATTCATATCAGGGAACTTCTTTGTCGCACTTATGATAAGCAGACAGATTTGGGTCTTGGAGGGACGTTGGGAAAGGTACGGCGGCACCAATGACGAAAAATGGCAAACTTTTGATGACCCCAAAGTAAAAAATGAAGTTGATGACTATTTATTGACCCAAGAGTAAGTAATTATAATTTAACAAAAGTATTAATGATTAAAAAAAAATAGAATTTAGAATTTAATTTAAAGTTTAATTTTTCGAGATCAAAGAAATATAATATATGTATTTCTTTTAATGAATAGATATTATTTATGAAATAAATTAATTAAATAAATATTATTTATTAAAATTTTAAACGCGAATTCCCGGAGATTTCAACGCCTGCAAATCTAGGTGATGCAACATGTCGCGAATGAATGCCCTGCCGGTTGCATAACTCTCAAATCTGCAGGCGCCTTTAAATTCTAATTTTTATTTTTATTTTCAACAGTACGTGGCTGGACGTGATGAAGAGCATCCTCTTGCCCAACTTTCCAATCCTCACGCTCCTCTTCGTCCTCCTGTCGAGCATATTCACGGCCAACCTGTTCTCCGTGGGCTACATCTTGACTACCGGCTATTTACTGTTCCTGGGCACGTCCTCGCTTTACACCCTCAGCATCCGACACACGCGGCGCAAATTCCAGTACCTGCTCGGCTACACCCTGCTGGTGATCAGCGCCAAATTTTTATTCTGCTCCATGATCGAGCAGGCCGAAATCGGCAGGCCTTACCTGAGTGTCGTCGTCATGGACTGGTCCTACTTCTTAGATGGATTTCAGTCAAAAACCTCTGCTCAAGGTTATTTGATAATTTTTAAAGAAAAAATTTTAATTTTGTTTCTTATACAGATTTGGTGCACAAAATGTCAGACACCTTTTACTTGGACGCCGTATATCTAGGGTTGCTCCTCTTGACTCGCAGGCTCATCGAGAGTCATTACTTTTTACACGTGAGGAAAGAATACTTTGCAAGAAACTCACTTGACGACTGGTATAAAAATTAAAAAATTTTAATGAAATACCTATTATGATTAAAATTAAATTTTCTAACTCTAGGGGAACGATTCTGCAAGCCAAAGGCGCACAGATGCAAATTAAAAAGAAAACCGACTACATGGCCAAGCTTAAAAACCACATGGAATCCAGACTTTGTAAAATTCAAATGATTTTTATTTTATTATTTAAAACTAATTTTTTAATTAAAGGTAATGAAAAGCTCGAGTCTCAGTCGCTTCTGAAAAACGCCGTTTTGATGAGAGGTGGAGTAATTTTTTACTGTCCATTCAAAAATTATTATTTTTAATTTAAAAATTTCAGTTGTGGAAATTCCACCAGACACTCCGGCTGAGAAGACACCGTACAGTCTGACGGAGTGGCTGTGGAGCACGACCCTTGTGTTCCGCTTCATCGAGTTCGGCTTCCTGGACCGGCTGAAAGACGTGAAGGAGGAATGTCTGCTGGAGAAACCCGAAGAGGAGGAAAATAAAAAGAGTGTGCCGAGCGAGGAAGAACTGCAGAGTCTGTGGACGCAGTACGAGTCCAACAACCTGTTCAACATCCTGTGGAAACCGCGGCCCATCCAACTGCTGCAGGCGGCGTGGACGTGTCTGCGCGCCCACTCGCAGTACCTCAGCTTCCTCCTCATCTTCTACCTTCAGGCCTTCCGCTACTGCTCCTTTTACACGCTGCCGCTGCCCCTGTCCGTGCTCTACGCGTCCAAGAAACACCCCCGACCCAGCAACTACTACTGGAACGCGCTCATCGTCGTTTCCTTCAGCATAGTGAGTATAATTTTTTTTAATCAACCTTAAGTATTTTAGAATGGAAATGTGTTATTTTAATTAATGGCCCGCGAAAACAGTTGTTGCAGGAAAGATTAATTTGTAAAGACTAAAAAAAGGGTACAATAATTGGTACAAACAACAAAAACAAGATTAAATTATTTAGGCAGATTGAGGATCGATGCCGCCACAAATTATAGTTTTCCCTTTTATTAAATTATTGGGGGGAAATGACAGCTTTCGAACTAACAATAAGAAAGTGATGCTCATAAGAAAAAAAACTTATTTTGAATAAAAATTTTTTCCAGAAAAAAAATTAATGTACAAAAAAATTGCATGGAGATGAAAATCTTAAAAATTTGAGAAAAACGTATTTAACCTGGGGGCGGGGGGGGGGGGGGGTAGGATTAATTAAAGAAGATAATAGCTAATTGTGATAACCACACCAGAATTATAATATTTAGGTCAATATTGGTCTATATTGATATTTAAGAAAAAAAGTATGTATTTTGAAATATTGGATATTAATTGTAAATTTTTATTTAGCATTCTTTCCAAACAAATAAAATGCCTAATTATGATGATTAATTATCCGTCATATTTATATACATGATAAGTGAGAATTATTATTTTTTAACTCAAATAAAGGAAATTATTATTTATTATTGACCTGAGAAAATTTTTTGCAAGGCAACGAGGAGATGAGGATACTTTTTTTCAAATTATTTTCCCCTTTTTATTTTTGAATTTTTTTATTATTTAAATATTAAATTCTAAAAAAAAAGAATTTCCAAGCAATATAATGAATTTTTTTTTTGAATTTATAAAAAAAATACAGATCTGATCTGTTTGTATCGTGATTTTCACTGTGATTAAACTATAACAAAGAAATTTTAAATATTTTTTCTAGCGCATGCAGAAATTATATAATATTAAAAATACAACTTATGAATATTTTGAACGCAAAATCCGGCAAAATCTAAATTATATTTTTTTGCATATTTCTTTGCTTTTCAAATTTATGTAAAATAAAGACCGGACTTTCGTGAGGGAATTAAGCAAAAGAGCATAAAAATCTTTTTTCTTCAGTCGTTCATATCACTGACATGCCTTTCCATAATTGATGCTTAATTTAATTTCCACTTCCAACTTCAAAGTTTTGTACATTTCATTGCATTATTATATATTTGTACAAAGAGATTCATGCAATGATAAAAATTGTACAAAACCACGAAAGCCGGCCGTACAAGTTTTGGCAGCCACTGACGTAGTGAGTGGTACAGAGAAGGTAACGACGCGATTCATGTCCAAACCTGCAACATTAGGATTCGCGCAGCAGCAGCAGCGAAGCGGGCAAATCACAAACGCCTGACAGAAAAGCAAACTAAGCAAAGAATGCACGTGCCATGCATGTGTGGAAAGAATTTTTGTCTCACTTTTGTCTCACTTTTGCCTCTGTTTTGTCTCACATTTGTCTCACATTTGTCTCACATTTGTCTCACATTTGTCTCACATTTGTCTCACATTTGTCTCACATTTGTCTCACTTTTGTCTCTCTTCTGTCACGTTTGCTTTGCACTCTTTGCATTCGCAAGCTAGTTCTGGCGCACGTACGTTCCATAAGAAGAGGTTTAAAATTTTGCGTTAATTGATCAGATAATTTGGAATCCGCTGAATTCTCACGCAGATTTAAACTCGAATTTAATTTAGGCAATTAATTGAATTATTGCCAGCTAACGTTGAGTTCCCAGTCTCATCATTATTCCAGTAAGTAAAATTCTCAAATATTTTATTTTTTCACTTAAATCTCTTGAAAATCATAAAATTTCCTTCACTTTTGCAAAGAAAAAATTTAAATTGTAAGAAAAATTATTAATCCTGTTTTTCGTTCTCATTGTCTTATTGTAATTTATTTGATCTTTATTTTTTTCAGTCTAGTTGATATGGAGAAAAATGGAGCAGACATAATATTCCTGCAAGAGAGGAAAACACCTAAAAAGTCTGCAAAACCTGCTGTGCCCAAGATTAAGAAGAGCAACACTGCAGAAACAGCAACTCCTGCTGCCCCAAAACCCCCCAGGAAATACACCAAAAGGGTAAAAATGACAAAATCAATGTAATTCTTTTTCATTCCTACTTTTTTTTATTCTAGCCTAAGGCTACCTCTGATGTCCCTTTGCAAGGGAAAAAGACCAAACTGCCCAAATCAACCTACAAATATCCAAAGAGCAGTCTCGGTCCCTACTTCGCTCCCGAGTCCTACTTCTACAATGGCTATCGAAATGCCTACTTGAACTTCTTGCTGCCGAGCTCCAGCTCGAATGACATGCCTGACGTTTACAACGGACGTCTGCGGCGCCCAGTAGAATTCCCTCCTCTGCCTATGAGTGGAAACAGGAGTTTGTTGATGCAGCAGAACTTTGTCCGAGACCTTCCCTTCAATCCGGGAAACACCTGCGATTGCCTTTTGCCACCGCCACCTGTTTACTACGCTAATTACACCCCGTACTTAAAATTAAATTTTTTTATAATTTAATTAATCTTTTTTTTTTCAAGGAAAGTGACACGTTCCTCCACCTCTGCCAATGGAAAAGCATTTTCCTCACAATACCCGAAAATATTTGAAGAGACTGAAGATTACAAGAAGACTCTCGAAGGTCTGCTGGACCTTGATGCTGACGGAGGCCACGAGTTGTGGCGCGAGGGAGAGCTCGAAGACATGCTCTTCCACCACGGACTTGATTCCAACTCCAAGACAAACCTGACCACTCCGTCATTTGAGGAAATGTTTGAGTTGGAAAATATTGAATTGGAGGATTTCTAATTTCCTAACAGACCTCTCGAACCTTTACTGAGTTTGAAGTCTAATAGAAGAGATTTATTTTTGCAACGAAGACCAAAAAACCTTGGTTACCTTCAATGTATATATTTGTAAAGTGTCTTGCATACTGCAAGAGAAGAGTTCATAAAATTGAAGAATAAATAGTGCAAAAGTCTTAAATAATAATTATTTGTTATCAAAAAAGGTTGATATTCCAGGTGATACTGAATTACGATTACCTCTGTTTCAGGAACAAAATTGTCAATTGATTTCTAATTCCAATGAAATATAAAAATAAATAATTCATCGTTTTATTTTATTCCACTAACAATAAGAGATCTTCATATATTCTATATTACACACATGAACGGAAAAAGTTTTTTCCGGCATCCGCAATATTCTTTATTACTTTTAAGGTTTTAAGTGTTTGCTATTAAAATAATTAACTTAAAATCTCTGATTTTTCCTGTCCAGATTATAGCTAAAGTCGGCTTTGCGCCTTACCTCGGAGAGGCAGTGATTTCTCGGCTTGGCGGTCGGTCTGCTTACTGGGAAGCTTTCCTCTTTGTCTCTGCCATTTGGCACAAGTAAAATACGTAAATTTATTTTTTGAGTCTTGCTAATTGTAATTTCTAACCAATAGATCAATTCTACGCAAAATCGGACTGTGGAGTGCGCCGCTGAGCTTGCAAAGCCAATCACAAAGAGTTGCATTCGTCGACGTCTACTCCTGTATTTTTATACTCCAGGTGACCAGCACCACGATCGTCCTTGGCAGCTTCAGCTCATTTGCCGTAAATTTGACATGAATCAAAATAAATCACTTTGACGAATTAAAAAATAAATTTCAGGCAGAGGCCAGGGGCGACGACAAGAAGTCGGTCGTTGATCTTGACTCGGACTCTGTTCCGGTGACTTTCCTGATTGTAATATTTTTGCACTTGATTGGAATGGCCCTGGACCGGATTTTCTACGTTAGCGCCGCGTTTGGCTGCAGAAAAGTTTTCCACACCATCATTTACGTTGCGTTGCACTTCTGGCTCTTCCACTTTGTCCCCAAATTCACTCACAGGCACACAATTTTTTTTAATTACCTCATTTTTTTTTTCAAAATTATATTATATTTGAGCAGGAAATTTGGCCACTACTTTTCACAGCAGATCTACTACTTCCTGCAAAGCATCTATTTACTTTTGTCAGCCTACCAGGTTCGGACGTGCCACTCAAGATGTTCGGCCGTGAGCATTTTGTGCCAAAGTTTCAGCAGAATCAACATGGTCGCTTTTCTAGCGTATATGAATATTAAGTTTATTATTTAAATGATTTAAATTTGGTTTTTGTTTATAGATATAGCAGTGTTCCGTTTCTGGAGCCTGTGAGGAGATCGATTGACTTTTTCTTCACTAAAACACTGCTGACGCGCGAAGAGTTTGTGCTCATTGAAAGTATATTTGACCTGGTTTTTAAAGTGAAGGTATGTTACAAAAATAAATTGTGTTCAAAATTACTTGACAATAATATTTTTCTTCTTATTTTTATCAAATCTGTTTTAGTGTGAACGGGTGAATGAATACAAGTACATGACGAACCGGCGCCTCAGGACTGGCCTGAAAACCGTCGTCGGTCTTTTTGCAATCTTGGCCATGCTCATGTTTATCGCTGCCCCGTTGATCTACTACACCCTGGAGGACTCATTGACGCAGCATAACCACATCAAGTACCTAAGTCTGGACTTGAGCAGCCCCGTCCTCGGAAACATGTACCACCAGCGAGTCTCAACCTTCCACCAGTAATCTTCATTAGTCTTATATAAAAATTTTTAATAATTTATCCGGTCAACAGTATCAGCTACCGTAAGTTTCAACTGATGAAAAACCATTACGGGAAAAATAGGGCGGCTTACACTTTCCTGAACGAGTTCACCCATGATGACATAATGGTTGCTGAACTTCCAGCCATTTCTTTGACAGAGTGGTCGACTGCCATGCCAAGATCGGAAGTCGCAAAAATTTTGAGAAACAGTAATTGAATTATTATTTAATTGTAAGAAAACTGAGAATCGTCTTTTCAGTGACGATGCTTCGACCGACGATCAAATGGGTTGTGGAGAGGGTGGTCGAGGGTGACGAGGACTTCAATGACCACACCACCATGCTCAAAGCACCCCCTCCGAATAGCACATTGCCAAATTTGATCGGCAAGTTGGCCGAAATGGTTGAAAAAGGTGGAACGGCAAAACCCGTTCTGCTACCAGACATCCTGACCAAATTTCTGCACTTCCACCGAACGGACCCTTCAAGCAACATCAAGAGTCTCATGCGTAATTTTATTAGAAAACTTTTTGCGCAAAATGAAAACGTAAATTTCGTGCTAAAGTAACTAGGGCCCGAGACCCAACGGTGGATGATCTGCTTGTCCAGCTGGTAAGGGTGGAGGGAAGTGACAAATTCGCTTGGAAGCTGTCGGAAAACTGTGACACAGACGAGTACAGGCAGCACCTGTCAAAACTGCCCTTTGCGAAGGACTGCGAGACTCTGGACATTTTCCTTTTCTCTGCGCACCCACCCTTATTTGGAGTTGTTAAAAATTTCGGAGGGTAATTTATCTTTAAAACAAAATGAGAATATATTCGTTTTTCAATTTTGAAATTTCAGATTAATTGGAATGTACGCTGGGGTGATTTTGTCTCTGTGGACATACCTGGCTAAAATCTGGAAGCGCGATGCATACGAAATGATGTTTGAGGAAATGGTCTCGCCAGATAAAATTTTGCAGGTTATTATCATTTCAATTATAAAAAAATTTTCTAAAAAAAAAAAAAAAAATAGCTCTGCCTGGATATTTACCAGTGCAGAATCACCCAGCAGGCGGAGATGGAATTGGACTTGGGTCAAAAACTGATCAATATCTTCACTTCTTCCACCGAATTTGACAAGTGGAGCAAAGGAGCTTACGGGATTGATCCCCGCGCCCTCAATTACCCTTGATGGTTATTCATGGTCGATTTAAATGTTTGATACAAATTTGATTCCGTACTACTAACAACAGTTGTTTATTTTACAATAAGAACAAATTCGACAAGCCCAGGATCTTTTGAGGGCTGTTCCAAATTTCATAACATGGCTACTCATTATATAATTGTTTATGATGACTGGGCGTTGATGGGGTCGATCTTGGGTTCGGAGAATTGGAAAGAAGGGAACTTGGTCATATCTACCCCTGCGCCACCTCCGTATTGCTTGGCGGCCTTTTCCAAATCGTTGGCCAATTCCTTCTGGATTTCGGGCGAAGCGTCAACAAACTTGCCGCCTGCAGCCCTGAGACAAACCGATTTGATAATTAAATGCTTCAAAATTAGTGTTTTGAAAAGACGAACTTGCTCTTCTGTGCGTATTCGCGGATTTTGTCGATGAAAAGCTGCTGGACGGGGTCGGCCGCCTTGGCAAGGGCAGGCACGTTGACTGACAGACAGCGGCTCACCACATCCTGCGAGGCCAACCTCCTAAGGGAACCAAGAACTGGTCGGACAATCATCCTGTAGATTTGCAAAAAATTAATAATTTATAGGGTTCAAGTTTTAAATTTTGAAGACAAATGGTTTTTGCTGGGAAGGGTGACTAACGTATCAAGATGGCTTGAATTTTTTTATAATTCTGTGAAATCCTTCTTATAGAATCGGCAAAAATACACTTGAAATATGAAAATAAATTTCTTTTGTCACGAAATAATGCTTTTTTGGTGTAAAATAATTCAGGAACATTATAAAAATTAATTTTTTCTTTACCTTTCGCTGCCTAATGTTTTGGATGAAATTATTAAAGATGGCTGACGGTGGTAGCCGGTGAAATGAGTCAAGCAAAACACTTTTTATTCAGTGTTTTTCACTATTTTTCATAATTACATGTAACAAAAATTCAAAGAAAATTATTTGTTTACTCTAATTTGCATTTTTACACATTAAATATGTAATTCTTTGTTGCCAGTACTGAAACGTCTTCGGTAGTCAATCTCAAAATCGACTGGGGCAAGGGACTGGGGGTTGGGGTGGGGGCACTGGGGGCGCGGAATTCAAACGCAGTAAAATTAAGACAGCCTGCGTCATGAGTTTTATCTTTGAGTTTTTCAGACGCATTTTAGAAAGGATGTTGCACATTTTCAGCTCAGGGACCGAGAGCATCAAAAACACGCTCAAAATCTACATAAAAACCAACACAGGCAAGTCGGTCAGCGTCGACTTAGACCCGAAAATGGACATAAAAGACGTGAAAGAGCTCGTCGGCCCCAAAATTGGCATGCAACCCCAAGAGGTGAAAATCATTTTTGCGGGCAAAGAACTGCTCGACACGACAATAATAGCGGTATTTAAATGCTGATACTTGATTTTCATGTCATTACCATAAAAATTACTGTTTCAGGATTGCGATTTAGGAGATCAAAGTGTCCTTCACGCAGTAAGAGTGGTCAGGGCTGTTCCAACCTTTCCGCAGTCACCGGATAATCCTGCTGCTGAGGGCTCAAAGCCCATGTGTGGTACTTTAATGGACCTCCAATTGACTGCGAAGGAGAGGGAAATGCTTGGACTGTCTGAAGACAAAGCTGGTAAAAATTAAAAGGACCTAAAAGATAGTTTTGTAAAAAAATAATAATTTTTGCAGAAACCGAGAAGAATCGAGCCCATTTCTACGTGTATTGTGGCGCCGTGTGTAGAGGAATGAGAGCCGGAAAGCTGAGAGTGCGTTGCAGTCACTGCAAGAGTGGAGCTGTGACCGTGGTGCGCGACCCTTGCTGCTGGGAAGACGTGCTGACGCCTCAAAGGGTCGAAGTTCACTGCGAGTCTCCAGAGTGTGCAGGACAGCAGCGGTTCTCGCAGTTTTTCTTCCGGTGTGCCGAGCATGTGTCCCAGGGCGAGGACGAGGAGGCTGTTGCCCTGTACTTGATCAAGACAAACATCAGGGACATTCCATGCTTAGCATGTACGGAAATTAGGTAAAAAATTTAAGGAAACCAAATTTTGAATATTTGGTCATTTAAAATTGTTTAGCAACCCTGTGTTGGTTTTCCCTTGCATCGAAGGCCACGTGACCTGCATGGATTGTTTCCGACACTACTGTAGCTCTCGACTGAGAGAAAGGAGGTTCCACTCGGACCCCAAACTGGGCTACACCTTACCATGCCCAGCTGGCTGTGAAAATTCCTTTATTGAGGAAACTCATCATTTTAGACTTTTAAGTGATACTGAGGTAAAATAAAATTTATAAAAATAAATAAATTTCACTTTACAACTAAATAAGAGTTTTGTGTTAAACTTGCTTGTTGAGAAAATATGCCATTGTTAATCACAAACAGCTAAATTTGATTATCTCAACAAATAATTAACTTATAGTTTACCATTTTTTTAGCACAATTATTATTCCAAACTTTACTCAATTTCCCCAATAGAACCACAGATGAATTATGAAATTAAAATTCACGATAAGTTTATTTTTTATCCAGTATCAGCAATATCAACGTTTTGGAGCAGAAGAATTTGTTCTCCAAGCTGGTGGGGTGCTTTGTCCTCAGCCTGGATGCGGAATGGGAATTCTGGTAGAGGAAGGATGCACAAAAGTTGCATGCGCAAGTGGTTGCGGCGTAAGTTTAGAGTTACATGTTTCATTCAATAGAGAATCAATTAAAAATTGATTATTAGTTTGTTTTTTGCCGAAACTGCCTTCAAGGCTATCATATAGGCGAGTGCCAAGAGGTTGAATCTGGAGCTACGGCCCTCGAACAGTCCGGCTACAGCGTAGACCCAGGCAGAGCTGCTCAGGTTTGAAATTTGCAAATCAGTTGCAATAAAAACTAAGATGTGATTTGTAGGCCCGTTGGGATGAAGCAAGCAAAGTGGCAATTAAAGTGACAACCAAACCCTGTCCCAAATGCAGGACGCCGACTGAAAGAGATGGTAATTAATTTTTTTTTCTATTAAAAAAAGTTTGTACATATTTCAAAATGAGAGTTTAAAAAATTAATGAAATCATTTTTTTTTCCAAAATTATATTAGCTTTTAGCATTTAATTTTTTAATCATGATTTATAGGTGGATGTATGCATATGATTTGCACAAGGCCCCAGTGCGGCTTCAACTGGTGCTGGGTTTGTCAAACACCGTGGACCCGAGACTGCATGGGAAATCACTGGTTTGGCTAATAAGTCGAACTTATAAGGTAAATTACTACGAATCTTCCTTTACAAAATTGCCATAAATTTACCCTTGTTGACAACTTTTTGAGATTTTCTCAGAAATATAAAGCTATTTTGAATCTATTAATGGATCAGTGTTTTGATTTGGTCATTACCGAGTGCATCAACACTTGCCAAAATATATCACAGCAATGCCTTCAAAGCTATAGTGATGATCGACGGGAGGGTGCAAACCAGATAATTAACAAGGCTAATAAACTACTGGCAATTTTTCTTAAAAGTTGCTCACCTTAAAGAAAAAATGTTGCCAGTTAAATTTCCTACAATTTCTTTCATGCATATCAAAAAATACATGATTTAAGTATCTAACAGCGCTGAAAAGATAGAGGAGATGAGTGCAATGAGTCCCTTCCCCCTCTGGTGTGACAGCGCTGTGATCGCGGAGTGGGCTTCCGAAATCTTTTTCCATATATTATATACAGATTTGATCATTCATCCGGGAATTATGATTATATTATGTACTTAATTGGGTGGGTCCAGGATATAGAAGGGTAATGTTAAATGTTTTTCTTGAAAACGTGCCATTTTATTATTCCAGGAATAATGATCATATGATCAATCACAAACCTTTTTGTCTTGGCATAAAATGATCAATCAGATCAATATTGACGATCATTATCAAAAATAACAAAATAAGTATTATGATCATTAAATTATTCGTGGAATAATCCGAATAATGTTTCGGCGATTTTTAAAGCCCACTCGGCGATCTCAGCGCTGCCACACGTGTGAACGCGAGGGGGGGAAGGGACTTCTTATTCTCCCGATCGGAATGAAACGCCTTTTGAGGAGGTTTTTGTTTTGGAGAATAAAAAACATTCCCTCTCCTTGGGTGGAAGCACGGAGTGGGGGGTGGTATATATAGCAGCAGCAGACCACACATTGTTCTCTATGAAAGCAGTCCCGTACTCCCGTACGTGTTGTCACTTGTCTCGCGTCCGTGTGACTTAATCAACAAGTTGGTCTAAATTTGTGAAGCTCTTTGTCTTCTGAAATTCGGTAAGATAGAAATTATATTCAATCAATAAATTTATTCATTCCGCCGCTTCGTAAATTATGAACAAAATTGAGCTACGTACATTCATCGGTACATTCATATAAATCTGAGCCGGCCGAGCCGGCATGCATCAATTTATTATAATTCTTCGTTTTTATTGTTGATTATTTTTCTTTTCAAACTAAATTATAATTTGTTAATTCCTGCATAAATTACGTATGTTAAAATCCTAAAAATATTCCGGGTACAATGCAAAAGAACTGAAATGTGCTACTTCGAAATGCTAGCAATGTCGCGCGGAGCATTTCACGGAATTGTTGTTATTCTAGATATTTATGAAGGCCGTATGTGAAGATTTGTCGCACAATGCAACAGCATTCCCCGACGAACTCTGAACAAATGCACTGGTGTGGAATAATTATTTTATTCCTCTCTTAATTTTTTTGTTTTGATTGTGGCTCATGTGGCTGTGTCATCGGGGAACTTCATTGTTTTTTTTATTATTCCAATTAAATTTTCGGCTTTTACAATTAAATTAATTATTTAAGGGCTTTCTTTTGAATTGATCTTGTTTAATTTCTGGCAATTGTTTTGAGTTAAATTCTTACAAAAAATAAATATCGCGTTTATTTTAAATTTATATTTAATTAAAGTAGCTTTAAATTTATAAATATAATTAGTATAATAAATTCCATAAATTCAATCGGAATTAGCTTGTAGAATTCATGGGATTCCATTTCAATTCAAGGGAATTTATAAAGGCATTTTAGAATTCAACTGCAAATTCACAGAACTTTCTATATGCATCTGAAAGTTCTGTGGATGAGTTTCGCATGACCCTCCGGGCTGCGGCCTGCGACCCGCACTGTAAAAGGCGCTCCGTCCGCTGGCTCGGGCAGAAAACTGACATGCACACCTGGGCACCCAGTGCAGCTTCAGACAACACCCGTCCGCGATTCCTTAATTCGCGCCCGTGTCCAAGCTGTCCGAAGGCCCCCCGACCGCTGTCCTGTCCTGACACTGGCTCGTACGAGGACAACCGGAAGGCCGACTGCGTCCCGAGCCCCTCGAGCGACACACCAGTGTCCCTCGTCCTTGCCAGGGGTGCGGCTGAGCGGTCCGAAGCCAATCGGAGCAGCTTTGCCAGCTCCTTCACGTCCGAGGAATCGGGCGCCGACGAGGCTCGCCGCCAGCGAGCGTTTGTACGAAGGCGTACGAACGTGTCCGCCGCCAGAGACCTGCATAGCAGGGAGCCGCCGGGTTCCCAGGAAGGACGTTTCCAGGGCAGCCGCAGCCGGCATACCCAGGGAACACCGCGCGCTCCCATTTGAAAATTGCAAGAGACGACAGTAAAAGAACAATATCGAGTCTGTGAATTTTACCCATTCTGCCAAAATTGTTGTCAAAATTTATTATGCTAAAACACTATAAAATAATAATTTATTTAATTAAAACGAATAAATTTAAAATATTAATTTTAATTTAAATTTATTTATTTGTACAGCAAGCCCGTGTGTAAGCCAACCTGCATTGTGTCAAACAATACACATTAGCATTTTAAATAATTCAAGCCATAGAAATTATTAAACAATTACACATTAACAAATAGAAATAATTTTAACAATATAAATCATTAATTACAATTAAAAAATCAGTCAGTATAATCTTATGCAAACCCCTGCATTTTAATCTTCTAACGTTTGGTTCACAATAAACTAAATTTGTAGTACCAGGACAAAGTGCGCTTTGTGTGTTCGTATCTGTTCTGATGCACGTCTCACTTATTCCCTCTTTGTTGACACACAGGCGGAAAAAGGCGATTCACGCAGGACACGGCGCTTTATTTGTTGCAGTACTCTTTTTTTTGCCAGAGAATGGAACCAGTCGCTTTTAAAAAAATAATGGATCCCATCAAGAATTTGGCTCGTCGTGACCTCCAGACCACAAAGGTTAGATTTTTATACCAAAAGCTGCTCACTCTCGCCGCGGTTTGTTATATTGTAATTTTTTTTTTTAATATTTTTGCAGGTCTTATCCCAACCCTTGTCCGACGAGACATTATCGTCCACAGACGAAATACTCAGTGCCTTGGACAACAGCATCGACAGTGTGGAAGGAAACTCCAAGAAAAAATTGAAGTTCCCTAACATACTCACAATGTTAATATACGTGATCAGACTGTTTGGTGAATCATGCCTTTCTGAACAGCAGATCCTCTTGGCCAACTTTGCACGTGCCTGCCAAGTGATACACGAGTATGGTAGGTTTTTTTATTGTGCTAAGGCTAGTCCTTATTAAGAATTCCTCATTTTCCTATTAATTAAAGCCTAACAGATGATTTAAATCATTAATATTCCTCTTTATTTTTCTCTTATAGCCATTGCAACCGTGACCAGGGCGAAGTGGAAAAGTGCAGTATTGGAAGTTGTGGGGGAAGGTACTATAATGCAATATTACTTAAATAATTTTACTACCTCTCTTTTGAGTAGCCCATTTATGTGTTCCGACTGCGATGGCCATAAAACTTTCTTCTGCAATGTATGTGTGCGCCTGAAGGAGAAGAAATGCATCAAAGACGACTGCACCTGGTCCAGGAGGAGGCTGTTGCGCTGCATGTGAGTAAAATAAATAGTTCATTTTAAATCAATTCTGCTTTCACATATTCATTTAACTTTTTTTAGGTGCTGTAGCTATTTCTCTATTTTTTCTTTTTTTTTTTTTAATATTATGCCAAAAACAGCATATTTATTATATCTCAATTTGATTGGTCTTCACTTTACTATTCTTTATAAAAGCACTTCTCTTATTTCAATTATTTGTTTTTATAATAATTTTTTATTACAACATTAAAGATTGATATCTGCATGTTTTGAAATTGTGTGTTTTTGTTTTGTTATAGCAAGAAGAAGGTAAAGAGAACAGATCCTGATGGCGCTCATGATGAATCAATTGACCACATTGCGCTTGCAGCTTCCAAACTGAAAGAAGGAATTGTAAGCATCAATTTTTTCCCCTTGAATTCTTGACTAGATTTTGTGTTTAAGTTCATTCAGCCAACTCCGAAGGACATGGATGCCGTTTCCAAATTGTTGAGCGCCCTAAGGCTGAAGATGTATGATGGCGGCTCGGCTAGTCTAGGAGGAGGCGACAACCTTCCCATGGATAATGTCTACGACTTCCTTCATAGAATTCTGCAATTGATCAATAATACCACGCCAGGATTAACACTGAAGGACCAGTTAACGTTCCTACATCAATGCGCACAAGCCTCAACTATTCTTCACCCCTTGGGTATGATATTATGAAGTTTTTATTGAATAATGTTTTAAGATGAGATCACACACTGTGAATTGTGCGTGAAGATATTTATGAATTAACTTCTTATATTATTCCTGTTATAATTTTAAAACCTGCAATAGAAACTGAAATTTAATCATAATATAATGTATTTGAATTTACAGTCTAAATGATCTTATTTTGCAGTGTTCTTCTGTTGGACACATCGGGACACATGCTGCAAAGTGTGCTCATTCGATGCCGAAATCCAAGCCGGCTGCCAGCACGAGAACATCGAGACACATTTCTGCAAAGTGTGCTCTTTCGATGCCGAATTCCAAGCAGGCTGCCAGCATGAGACCTTTTTCTGTACTAGATGCTTAGAGGAAGATGAAAATTGCGTTTGCACTTTCAATGAATATGATTGGGATGGTTCTACTCTCATTTGCTTGATTCAAAAGTAATTTTGTCACTTAAGTTGCACCCAATTTCTGAAAATTAATATTTTGATTAATTATACATGAATAAAAATAAAAAGTTTAATCAAATTTTCGATTAGTCTAAAAATATTATTTATATGTAGATATATTATTATCTTTATTCCTTTCTAGATAAATGTGAATTTTATGGGGGTTATATTTAATCTGGTTTTAATATAATTTTTATTTTTATAAATTGTAAGTTCTTTTTATGTGTGTAGTAAAAACGCGCATAGAAAGAGAGACTAGCATAAACAGCTAGGCAAGGAGAATTGCGTATACCTGAATACGAGGGAGTCGCGCGCGCTGACACATGTATTGCCACCCTTGGCCTAAATAAAAATACAATAAATTTATTAAATTAAAAGGCGCTCATTGGTCTAGACACGTGATGTACGGAGGGGTTTATTTTTCGTTAAACTGATTCCAGCCCGAATTTAAAAGTTAAAATCAGACTTCACCTTCATTTGTGAAAGACAATAATAATAAAAGGAATTTAAAAACAAAATGTTTTTAATAATAAATTCTTAATTTAAGATGCTTAGTACATCCATTTTTTTCATTCATTAACGGGTTTAATTCAATTTGCTGCGACCGTGGTGCGTAAACCTTGCTGCTGGTAAGACGTGCTGACGCCTCAAAGGGTCGAAGTTCTCCGGAGTGTGCAGGACAGCAGCGGTTCTCGAAGTTTTTCTTCCGGTATGCCGAGCATTTGTCTCAGGATGAGGAGGCCGTAGCCTTCTACTTGTTTAAGACAAACATCAGGGACATTCCGTGACCTGCATGGATTGTTTCTGACACTACTGTAGCTCTCGACTGAAAGGAGGTTCCACTCGGCTCGGACCCCGAACTGGGCTACACCTTACCATACCCAGCTGGCTGTGAAAATTCCTTTATTGAGGAAACTCATCATTTTAGACTTTCGAGTGATGCTGAGGTAAAATAAGCTAAGAAATAAATTTATTTCACTTAACGACTAAATTTGATGTTTATTAAATTTAAAAAAGTTGTGTTAAACTTTCTTGTTTTGAGCATAGAGTAAAATATGCCACTTTTCTTTAAATATCAATATTAAAAATGGTAAATCATGGGAACTGATTAACATATTTTTTCCCAAAAACAGCTAACCCTGACTATCTCAACAAATAACTTGATTTAGCATTTCTATCACAAATTCTATCCCAAACCATTCTCAAATTTCCCTAATGGAACCATGCATAGATGGATTTTGAAATTTAAATTAATGATGAAATTATTTTTATCCAGAAGAAGATTTGTTCTCCAAGCTGGTGGGGTGCTTTGTCCTCAGCCTAGATGCGGAATGGGAATTCTGGTCGACGGTGGATGCACAAAAGTTGCATGCGCAAGTGGTTGCGGCGTAAGTTTAGAGTTACATGTTTCATTCAATAGAGAATCAATTAAAAATTGATCATTAGTTTGTTTTTTGCCGAAACTGCCTTCAAGGCTATCATATAGGCGAGTGCCAAGAGGTTGAATCTGGAGTTACGGGCCTCGAACAGTCCGGCTACAGCGTAGACCCAGGCAGAGCTGCTCAGGTTTGATATTTGCAAATTAGTTGTAATAAAAACTAAGATGTGATTTGTAGGCCCGTTGGGATGAAGCAAGCAAAGTGGCAATTAAAGTGACAACCAAACCCTGTCCCAAATGCAGGACGCCTACTGAAAGAGATGCTAGTATTATTTTTTTTTCTATTAAAAAAAAATTTGTACATATTTCAAAATGAGTTTAAAAAATTAATGAATTCATTTTTTTCCAAAATTATATTAACATTTAGCATTTAATTTTTTAATTATGATTTATAGGTGGATGTATGCATATGATTTGCACAAAAGGCCCCAGTGCGGCTTCAATGGTGCTGGGTTTGTCAAACACCGTGGACCCGAGACTGCATGGGAAATCACTGGTTTGGCTAATAACTCGAATTTTTGTTAATTACTACAAATCTTCCTTTTTTTAAAAAAAAAAAGTGCCAATATTTACCCTTGTTGACAACTGTTCGAGATTTTCGCAGAAATATGAAGCTATTTTGAATCTATTTATGGATCAGTGTTTTATTTACAAATTAATTAATTCACTTTCATCTAACACAGAATGAATGGGTGAACAACAACAATTATTCTTCTACTCGTAACGAAAATTTACTCGCACGCCTTGACCACTTCCTCGGCAACCTCGACGGCGATTTGCGCCTCGGCTCTGGCCTGGTCTCCGGACGCAGAGCTCAAGGCACTCTGGGCCTTGCTCAGTGCGTCCCTGGCTGCGGCCGCGTCCAGGTTCTCAACTGGCACAGCCTCTTCGGCCAAAATCTGCACACTGGAGTCATCGTTGATGGTGACGGAGCCACTGGAGACAAAGAAACGCTTGGGGCTGCCGTCGGCCTCAAGAACTGTGACAACGCCGGGCTTCAGGACTGCCAGGGTAGGCACATGCTTGGGCAGAATGCCAAAGGCTCCACTGAACGAGGGCACGTCCACTTGCCTCACATTGGCCTCGTTGTAAAATACCTTTGGGGGAAAAAATTCAAATTAAAACCTCCTTTTTTAATTTTCGATTTGAATTCTGACCTGATTGGCAGCGGCAAAGGTGAAGGACATCTCATTGCCATCGGCATATCCACGTCGGACTGCGGTCCTGCCGAGGGGTTTGGTGGCCAGGAGGCGCAGAGCAGAGCGAGCAGATCGGCCGACAACTGCCATTTCGGACTAAAATCGGAGATGGATTCGTTAGAAGATGGTTAAAAGCAAAAAAATATTGTCAAATTGGGCAGTCGAAAAAGCCGAGAAGAAAGGGATGCGGTTTTTGCTTTTGCGAGTTGCAGGTGTTTTTACAAACCAGCGAACTTTCTGGTGATCGGAGCGACCCGACAGGAAGGTCAGGAATGTTAATGTCAAAGAGATTGTTCACTAGACAACTTAATTTTGGTGGAAATGGTGATTGAAAATCGAAAAATTAACTTACAGTGAATCAATGTCTTCTCGTGCAGCAAAGCAAGGTGAAATTGTGTTTTTCCTCAGCAGACGTCTCTAGTGTGGCGCGCGCGAAGAATTTTGAAAAATTGAATTTGTTTAGCTGGCGGGAATCGCCATTGATAGTGTTCAAAGCGCTTTGAGCCAAGATCAAACAGGCCAAACAGCAGCGTTGTATAATATTTTTAATATTAAAAATTTAATTAGATCTTTTTCTCTAAAAACCGCTAAAAACTGCCTCTTTTTAATCTTTGCTATCGATATATTTTTGAAACTTTTATATACTTTCCCATTTTTTTATTGCTGCGGTACTTGATGGACTTTTGAAGAAACTTTTTACAATTGATTGGCTAAGTTCAACTTTTATGTCAGCAAAGATTTAATATTTGCTTAATTTTTATATTACGCATTTTGTAAAATAAATAACACACAAAAAACACATGTTTTAATTTTATACAAATAAGTTTCAGTTTATTTTAAATTAAAAATTGCACTTCTATTTGAGTCATTTTTTAACTCTTTAACTTACATTAAATTCTCTTTTAATGTCTGTAATATAATTTCAATCAATTCAAAATTATGGACAATTCAAAAAATCTCAAGATTTTCAAGTTTGATACTGGACAATGGCAGAGCTCCGTCTTTCACGCATTGAATTTTGTAGCAGAGAAGCAGTCAATGCAGATGCAGAGAGCGTAGCGAGAGCATTCGGATTTTACATAGATTTTCTCGGTTCCGCAGTCGCGGCATTCTGGTCGATGTCTCGAAGAACATTTTGACCTCTGAAAAAAAATTATATTAAAATATCTCCGTACTTTCCTTAACATGGAATATCCTTACTCTGCGCGCTGATTATCTTCGAGGCCTGTACTAGCTCCTGTAAAATGGCCTTAGCTTTCAGGTAAGAGTCGACTTGCCCGAAAACGTTCTTGAAGAAGTGGCCGATTGTGTCACGAGACGGGTTGACACCTGCTATCAACATTTTGTCGACGATGGCCTCGACACTGCTCGTCTCATCTGGACTCTCGAGTGAGAGCGATGCTCGTTAGCTGTGGATGTTATAAGTGGTAATGTTTTACTTTTTTAAGTTTTACATTAAAATTAAATTTACTTTCAAAGCCTCGATGGTTCTCAGGAGACTGGGGAACCAAAATATAGTTCTCGGAACTATTTTGATTCCCGAGCTTTTCAGCAGGGTAGCTTCATAATTTAAAAAAAAAAAGATTCGAGGTGAATGTCGAAATTTAAAAAAAAAAGTCTTTTAGTTAGCAGAGGCCGCAGAGGGAGGATTATATTTCTGAAAATTTTTTCAAAAGTGGAGAAAATAATTAAGTAAATGAAGCAAGCCTGCCCGCGCCCCTCGCCTCTACCGCGCGGCTGCCAGAGCAAAAGGGAAAAGTCGAGCACCTTTCGCCAAACCCGCGCGGCCAGCGAAAAATAATTATGTTGTGTGCGTTTTTTTTTCATAAAAAAAAATTAAGAAAATTATGAAGATATTTTTTATTTTTAATAAAATATCATCACTGCTGTTATCAATTTGCAAATTTTCAAATCAGATAAAAAAGAGGAAAATCATTTTTAAAATTTGATGAATAATTAATCTTCTTCTTTCATACTGGACTCTTTGTGATGGATGGGGTCTTTTTAATCTCGGAAGTTAAGCAAAATTCTTTGTATAATATTGGTGCCTTATTTATAGAAGATATAAATTTAATTTTTTGCCGATTATTTGTAAATTTAATTTTTCAGTCAATTCTCTAATTAGTTTTTTCAACTCAAGTGGGAAAAATGTAATTTTAAAGAGTTTAAAGAGTTAAATTAATTTATTTTATCACGTACTTAATTGTGACGTGATAGCAAAGTAAATTAAATCGTGGACACTTCAAGCAACGAAAAAATTTCGCGCGACAGTTCTTTGTTCGCTCGGCGAAGTTTCGTTCACGCAAACTTCAATTTTGTGCGCAGCGAACTTTTTTCCACAATGTTAAGCGCGAGCGCAATTTTTTATACCGACTTGAGAGCGCGAGAGTAATACAAAATAATCATGGTGATGGCTAAGCGCGTCAACCCGGCCAGCACATTCACAGAGAGATCACATTAAAAATAAATAAATGAAATTAAACTCACTATTGGTCACATAATATCACAAAATTACGCAAAAACTTCTCCAAGTTCGAGTGAATGAACAATTATCGTCAACACAAAATGTATTGCTCTGTAAATAATTTTAAATTTCAAATTTGTTGGAGAATTTTTGCCACCCGACTGGCAAAAATTCCGTCAGCGGTGCGGCGCTGCACTGAGCCGAGAAAAAATATTTCCCACAGGTATAAGCCGAGAGCTACTTGGATAATTTTTTTTAAAAAAATTAATGAATTTTCTGAACTGCTCAAGCCGAGAATTGGTTGGTGGAATTTTTTTCCTCGCATTTTCAACAACATTTTATACAAGTCATTCTAAAAATTTGAAAAATTCTTGGCTGCGCACAATGCGCTTAATCTTGTGATCGAATCTTTTTTCCAGCATTTCTAGATTTTTTTGCGCCTTTATAAGAACAAAAATTACAGTGATTGATTTAAAAACAGTTTCAGCAATATTAAATTGCAACTAAATTCTTTAGACGAAAATTTTTGTATTGTTTGCTTTTTTATTAACCTTAAATTTTTGGGCAAATTTTCGTTATTTTTTTCCCTGAATTTGCAAATTACGACCGCTCTGTTGAGCGCATTTTTTAGTGCAAATGACTGCTCGCACCTCGAAGTTAAAAAATCTGCACTCGCTCTCTGCTCAAAGAGTGCAGAGCGGAGAGTGTCTGTCACTCTGCCCAACTTTGGTTTTACATATTAAAATTTAATTTACCTTTAAATTGAAGAGAAGACCATTATATTATTAACCCCAAAAATGCAAATCAAACTCAGGGTACAAATAAGGGATGTGCAGCTGAGCGGAGCGTAAAAGGCACAGGGAAAATTTATTGCGATGCAAAACCGCCCTCCGCTGATGTTTCCAGCACTATCAGAATTTTAGTTTTTTTTTTAATTTTGTTTGCACTAAAATTAAATTTTAAAGGTAAATGTGCGCAGCAGATTTACGTCTGCGCTTGCCAGCAACATGCTTCCTTGTAGAGTGCTTACGAGAATAAATATTAAAATTTAAAATTAAACTTACTTTTATGTCGAGGAATCTTTCAGCGCCTCCCTCTACTTTGGACCTACTTGTCTTCACTTCCGTGTCATCCTCTCCAAATGCAGTGTCATCCTGCAAATCAATTTTACTAAATTTTTAATTTGTTTCAGGGTTTTCGAGCACAAGAATATAAATTTCAGCTGCTAGCGAGCAGCGTCGTAAATATTTTAATATTTATTTACCAGAAGAGCTTCAAGCTCAGATTCCAGATTATCCAAGTCTGACACTGATTGGCTGCGTTGCACAGTCGTGGCACGGCCGTGCGCTTGCTCCCTTAAAATTAAATAAAAAGAAATTATTTCCGCTGTATTAAAAATGTTTGGAAAAATTTTGCATTACCAGTTCATACGCGCCTCCATTTTCTTCATGCACCGTTCGTCGTGTCGGTAGAAGGAGGCAATTTTGAGAACTTCGTGGCATCATGGACACTGCCTGAAAAAAATTTTTGTAATTATAGCACTGGTGAGAGTACGGGGGATGTCAAAATTAAATTCTTAACTTATATTCCGAGATTAAAAATTTGGGTTTTAGAACTTTTTATTTCCAGCCGGAATTTTGATATTTTTAAAGAATCTAGTAAAGTTATGAAATATTTTGTAGATCATCAATCTATTGGGATTTTAATTTTGACCCCCCAGATCCCGTAATATTATGATAAAAAAATCTACTAAAATAATAATAAATAAAATCATTACGTTTTTTACAGCAAAAATTTCAGGCATTGTTTCTATATGGGTAAAAGTTATCGATGACCCTCAAATTATGTAGCTTCATAACAAAATTGTTAAATTTATTTATGTTAATTATTTATTTTTTATATGTGATTTATTTGAAAATATTTGGCATTTTAAAAGCCAGCCAAAAGATCAGAAAAGTGCGCATTTTCGTACAGAAAATTTGGTTTCGTCTGAACCATTTTGAACTGCTCCAAACCCCAAATTGAAAAATCGTGGCGTCTTTCTGGAACTTCTTTTATCATTTCGGCCCGAGGCTAAAACATCCAGCTTATATAAAACTGCCTGCCAATACTTGGGACGATTCAGATTCCAAATCTGATGCAGTACATTCATACATTCTATACATTCACTTCGATGGCCAACCGCTCTCTGCTGATGCTGACCGTTGTCGTTTTTGCTTTTTTTCTCGCAGGCCGAACGCGATTTCTGGCAAAAGTCGTGCTAATAATGTAAACGTGAACGTCATTGTGCCTGAAAACATGGTCGCAATATGAACTTCAAATAGCGGCAGCAAATTTTTTATAAATTGTCCATTTTAATAATTAATCAAAAAAAATTCAATATTTTAATTTAAATTTAAAAAAATATTTAAGATAGCAGAGGCCGCAGAGGGAGAATATTTAAGTCTTTCTGAATAATTAATCAAAAGTATAGAAATTAATTAAATAAATGCAGTAAGCCTGCCCGCGCCCCTCGCCTCTATACCGCGCGGTTGCCACCGCGAAAAGGGAAAAGTCGAGAACGCACCTTTTGCCAGACTCGCGGCCGGCGAAAAATAATGGTGCGTGCCTTCTTTTCATACAAAAAAAAGAAAAAAAATTAAAAAAAAGTGATGAAATGGTGCAGATTATTTTAATATTTTAGCTAAATTCTTTGCAGAGGTTGAAGCTTTATCAAAAAATTCAATGTTTCCCTCCCGAAATATTAATTTTTAAAATTGTCAACGATTTGAAACAATTGAAAAAAAAAACAGAAATAATTGATTAAAATCATATAAAATTTTGGAGTACTCCTCATAAAGAAAATCAAGAAGATATAAATTTTATTTCTTGCCGATTTGTAAATTTAATTTTTCAGTCAATTCTCTAATTAATTTTTTTAACTTGGCAAGGAAAAAATTTTATTGTAAAGAGTAAAATCAATTTATTTTATCAGGTACTTGTGACATGATAGCGATGTAATTTTAATTGTGGACACTTCAAGCGAGCGAAAAAAATTTCGCGCGACAGTTCCTCGTTCCCTTGGCGAAGTTTTGGTTGCGCAAAACTTCAATTGTGTGCAGCAAACTTTTTACAGCAAAGTCAAGCGCGAGCGCAATTTTTATGCAGACTTGTGAGTGCGAAGCGTAATATAAATATGCGGTGATGGCCAAGCAGAAAATCGGCTAAGCGCGTCAACCGTTGCTTTACTAGTTAAAACCCAATTAAATTATTAGATCCATGGCGTCCACCCTGCCTGCACAAAATACGTAGAGAGACATTAAAAATAAGTAAAAATCTCCTTTATGGAGATAAAATAAATATGAGACACATAATAACATCACACAATTACGCAAAAACTTCACAAAGTTTGAGAGAATGAACAAATTATTATCAACACAAAACATTTCAGCTCTGTTAAAAAATTTTAAATTTCAAATTTGTTGGAGAATTTGCCACCCGACCGGCCAAAATTCCGTCAGCGGTGCGGCTGCAACAAGGTCGATGCGTGCACCGAGCCAAAAACAAATTTATTTCACACAGGTAGCCGAGAGCTACCTGGATAATTTTTTAAAAAATTTAATGAATTTGCTCAAGCCGAGAATTTGTTGGTGGAATTTCAACAACATGCAATTCCATGAATTTTTATACATGCTGTCAATCTAAAAATTTGTAAAATTCTTCGCTGCGCATATTATGCGCTTTTATATTGTGCGACGGAAGTAAAACTTTTTTGCTTTTTCAAAATTAAAAGGCGAGCAGAGCGTGGAAAGCGCAAACATAAGTCCTAGATTTAAAGCAAATTTTTTAATCTTACCTAAATTAAAATTTTGCAGTTTTTTTTAAATTGTTCCTCTTGATTGTTGCATTTTTTTTTTTTTTAATTTTGCGACCAATCTGAAAAGAGACGAATGTTTTGATGGTGAGCGTCAAGGCTGGGCTAACATGTAAAATTAACAAGAGGTTCTTATAAAATTTCTTTATATACCTTTCTTGCTGGACGAAAACGATTGCTCGTTGTGAAACCACTTGACACCAGATCCGATGTTACTGCTTCGGAGTTCGGAGGCGCTTTGGTGTCTGACAATACAAGATGCGACTGTTTTGTTTCCCCTCTGAATCGTTATATGCGCGCTGCAGTTGTGCGCACGGACAAGAGTGTTTAAAAGTTCAGTGCGGCGAAATAACATTGATTTATTAGGATAATAATAAATCCATGATATACATAAAGTGCGACAAATTTTGTCTCTTAACATACGAGTACGTTTTTTTCATAAGCGCATAGTACATTAAATAATGCTCTCCAAAGATCTCAAAGATCAATTTGAACGTAAAAAATCACTAATAAAGATTACTCATAAAATTGTAAATATTCACATTTCTTTAAAACGCATTTTTACGCCAGCACATTTTATTACACGTCGATCTTGATTGATATTGTGTTATTATGTTTATTATTTTATAGAAAACATATTATCTTTTATTTATTTTTTGCCCACTCTCTTATCCTTTGATACAACTTTACATTTTTTCAACAGGAACTAAAAAGCGTGATAGAAAAAAGTTGGAATAAATAATATAAGTTTAAAGTATTTTAAAATTAATTGCAAATAATTTGAGAACATTATTATCTCAAAATATCTCAATAATCCCCTCTCAATATTCCTTAATCACATCTAATCAACGAGGCGCCGCAACTACAAACGCAGAAATAATTGGGAATAACCTTTTTTTTTTTTTTCATTAAAAGCCCTCTCTTGCGAAAATATCCCATTTTATTTATAATTTGAACTTCATTATTGCTAATCAAACAAAGGCTAGAGTTTATCAACACAGATTTTTTTGCATCTGCTTGAGTGACCTCAAAAAATCACGCCATCTCAAAAGGGTCAAAGATTGAATATCAGGACATTTTTTCTCCGGGACGAACGTCTCCGTCACGCGTTCATCCGCATTGGGCGGTTCTAATTGACAGTATAAAAGTTGGCGCGGCGTTTCGTTTGGTCTTCACTTTTTAGAGCCACGACAAAGACCATGGGCGAACGAAACGCGTCTCAAGAATTCCTGGACAGCCACCAGTATAGCGACCACAGCATTTCGCGATATGAGAAGATTTTCGGCAGGACCTACGTCAGCACCGGTGGCGAGGGAACCACAAAGGTAATTTATTAAAAAAAAAATATTAATTTATAATAAATTTCAAAGTTTTATTCTATTATAATTTAAAAGTCAATTCTAAATCCCTTCAGGAAAAGCTGCATCTTTTAGTATTTTTATTAACTTTACTTTTCAATCGTCAGTCCAATGGTGATGCTTGGACTGACCAGCATCCAATTTAATTACTATTTAATGGTAATTAAAAAATTATTATTCTTTTTTTTTAAATTTAATAATGAAGCTAAAAAATTGCTAATGCAGGAAGTACTGAAAAAAAAATTAAATAAAAATCGGAGCCACTGTAAATTTCTATTTCTATTGAGAAAAAAAGTTACGTGCTTTTTATATTAAAAGAGAAAAATTGGTATTCTTAATAGAATGATATGATGGTTGAGGTAAAAGGAAAAAAATATTCAAGGAAAGTATTACATAAAAAAGTTTTCCTGTGCTTGGTTGGGTGTTAAAAGTTAAATATAATAAAATAGATAAGCATAAATTTGTTGCTCACATTTATTTTTTGTATGCTATAAAAATTAATTACACGACTAGCAAGCAAAGAATTTGCTGGACGAATGACTTTTTGTAGCTATGCTCGGCTATGCTAATGTTCAATGGCATTTAAATAAAAGTTATAATCATAAAGTCAACAGTTATTATATCATTTGCAACTGCAAGCAATTTTCTGGCGCATCGATTGCATATTGAAAGCATAAAAAATTAAATCACGTTTAAAGGAAAAGTTTTGTGAAAAATTTAATTATTTAAGAAATTTAGTAAAATAAATTGATTTCAATTTCTACGCCTTGTGATTTAGATTATCACTGCAAAAATTTAATTGTTACATATTTCAAATTTAAAAAAATAAATAAACTACTATTATTCTTTATTCAGGGCTTGACGAAAAAGATGAACCTCAAGCCTGGTCAGCGAGTTCTTGATGTCGGTTGCGGCACAGGCGGAAGCGCCTTCTACCTGGCCAAGACCTACGGCGTCCAAGTCCTTGGACTCGACCTGTCGAGGAACATGATCAACAAAGCCAAGCAGTACCAGGGCGAGCTTGACGAAGAGACCAAGAAATTGGTAAAAATTAATTTGATATAGAAATTGATAAATTTTTAAAATGAAAATTGGTATAAAATGACATAAATTATTTAAATAATTCCCAAAACCCCAAGACAAAGTAATAAATTTTTTGCTAAAAAATATATTAATTATAGATTGAGTTCCAAGTCGCTGACGTCCTGAAAGTCAGTCTGCCCGAAGAATCGTTCGACGCCGTCTACAGCCGTGACGCCATTCTGCACATTGGCAACAAAGAAGAGCTTTTCGCTAATCTCTTTGTAAGTTGTTGTCCCAAACACAAAAAATGTTACATAATTATCGAAAATAATGCGTTTATCTTCAGAAATGGGTGAGGCCAGGAGGTCAACTGCTGATCACCGACTATGCCAGAGGTCAAGATAAATGTGGCGAAGAGTTCGAGGATTACGTGGCCGGACGTGGTTACCGTCTGTTGACCGTTCCAAAGTACGGAAAGCTGTTGGAAGATGCAGGTTGGAAGCAGGTCCAGGCCATCGACAATACCGAAGAGTTTGTCTCCACCATGAAGAGGGAGCTCGACCTGCTCAACAGCATCAAGGAGTCTTTCATCTCGGTAAGAACTTCAGCAAATGAAATTTTGGTGAATTAAAAATTTTTATTCTGAGCAGGAATTCTCCCAGAAGGACTTCAACGATTTGGAAAACGGATGGACGAAGAAATTGAACTGGGTCGACAGGAACGAACATGTCTGGGGACTCTACATGGCCAAGAAATTTTAAATGTGTCACAAAAGTATTGAAAATTTAAATTTTTGTAAGGATCTAATTAAATATTTCTGATTTAAAATAACATCCTGAGTGTTGGATTAAAATAAATCAATTATCTTGCACATGCATACATTTATTATTATCATACAGATACATATGAAGATGTGTTTGACAAAAAAACAATCGTATTCTATGATGAGTGGAAGTCAACACTTTCAATCTCATATGTACATCAAATCTTATAATTTAAAATTGTTCGCTCACACAATTATGCATCTTTGCACATAATTAATTAACTAGCCTTCACAAATGTTTCCTTTCTTTTATCGCATTGCACTTCTTTATCTTTTTGAGTTAAAATTTAGAGAGATAATTTCCTCAAGTTCCATATATAAATGCAGCAGAAAATTCTAAAACGTGCATTCATCAAATTGAAAAAGTTGTTACAAGTATCACTTGATAAAAGATAAAATTCATCTATTTACACACAGAATGTTTGCAAAGTTGTGGACTTGAAATAAGCCAAACTTTATATTGAATTCATAGCACTCTTCCGATCAATTATTTTTTTCACTCGGCAGCTCACAATATTCCAAAGGCACACTCGCAACACACGCACGAGACCATTATAGAGTCGTAAAATGTCTTTTGGATAATTATTACTCGTAATAATAATAATTGGGTTTCGCTAATGCTACTTAGTCAACATATGAAAAGTCTACAAGAGTGAGAAGAAATTTACATCTATAAGTCTATTATGGTCTTGTCTGATTGTGAGACTTTCCACGTTTTTCAGCTCCAGTAAATTGATCGCTACATCTCACAACAATATGCATATCAAGTTGACAGCAGATCTGCCAGTTCTTTATTATTATTTATATAATTATTTACAAAAATCTTATTTTTCGATATTGGTTGAAGAATGAGATTCTATGCCCTAGCAGTGAGTTTGAAATCTTTTCCAACAACGGACATGAAAGACTGAATAATAAAATATTACGATGTAATTTTCTACACTGTTCTTTCCTTCTTCTTTTCCATAATATTTATATGTACATGCGTGGTGCGCAAGGATTAAAAAAAATGTGGCACATCGAGAGAGGTTTCTTCTAAAAAGACTACGGCAAACGATCGAGTGTCTTTTCCGGGCACAGGTCGGGAGGGAAAAAGATTCTTCGGGAATGAGTTGAGAATTCAAAGAGTTCGGAGTCGGGGGCAGGCAGATGAACAATGATTTGAGCTTAGCTCGTCCTGGGGCGGGAGGGGTTTAGACGTGGCTGACGGCGCCACGTGGATGCCGGCACAAGAGCTGCTCCTCCATGATATAGTCTGCTCTCGAGGGCCTCCAGTTTCTGGTATGTGTGCACGGCTGGTGTTCCAGCGGTGGTGGTAGTGCCGGTGCCCCCGGAGCTTCCGTCGCTGCTACTTGCGCTGCTTCGGCAGGAGGAGCCTGTCATTTCTGATCCCTGAATGAGGAAAAAAAATAAGGTCAGTCGATCCGAGAAATTAAAAAAAAAACACCACAAGCGCTCTTTCCACAAAAGCATGGTTCGATTCTGAATGACATGCAGCATGCTGATGAGTAATGAAATAAATATTGATTTTTTTTCAGGGTGTTTCAGGATTTAGGAATTTGCCAAAAACTCTTCAGGCTGCATTCGGATCTAAGCTGTGGTGTGTGTGCTGTAATCGGAGAAAGACTGGCCAGAGCTACCAACGAGAGAGACTGCTTGGGAGATGAAATTGCGAACACCAGTTGCAAATTACAAGTGATTATATATATAAAAATAAATAAAAAATAAGCCGGATCTTGAATAAATATTCGTGTGTGTATTTGTGTATGAAGGGTGTAAATTAGGATTTTTGCTGATGATTTTGTGGCGATTTTGAACAATTAGCTTGCGATACATTAATAATAAGTAATATTCCGTCGTGGCCTTACACTTTTAGAAAGATCGAGAAAACTTGATGAACTGCAAAAGAAAGGAGATTTTCTTTTAAATTTGAGTGCTGAAATCGTTGAATTTTCTTCGAAAGCAAACAACTATTACCTTCGGTTATTCCAAAAAATTACTTTAGCATCAAATAAAAAAACACAGATTTGCAACTAGCGCTTGAGAGGTTTTATGAAGAGTGAAATGAAGCATGCTTGCAACTTTGATCAATTTGAAATCAGGACGGGTTCGTTCTTTGGTAAAGTGTGTGTTGTGAGAAATTATATGTACGAACGAAGGTCTGAAGCTAGAGTAAACAGGGAGGACACTGCTCGTCTTGCATCTCATTTCAAAAACTGACAACAAGATTTTCAAGAGCTCTTTTTTCTTACTCTGGTGTGTGGGATGGGAGGCTGATGCCCGTCAGGGGGCAGTCGGGCGCTCGCCACCGCAACACTGGGCATACACACGCAAGTCAGAAGTTTGGACAAATGCAATTTAATATAAAATTGTAATATATAATAATCTCGTCAGATTAGAAAACGTACAAAATCAACTTGCACAGTGTCTGTTCTCATTTACAGGGCACACATCACAGCAGCAGCAGCAGCGAGCCACATGAACAACAAGTTACGAGAGTGGCTATCAAAAGGCAAAAAACTCTAAATCGCGAGCTCTCTAAAGAAAGCGAGCCTTAATATATCAAATAACTTTACAAAGATTGCCAAAAAGGGAAACTAATTGTAAAACTTCAAATACTCTGATTGCAAAAATCAAACATTTTTAATTAGTCGGGGGTGGGAAACAAACGGTAGCACCACTGCTATAGTATTCCAAGCACCAAAAAAGCTGGCACTTGCATGCAAATTTCGGCTGCAGAAAAAAATACATTCCTGCGCCTCGATCTCTGCAAGTGCCGAGCTTCAAACATCCATTTTCACCTTTTGTAAGTTTGTGATTGAATGCAAAAGGAGGCAATACTTGTGAAAACATTGCTTACCCAGGACCAGGATAATAGTAGGGAGGAGGCCGTTCGTACTCAGTCCCGGGAGGTGGGCTGCGGTAATGCGGAGGGCCGCCAGCGGGGAAGTCCCAGTGCCTAAAAAGTTTTAAATTATTGTTTCTGTAATGTTTTTCATTGGGAAGAAATAATCAGTCTTTAAAAAAGTAAAAATAATGCAATTTCCTCAATTAATATTTTTATCAAGAATTAATTTAAATTGATTCATTTACTTCCTTTTAAATCAATTTTCACTTACTTAGGGGTGGCAGCAGCGTCCCTGTATCTGGAGCCCTCGCCCGTCATAGGTCTGCGTCCTCGAGCACCGACACCATGGCCGCCTCCGGAAGCACCGCCACTGTAATCGCCATCGTATCCATTCTGGTTCTCATATGTTTCTTGGAAGGCCTGATGGCCCCCATTGCTGCGATGGTGACCCCCTCCTCCATATTTCTTGTCATGAACGCTGCACAAGCCATTTTTCCAATTTTTAGCATGCTGTGTTTTTATGTTTTCGCTCAAATTTACAGCTAATTCAAGTAGGGTAATGAAGGCAAAAGCAGGAGGACAGAAAGAGATAGTTTTCAATTGCGGTTTATATGAGAGCGAAAAAATAGAAAATACACAGCTACGCTATTTTGATAAATCATGACAGAATGAGCTTTGTTTAAATTTAAATTATGCAATTTTATTTTTTATTTTTGGCAAGCAGCTGAATTTTAAATCAGCAGCAGCATTTGAAAAAAATTATATATATGTTCAATTTGCAGCACCCATTTTAAATTGAGATTTACGTTCAAAGGAGGGATTCTCATCGACTTTTTTATAACATTGAGTTCGTACGTAAAAATGCGGTAATTATAAGAAAGCAGATGAAAGGGGTTTCAATAAAATTAATGGACATGCGGAAAGAAAAGTAAGGATTCAGCGGCTCAAAACAGAGAAAAAAATGGATGCAAACGAAACAAGCTGAACATAAACTTACTTCAGTGGAATGTTATCTCGATCACCGTATGCATCATACATGTCACTGCAAACAGACGGTACAAGTGTTACTGCAGGCAAAACCTACCTTAACTGTGTCAGGTGTATTGTGATTTTTATTTAATTTTAGAGATGCACCTATTTACGGTTTATTAAACTTTCACTTTCTTTGCAAAAACGAAAAAAAAATTACAAAGTGTTCAAGGAAAGTACCTGCTCCTCATAAATCAAATTAATAAGCATAACAATGGAAAGCTCAAAATGTAGTAACTGGACGACTGATTTGTTTTAATTACAAATAATGATATTATATATTAGTGTAACACATAACGTAGAGCAGGTGAAAATGCATTCTTAAATTTGTTCGAGACTTACGTGTCCAGAGGCCCCAGGTATGTGTTGCTCTTGCTGTACAAACTAGCCAGGGCCACGCAGACGAGGATGCAGGGCAGGAAGAGCGCCAAGCTCCAGCCAATGCTCAACCAGAAACCATTCTATTTAAAAAAAATGAAATTTATAATACTTGTTAGCTTGAAAATAATTCTTACAAATGGATTCACAACTTTGCTGCACATTGATATCACAGTTGCGTTGTAGGCTTGGCTGATTGGCCAGCACTTTCCGATCGAGTACTTGGTTGTTCTCACCACTCTCTGCAGATAGTTGTTGATGTGTTGAGTGAACTCATCCACGAAGATTTGGGCCAACTGAATTTATAAATTTGAATTTTGACTTTCACAAATTATTTTCATTTGATTTACCTTGACAACTTCTTCGGGGCCTTGTTTCTGCAGATAATCCTGGGCGTCATCAACCTCTCTGAGCAGCTGGTGGATGGCCTGTCTGAGACTGGTGTGGTTGAACTTGAGATCTTCCTGCAAGTTGTTGGTGCTAACTCGCAGCTTCTTGGACAAATCGACCATCTTGTCCACAACGTTGGTCTGGAAGGACTCGATGTACATGACGTCGTTGATCAACGAGAAGTAGACGGCGTCCCTGTCCGGTTTCAGTTTCTTGGTGGTCTCGTTGATGACATGGGCCAACTTCTTGAGGTCAATCGACGTGATCTGATTTTCAACGAGGTCGTTGTACGCAGTGAAGTCGATGTCAGACAGAGACGAAGAAGCCAAGTCCAACAACCGCACTTTGGCGTCCGCAGTCAGGATGGTCACATCGTTGCTCAGCTTGATCTGTTTCTGCAGCTCTGCCATTTCGTCCACTATGCCGTACTGCACTTGGAATTGAGACACTTGGGACACATTGACAACGGCCTCCAGGTTCAGCACTTGGTACATGCTCTCATTTCGGTGGCAAGAACTAAAAATATGAATAAAAGTGATGTCAACCTAGTTTTAAGAAATGGTAAAACAACACATTGATCATGATGGGAAAAGAATATGAACTGATTTACATTATACAAAAAAAAATTATTTTTTTTTTTATTAACCTGATCATGTGAGTGACATTGATGCCAGCAGTGCTGCCTTTGGGATAGACGTGGTCCATGTTGACCAGCTGATCGACCAGGGTCATGACCTGATTGTCAGACGACGGCTCCTTCAATGACTCACAGACGGTTTTCTCAGCAACAATTCCAACCAGCAGGTGCATCACTGCCACAGCAGCCAATCCAATCGCAAACAAGAACATCAAGTAGACACCACTGCACAATTAAATAAATTGAATATTTGCTAAATAAACCAAAGTAATGAACATACGCCATGAGATATCGTCCACCAGTTCCCTTGTTGCAGCAGTAGTCATCAGTGCCGTACATGAGATCCACTTTCTTGCCGCAAAATCCGTAGAAGAGACCAAAGGTGAGGCAGACGAGAATAAGAAGCAGCAGCGAGCTAACGGTGGTGTCCACGTAATACCTGTGTTTTAATGGAAATTTAATTATTTTTCTGGCTCTTCGTGCAAATAAATGAAATTACCTGTAAATGGCATATTCATTGATGTACCGCTCTCCTTGACTGATTCGTCCATTGACGTGTTGAGGAATCTTTTGGTTGACCTTGTCCAGGACGTTGGTGATTTTGTGAGCAGTGTCCTCACAAGCTTTGCCTGATAAAAAGCCAATGTTAAATGATGAAGCTTCACTAAACTCTGATTGAAATTACCAGCATTTTGAATTGCTTGTTTGATTCGAGGAATAGTAGTGTTCACTTCGTGCTGGATCCTGAACTGAATCTCATCAAAAGCTCTCTTCCCTTTCATAACCTCCCTTCCGATGTTTGAATCAATCAACAGGGAAATATTTTGGTAGTTTCCAGACAAGTTGGGAAGCTGAAAACGCATGAAAACCAAAATTAGAATTGGATATTATGCTAAACCTTTAAAATGTTCAACAAACAACACACTTGGTAAAGTTTGCCATGCAATTAATTTTTATTTGCAATCATAATTTTTGATAAGAGTCATGCTTTTTCTGCAGAAGTGAAAAAACGTATACCTTTGGCACATATTTGTCCAACAACTATTTTGCGTGAAAAAGAAGGAGAGTTAGTGAATTAGTAAACTTCCCATGACCGAAGCTCCAAATTAATTAACACTCGATTTTTGCACTCACTCTGCTAAAGTCAGCGTTTGCCGAGAGCCCGTGAATGTTGTACTTGGCAAGGGCCTCACGGCACGGCTGTTGGCACTCCCGGAGACGCTGCGTCAGCTTCTGTTTGATTTCGACCAGACCTGGGGAAAAAGAAAAGTGTCATCTTCAAAAAGATCGGAAGGTAGCGATAGAGGAAAAAATACATACCGGCGTTGAGCTGTTGGCTTTTTTGCTGCAGTTCTCGGGTGATGGTGCTTATGTCTGAGAGATCGCCTTTGATTTTGGTCAGTCCAGTGGCAATCGCCGTCAGATTATTGAGGGCGACTGCCTTTGAGACGTCTGCTAATTTGTCCTTGACAATTTGGCCACTACCTGGTTTGGATAAAAAAAGCAAGTGGATTATTTTTATTGAACTTTTGACCAGAAAAGAAAAGAAAATTGAAAAGTATTGTTATTCCTCATTTTAAAACTGGTAAAAAAAATTTGTTATTTGCGGTAATTTGCAAATTTTGAATAAAATAAGGCAAGGACTAACCTTCGAGTATGTCATTCAGGACAGTCTGCAATTCTCTGTAGTTAGTGACTAGTAGAGTGTTCACTTCCTGCAATTCAACAAATTTTATAATTTTACTAAAATAAATCCCGCAAAATCATTACCTCCTTGGTGTTGGAAAGGTAGAGCTCAGTGTCGCCAAGCCCAGTGCGCACATTGTCCGGCAGTTCATGCGCGCCGTCGTGCATGTATTCATTCGTCACAAACGCGCAAACAACTCCAAACCTTAAAAAATTGTTTATTATTATTATTATATTTTTTTTTTGTTTTAAGCAATTAAATTATTTTTTTAAGAGCAAAATTTCTTAATTAGTTTTTCCACAATTTGGTAAAAGATTTGTAAATAAAAATCAATTGCTTACAGAATGACTGTGGCAAAGGTTGCCAGGATGATGCCGAGGAAGGCGCGTTTGCAAGGGTCGTGCTTTTTGTCATAGGCGTGCGAACGGGCGCCGCACTTTCCTGAGCAGCGGCAGCAGCAGAAGAGGAAGCCGGCGCAGGGCATCACAATTCCGAACAGCAGGGTCACCATGGCCAAGAGCAGCGGACCTGCATAGTGGTGCAGCACCTTCGGCCAGTCCGTCTTCAGCTTCTCCTTGATTCCGACCACGTCCAGTTGACCCTGCTTCACAGTCAGGAAGCCTGGAATTTGAACAAGGAGCAAAGTTTTAACTAAAGAAATTCACATTTTTCAATATTTCAAAGTAATAATTTAAGTTGTTTCACGTTTTTTTTTATCCCTTTAATCCTTGGAAAAGTTCAACGTAGAGAAACATTCCTAAGCTCTATAGTCGGACAATCAATCAATTGTTGCGTGATCACGCGAGATCATAATAAAATCTGGAATTTAGATGCAGAATTGATTTGTGAGTCAAGAAGGTCTTTTTATCCAAGTGACCTCAGCCATCCAATTAAAATTGATTGATTATTAGTTCAAAATAACATTGGAATTCAGTATTTTACTCAACTTCCTTATTTTTAACTGGGAAATAATTATGTTTATTTAACATTTAATTAAAAGTTTTGCGACCACAATTCAGTTGAGGAAACTCCAGAAAATTTTCCTCAGGGAAAAACTTTTATAATATCATTCACTTCCTCACACATCCTGGTGACCGCTGACCACAACCTCATAAATATTACCTACTGTTTCTAGACATTTTTTAAGTATTTGCTTATTGAAATGGCAATTTAATTTATCCTAATTAAATTAAATTTTTGTTAGTTTTTAATTTACCCACGGAAATAACCAAGTGCATCATCATTACGCTCGTGCATACAAAATGAGCACAATCTCTCGCAGTGAGTCACTGTCGCGGCTGCATAGCGGTTTCTCGTTTGTAAAATATCTAACTGTTATATCTGTGTGTCTGGCAAATGCGATCGAGGCGAGAAAAGCTGCATCAAGGAAGACCTAATCGGACGCACGTATATTCTTGTCCGTGCAAAAACCCACAGGGATTTCGAACTCGGCGAATTTCGCGCTTGGCTGCAGCTCGGAGGCAAAAAAAGTTGATATGGTGGACCAGCCGCAAGAGTGCATCAAAGAGGAAGGCAGTCGAGCGGCAAAAAGCATCAAAATCACAATCGCAGCTCGGAAAACAAGAGGCTGAACTGTGACTAATGCGGCCGACGCCGGTGACACCTGACAAACGCAAAAGCCGCAGAAACAACAAAAACACAACAGAGAGGAAGAATGAATGTGCATGGGCAAGAAAAAAAATCAGGGCAAAATGTAAATTTGAAAATTCCTTGAAAAGTTGAAGAAAATAAAAAAAATGTCGTTTTTTTTTTAAATTGCATGTTGACAAAAGGGGAGAGAGAAAGGTTAGGAATAAAAAGTAAAATTTAAATAAAAATTGCTTGTTATAGAATTGCAAGAAAAAGGCGTAAAAATCCAGAGCAAATAATTAAATTTAAATTTTTAAAAGTTAAATAAAATAAAAGTAATTTGGCAACATTTGTTTTACAATTTTTTTAGAATAAACCAGCAAACGCCTCTGATATTTTGCAATAGCCTAATTGTGGATAATTTGTATTTTTATAATTTTGAAATTTATAGACGAGACGGAGGAGGGCGCGAAAAAGGGTCGTTTCTGCCACTCGGTCACGCACGCACGCCAAATCAATACGAGGAAGCGAGCGGAACCTCTCGCTGGCACCAATGCAGAAGGCGTCCGTGTTATTTCTCGCTTTGTTTGCGTTTCGGCTCATTCGTCGTGGTGGAAATGAAGAGCGAAAGGGAGCCGCGAATACACAGTACATTCGCGGCTCATCACAGTTTTCATCTCGAGCCAAACGACGGCGAGACGAGAAAGGGTTGAAATGCCGCATGACCCACGTGACCTGGTTTTGTGTGTTTCTATGCGGGCATCTCATTGCGGCAGATAAAGTTTCATTCACCCCCCAGCAGGAAGGAAACGCGAAACCGTGTGACAGAAGAAAACCGACGATTATTGTTGTTTGGGTGCACGCGCAGATGCTGAGCAGCGAATGAATGAATGAATTCGTCGCACCTCAACGGGCGGTGTGACTTTGGCAGGAAGTGCGGCTTGTGACAAGGTCGACGGGGGTGTACAGAGGAATGTGGGTGGCTTTTGCGTCACGGGGGCATGGAAAAAGATAAATCAAAGGTTTCAGATAAAAAAAAATTGCTCAATTTCCAAGGTGTCAATTTTGTACCCGAAAAACGTTTCCTCTGTAATCAAATTTTCTTTCAATTATATTTTTCCACCTTAATTGGGGTAAATTTGATAAACCATTCATAAATTTTAATCCGGCAGATGTCAGGGAATTGAAAATTCCCATTAAAAAAATCAATTTGAATTTAAAAAAAAAATAAAAATCAGTTTTTGAGATCAATTGAAGTTTTTCTGTAACTTCGACCTCTGAAAATTATAATTAATGCAAATATAAGTAATTGCCATTAAAACCACTAAATTTCAGACAATTTTTAGCTATTTAATTAAACAATTTATTGACCCACTCACATGAAGGGAATTTTAACCAGATATAGTTTTTTTTATACTATTTTAATTATTCAGGAATAAAAAAATTAAAAATATTGAACAAATAAAGATGTCAAAGGTCTTCTTGTCTCTCGTTTCCTGGCGTGCAAATCTCTTCCTGTTTGCCGGCACTCGCGTTAATTTAGCATATAGAGAGTCGGTTCGTTTTACTGCGGCTTCGGCAATAAATTGACTCGTGTCGCAAAGCTCACTAATCGGATTTGCAACTTGGTTTTCTCCCTCTCGCTCACCTAACACTAGGGCAGACTGGCGCACAAGGGTGAACCGAAAGCACATCTGCGGGCTGTCTGCTTGTGCATTCGGATATTGTGCCACTTACTCATCCGCGCACACATGTCCAGGAAGAGACGAGCAAACCACCGCCGAATGTAATACAGAGAATGCAGACATGTGGTTTTAATCTTTCAACCAGCTTTCATCTCAAGTTTGAGCTCTTTATGTGCATTTGAAAAATTTAAAAATAAAAATATTAATTCTCAATTCAGTTGAAAATAAAGCTATACTAATAAATTTATTTAATTTAAAATTGTTTTAAATTCAAAACAAGCATTTTGAGGAAAAATAGATTTTGATCTTTAATAAAACTTTGATTTTTAAACAATTAAGTTGTGGATAATAAATATTTTATTTTGGAAATTTAACGAGTTTTAAAGCATATAAAATTAAAAAATACATCGTCCTCTACTATTTCCTGCGTATTCTCTCTTGGCCAATAAAATAAGCAATAAAAATAGATCAATTTCCCAAGCTCATTTCCGCAACAATTGTAAGAATGAATGAAACCCTGCGAAACTCTATCCACCGCACATTCATATTATTGCTTCTTCGTGTGAAACGAAAACAAAAATAACCCGCGCAAGATCCGTCTTCCTTGCATTTGCATTCTTGTTGCTTGTCAAAGACAATGCCTTTCTTTCTTTCCTTCTTGTTCTTCGTCAGGTCATTCGCCGGTACAAATCCAAGAAAAGCGGCGCTCTCTTCCTGTTCTGCCGCCGCAAATCACAAATATATAATTTCTTTGTAAAAAAGCCACTCCATACTTGGAATAACTCGAGACAAGCTTTGACGAACCAGCTGGACGGGGTTTTTTCCAGCTGCCCGTTATTAAATACGAGAAAAATTTCATTGCGATTTTCATGCACACACGGCTTGGCAGCTGTTTGGGTTTTTATCTTATCTCGTTTGACACATTTGTTTCCGTGCGCGAGCGGCCGCTCTCTCATCTCTCAGCATGCACACAAGTGCGCGCCTCGTTGTTTTCCCAAACTTAATTAGCGCTGGCAAAATGTATGTGTGCCTATTAGCGACCGTCAGGCGCCGGTTTTAATAGCCCCGATCGCAATCTGCTTCCATCTGTCTATAATTTTAGCAAATTTATAGAACTAAATTATACCTGCTTTCCTAATTTGATATGAAAATTTATGCGAATTGGCAAATAAAAAAAATAAATTTTTTTTTTAAATAAAATTTACAATTTTTTTGTCTCCCAATGGTTTGGAACAAGGAAAATGTTTGGAAGAAATCAAATTTGAAATTAAATTATTCAAAATAATTATTACTTAATTTACAAGAGATAGAAATTACGGACTAATTATTCATCAAGAGCGCAATGAAACAATTTTAAATTTATAATATGAAAACATAAATCAATTTATATTTATGATATTAGAAGTGGCTAGAGAGAGAAAATATTTTCTGTGTCAGAATTTTCAATCAATTTTTAATCAGTAATCAACCTTTAACAATTGTATCAGCAAAGATAATGGACTATATTTATATTTTTACTAATTCATTGTTCAAAATGCCCCAATTGAATTCTTTTGATAAAAACAAACGCTCGGCGGAAAAATTGTTTTACAGCGAGCACTCTTTTATTACGCCTCATAAAAATTATTTCCAGTCGGTGGAAAAGCTTTTGGCCGCTGCCATAGAGTCACGCGTCCTCTTCCCGGAGCAGCAAATAAATTCGAGCCATTTGAATAACTGCGAGCGACACGGCCTAATCTCCATTTCGGTTTTACGACTCACACGAGACCTTCCTTTCTTTCTTTTCGTTTGTTCCAAAAATAAAACCCACCTCCACATTTTCATATACATACGAACAAATCCATACACAGAAGGCTGAATAAATATTAGAATGAATCGGAAATTTCCCCGCGACCGCCTTCAAAAGAAACGTGAATGTTTGCGTCTCACTCGTCGTCCGCCTGCCCGTATAAATAATAATAATAAGCGTGACCCTTGCCTGCTCCACATTCGACCATGGCTTATTTGCTCTTGGCAACATCAGCCCTTCTAATGTATCCTCTCTCGCTTTGTCAGAGCTTTTTTGTTTCACTTTATTTAACAACTGCAGTGTTCTGGCTGGCTGGCCCGCGGTGGGAGGAGCAGGACGACGAACGGAACAACTGCATCGGGGCACGTCGATAATCAGCTCGCGCGCCCCCGGCACCCTCACGCTTTTCACAGCCGAAAATTTATATCTGGGCCGGTTCAAGGAACCAAACCAAAGGTTTACTGCAAATTTCTTTAAGATATTTTTATAAAATATTAATAAATAAATTGCAATTTAAGGGAAAAGCTCATATTTTTCATCCTCTGTGCAAATCCAAA